CTCTGGGTCCTAGATGAGGTGTCCCAATGTCCAGAGACCCCAAGTGCAACCCTCCCACTCGCGCGAGACATCGATCCGAGACCCACCCGAAACTCCAAACCCTGCTTGAACCGGCTGCTCATTTGGGAGTTTCCGAAAACAGGGGACCCTAATATAGTATATACCTAAATAGTAGAATCCTTATATGAGGATCCCAAAATAAGGTACCCCCTATTTTCAGTTGTAGTGCGCCCTCAACCCTGCTCATTATGATCTCCTTAAGAATGAAACCTTAAAACGAAGCAGGGTTTGGGGGTCGTTATGGTGGATCTTCAACCCTTACAAGTCGCCTTTGGCGCCAGCTGCAGGGCATGTGGATTGAGTCGGAAGGCACAGTGCTCCTGCGAAGGAAGTTTACGGTTTAGGGTTTTAGGGTTTAGGGTTTTAGGGTTTAGGGTTTTATTGTTTAGGGTTTAGGGTCTGGAGAAGCACCCTAGTCTCCTTAGCAGACAAGCAAACAAACAACCGATTTCGGAATCCTTGTGCAAGAATCCAAAACCCTGAAGCACAAGCTGTCAGCAAGATATCGCTGCGGAAAACCAAACATCCTCCCACATAAATACATATATGTATTTATTTAGGTGTTAGCGATACAAAAAATCCAAATCTCTATATATATATATATATACACACACATACATACATATTCGTATTTATACGTATATTTAACCGTATCTATTTATATGTATATCTATACTTCTTTATTAGTTCAATTATACCACAAACAGTAACTCATACCCCACACCCTAAACCGTAAACCCTACATCCCAATCCTGAACCCTAAACCCGAAATCCGAGACCCTAAACCCTAAATCCTAAACCCTATGCCCTAAATCCTAAACCCGAAACCCCTAAACCCTAATTTTAAATCCTAGACCCTAAACCGTAGATCCTAAACCCTAAACCCTAAATCCTAAACCCTAAACCCTACGCCCCACTGTAGACCGTACGTCATGTCGGAGCTCCAAGCCGTCGTAGCCGATGAGTTCGTCATCCTCCGAAAGGCGTGGGGTCCGCCATCCGGTGCCTCCGAGGTTTCGAGGGTCTGGGGCTTAGGGTTTAGGGTTTAGGCGAAGGGTTTAGGGTTTGGGGGTTTAGGATGGTTTAGGGTTTAGGGCTTAGGCGAAGGGTTTAGGGTTTAGGGGTTTAGGGTTTAAGGTTTAGGCGAAGGGTTTAGGGTTTAGGGGTTTAGGTTTTAGGGTTTAGGGGTTTGGGGTTTCGAGGGTTTAGGCGAAGGGTTTAGGGGTTTGGGGTTTCGAGGGTTGGGGCTGTAAGGGCTGTTTAGGGGTTCCTTGAAGGGGTATCATGGGGGTTTTAGGGGTTCCTTTAAAGGGGTATTATAGGGGCTTCAAGGAGGGTTTGGGGCTTAGGATTTAGGGCTCATAAGGTTTAGGGCGTAGGATTTAAGGATTAAGGGTTTAAGGATTTAGGGAATTAAGGTTTTGAGGGTTTGGGGCTTAGGATTTAAGGTTTGGGGATCATAGGGTTTAGGGCTTAGGATTTAGGGATTTAGAGCTCAAAGTTTAGCACTTAGGATTTAGGGATTTAGGGATCGTAGAGTTCAGGGCTTAGTATTTGAGGATTTAGGGATCATAGAGTTTAGGGCTCAGGATTTGGGTTTAGGGGGTTAGGGTAAGAGCTTATAGTGAGGCACCAAGCATGCATCTCGCAGCAACAACCTAACCCCAATACAGAGGCCTACATGATTTGTTTGCAAAAGGCTTCTGATTCTGGCACATTATTCAGCGACTGTACAGAGACATGATTACTCTTCATTCCGACCCTTACATCAGACCCTACATCCTGAAACCTAAACCGTGCCTGAGCCCATCTTGTGCACGGTGTCCAAGCTTGTGTCACCTAGGACATCAGCGCAAGCTCACTTCAGGTTCAGCCCCGGGCTTGCAAGCTTCCAGAAACATCGATTCATACGGTTGATGATATAAATCCTGCATTACCTTAAGGACCCTAAACTATGGGAAGTATGGCATATTCCTTGTTATGGGTAATGCAGGATTTATATCATCAACAGTACAACCGCACAAGAGTGTACGGTTTAGGGGTTACAGCGCGTTACTGGGAGGATCCGATATGAACAATGGCAGCAGAGCGACAGAAGCTTTCCCAAGCGTCCTGTGCAACACGGCCAAACAAGGGAAACCCTATAACCCCAATCCCCGAATTGAACCCCAAAACTACCCTACACCCTGGAGCCTAAAACCTGAACCCTGAACTCTAAACCCTGAAGCCACGCCCGAAGCCCTAAAGCCCTGAAGCCCTAAACCCCCCCCCCCAAAAAAAAAAAACGGAACTTTAAACTCCGGTCCTGCATGGTAGGGTTTTTATAAAAACCCTCTAAGCCCCCCAAAAAACGGAACCCTAAACCCTAAACCCTAAACCCTAAACCCTAAACCCTAAGCCCTAAACCCTGAACTCCGGTCCTGCATGGTACTCCGTGGCGCGAGAGATCGACAGTCAGCCCAAAAGCCACCTCAGGCTAAAGGCTTCCGGCGGGTTCCTTCGAAGGGTTTGGGGGTTTAGGGGTTTAGGGGTTTAGGGGTTTAGGGTTTAGGGGTTTAGGGGTTTAGGGGTTTAGGGGTTTAGGGGTTTAGGGGTTTAGGGGTTTAGGGGTTTAGGGGTTTAGGGTTTAGGGTTTAGGCTTTAGGGGTTTAGGGGTTTAGGGTTTAGGGTCTAGGGGTTGAGGGTTTAGGGTTCAGGGTTTAGGGAACCCACCTCCCCTTATAGGCCCAGGGGACTTAGTGAGTAGGGGCTCCTGAACGGGATCTATAGGGCTCCTTAAAGGGATCTATGGGGTTTAGGGTGTAGGGTCTGCTTAGAGGCCCAGGGGACCTAGTAAGTAGGTAAAAAATAGGGCTATAAGTACCCTAAATGGAGTTACCCCAATTATAACCCTACTTATAACCTACTCAGTAAGTCCCCTGGGCCTCTAGGTAGCAGGGCTCCTTTAAAGGATCTACAAGGGTCTTAGGGGCTAGGGCCTAGGTCTAGGATTGGGTTTGTGTGATTGATAACGGTTTCAGAAAGGTTCGGGGAGGTATGAGAAGTAAAGTCTTTTGATCAAGAAACTTCCGGCCCTAATTGTGACCCAAGTAAAACCTACATACCATGCCGCCTTATCCCAAGCCCTAGTCTAAACCCTAACCCCCACCTACTTGTCGGGTATCATGGGGAATTAAAGGTTAGCCGTTCTTGGTTATACAGGGACTATATAGGGACTATACTACCCAAAAAAGGTTAAAAGTTACCTCCTCTACTACTAGGAACCCTAAAGCCTAAACTTCTGAACTCTTAAACCCTAAACCCTGAACCCTTAAAAACCCTAACCCCTAGTCTAACACCTGACCCGCGAAAAACCTAAACTTAACCTACCCCCAGCTGCGACCGAGGAGCGACCGAGGTTTGGGCCAAAGAAGACCAGGTATGATCCCGGCCTGGTTTAGGGTTTGGGTTTAGGGTTTAGGGTTCAGGGTTCAGTGTTTAGGGTTTACGGGTTTACGGTTTAGGGTTTAGGGTTTAGGGTTTAGGGTTCAGGGTTTAGTGTTTAGGGTTTACGGGTTTACGGTTTAGGGTTTAGGGTTTAGGGTTTAGAGTTTAGGGCGTCTCGCCGCAAAGCGGCAGTATTTTCTATGCAGGATGGCGCCCCAACACTCCCAGGGGTGTGGGGGGGCGGCATATCTACGTATAGCATTGGAGTGCGATACAATTACAAATTGGTTTCTGTTTCTTTCCCGCCCGCTGTGAGCTTACACAGGCTACCACCCAAAATCTTACCTTTTATATAGGGTTTAGGGCTTACCCCCTCAATTCCCACCTCTGCCCTGGTCGCCTCCTGCTCCCTTTGATTTCCGGCCCACACGGGCGCCGGGGAGAGCAGGGGACCAGGGGAGCCCAGGCCAGGGGGGGCCAGGGCCAGGGTGGGCCAGGGGAGGTCAGTGCGCAGGGGGATTGAAGATTTAGGTCTTTAGCGCTTTAATGTTTCCGGGTCTGGGTTTAGGGCTTACGGCTTAGGGTTTTGGGGGTTTTCTAGGGATTGGGTTTAGGCATTAGGGTTGTAGGCCGAGGGCTCTGGGATAGGATTCTAGGATTTGCTGCTGTACTCTCAGCCAATATGGGAGCGGCCTTCATAGCTAGAATAGGGTTTGGGACTATGTCACAACATAAGCACAGAGGGACTGCATGGGTGGGACAATTCAAAGAGCTTTAAGGAATTTGAGGAAAAAGTTGGGTTCAGAGCTTTGCGAAGCTAAGGGACGTGGGGGTTTAGAACGCACCTTTGTGGGTTAATGGGCATTACCCAGACCTTCCAAAACCCCTTAATTAAGGAATATACTATATTCCTATACCTTAAATCATGTTACGGCCCCTATCATAATTTAAGGTATATTCCTTAATTAAGGGATTTTGGAAGGTCTGGGTACCTTGGCCTCTGCACTTGCTCGAGCCAGTCTGGAACCACTAGCGTCACCAGCTGCAACGCTGCACTGCCCAGAGAGCCCCAATACTCCTGGATTACGTTAAGAAGAATATCTTAGAAGCTGCCCCCACCCTGTAATAGTGGTATAATAAGAATATAATAGGGCCCTACTATAATCCGTATAGTCACTATTACAGGGTGGGGGCAGCTTCTAAAGAATATCCCTTAAACCACAGTAGGCAGCTCTATATACGCTCAGGAGCATGTCACTCTGTTCAGACACCAACTGTCACTTGCGCCTGACGGTGATGTGAACGCTGTCGGCATGTGGAATGTACCTGACAAGTAATGCCGTTGGCACACGGGCACAGACTCCTCAACCCACACTCAAAACCCTAGAACCGTGAAACTCAACCCTGAACCCTAAACTCAAACAACAACTAAAACATCTCTAGCAGCTCAAACCCAAAAAAACATTAAACAATCCCTAGTAATTAACGCTCGAAAACCTCCACAACCCCCTGGCTCACGCCCCGTAGAAGATGCCCTGGCTGCCCGCTGCATTGGGCTTGAAGCTGCAAGTCAGCTCAGTGCGAACCTCCTCCGCCTTAGAGTTCAGGGCTAAGGGTGTAGGAGTTTCCCAAACATAGGGCACCCTAACATAGTACCCTAAACAGTAGGATCATTAATATAAGGACCCCTAAATACGGTACCCCGAATGTTCGGAGATTCCTGTGTAGATTTTGGGGGTGTTTTGTTAGCCGCACCCTTTTTGCCCCGCTTTGGGCTTTAGGGTTTAGGAGCTTGTGCGGGCTTCTAGAGAGCTACGGTTGATGGTATAAATCCTAGGGTTCCTTTAAAGGGATCTATAAGGGTACCTTTAAGGGGCTCCTTTAAGGGATCTATAGGGGGTTTAGGGTTTAGGATTGATGGTATTAATCCTGCATTACCTTAAGGACCCTAAACTATGGGAATTGTGGCACATTCCTCACAATGGTTAATGCAGGATTTATATCATCAACCGTATGAAGGCTTTTGTTCACAAGGGTGTTGTAGGGGCTTAGACTTCGTGGGGTTGAGTATTCTGGGGTTCTTCTGTGGGGTGGGGCTTCTATGGCATCGGGCTTCTATCGCATTGTAGAGCCTGGAGTTTAGGATTCAAGTGTTCGTTTGGCTTGGCAGGTCGTCACTGCATGCCTGCTATGCGCAAACCCAGAGGGTCCAAGTACCCAAATACTACCTATAGTCTCAGTTGGAGTTCCTTTTTTTGGTTATCCAATTTTATGGTAGAAGCCAGAAAGTTGGAACATGGCTTTAGGAGGATTAGTGCTAGGATCCCTTATACTTTACCTCAAGGGCATGAGGCCAATGATGTTCCAACTTTCTGGCTTCTGCTGTATGGTTAGGAGCCTATAATAGAGATTTTGGTTAACCACAAAAAGGAACTACAATGGAGATAATAGGTAGGGTGCTGGGTCCCCAAATCCATACTCTGAAAGGTTTTCGGATTTAGGGTTTAGGGTTTAGGGTTTAGGGTTTAGGTTTTCGGACCTTGAAACCCTACTATTTGGGCTCTTGGACCCTTAGGGAAATGTGTATTGGACCTCCAGAGTGGGAAAGAACTAAGGTTGACCCAACAACAAACCCACACATTATACCTAAAGGTCCGTGCCACTTAGGGAATAGACATTGTCCAAGGCGCCTTGTAGACGTGGATGTCACCCTGCCTGGAGGGCAAAGCACCGAGCGTACAGCTGTTTACGGCGCGTAGGGCTGGCTCTCGGGCTTCAGGGCTTCAACCGGGCTTTAGGGATAGAGTTTGGGGTTTTGGGGTTTTGGGTCTAGGAGTCTAGGATGTAAGCTTTAAGGGATGCTGCCGACGAAGGTTCGGATATGGGCGCCGATCTCGGCAGGTCTCAAAGAAGGCGCAGCGAGGGAACCCGGCACGCGAGTCCTCCCGTTGAGGATCTCTAGGGTTGGAACACACGGTGCTTAAGCTGTCTCTATACTGAACTTAGAACCATAGCAAAAATTATCATTTCAGCTGTTTCTTAGGGATTGTAATAACCAAAAATTGAAAAATATTTCTAAGTACCCGTAAGGTCTGGTTTTGTAGAGATTTGGAGTCGTCAAAGATGGAATATGGTTATGTAGAGATTTTGTGAGTCGTCAAAGATGGAATATGGTTATGTAGAGATTTTGTGAGTCGTCAGAGGTGGAATATGGTTATGTAGAGATTTTGTGAGTCGTCAAAGATGGAATATGGTTATGCAGAGATTTTGTGAGTGGTCAAGGATGGAATATGTCCCTCTGATAATGGGTGCGAGGAGCTCTGCACGCAGCACTCTGGACGTCACGCCCTAAAAGACGTCATCCTGCCCACTCAGTCTCCAAATCCCGAAACCAAGAGACCCGCAACCAACCTATAGCGGAAGCGCAAAAAAGGTGGAAACCCAGCAGCCTCAATCCTTACCAGCAATGTAGAGGGAATCCCAGCACTATTTGTCCTCAATCCGGCTTCCAAATTTTTGGTGTCTACTATAGCGGGTTTGATATTTCACAAGGCTTCTGATAGTCCCTAAACCCTAAACTGAAAACCCTAAACAAACCCTCCACAATCCGAAACCCAAAACGCCTGTAATCCTGTCCGGCAGTCCTCAGGCTCAAAAACACACACCCAGGAACCCCCCAAACCCAGGGAACCTTAAAAACCTGACGGCAATCACAAAAACGCAGCATAGAGACCTACAGAAAACCCTTAAGAATCTGTCAAGAAATGCCAACAAAAAGCTATAAAGACCTACAGCTACAGAATAACCCTTTCATAATCTCTTGAGAAATGCCCATATACACAACTTCTCAAGACCCTCCAAGAGCCCCAAATAGAGACCCGCAGAAGCTCCCAAACACCCTGACTTCAGGAAATGCAACTCAAACTCTGAAGGGATCCTTGCCATGCCTTAAGGTGGATTCCTTAAACCCTAAACCCGAAACCCTAAGAGCTCTAATTATGGTACATTTCCTGCCCCATCTTACCGGGGTTGCGAGTCTCTGGGGTACCCTAAACCCTAAAACCCCAATCAAAAATCAAATGGTCAATTATTTCGTGTTTAGGGTACATGATCGGTCGGAGCCCCTGGCCCTAAAACCCTAAACCCTAAACCCCTAAACCCTTGAACCCGTAAACCCTGAACCCTTAAACCCTAAACCCGAAAACCCTAAAACCCTCAACCCCTAAACCCTGACCCCGTAAAGCCTAAACCTAAGAAGTTAAACCCTCAAACCCCACACCCTACACCCCTGAACCCTAAATCCTTAAACCCGTAAACCCTAAACCCGTAAACTCTAAACCCTAAAAACCTTAAACCCTAGAACCCTCAACCCCTAGGACCCTCAACCCTAAACCCCTAGAACCCTTAAACCCCTAAACCCTGAACCCGTAAACCCCAAAACCCTAACACCCCAAACCCTAAATCCTGAACCCTTAAACCCTAAAGCCCCTAAATTACTCAACCCTGAACCCTTAAACCCTAAAGCCCCCAAAACGAGCTCTCCTCGCCGTAGCCAAAGAATTTGCACCTCTCATCGAGAGAACAGGCCGAGCTGCAAGCGAAGGCCTCAAAGGGCTGCAAACTCGGGGCTTTGGTGGCTTCAGGGTCCCTTTAAAGGGATCCTATAAGGGCTCCCTTCGCAGGGAATCTATAGGGGTTTAGGGTTTATTGCTTTAGGGGTATCTAGGCTTTGGGGGTTTCGGGTTTAGGAGGGCTTAGGCTTTTAGGGTTTAGGGTTTGGGAGGTGAAGTGCAGTGACTGATTATCAGCTTCGCTCGCGCTTTGCAGGTCTGAAGCCGAGGCTTTAGGGTTTACAGTAGAAGCCCAAAAGTTGGAAACCCAACAGCCTCAATCCTTAAGCGTAAGGTATAGGGAATCCCAGCTCTATTTAATCCGGCTTCCAACTTTCTGGGGTTTACTGTACTTGGAAGGGCAGGGGACTTAGTAAGTAGGTTATAAGTAGATTTATAAGTACCCTAAATGGAGTTACCCCAAGTATAACCCTACTTATAACCTACTTACTAAGTCCCCTTGGGCCTCTAAGTAGACCCTGAACCCTAAACCCCATAGATCCCTTTTATGAGCCCTATAGATCCCTATAAGGAGCCCTTTAAGAACCCTTACTAAGTTCCCTGGGCCTCTAAGTAGTGTTGTGAGTTCGGGGGGGGGGGGGGGGGGGGTAGGGTGGTTCGAAGCCCTGGAACTCTGCCCTGAAGATTCGCATCGATAAACCGCCACAACAGCATACCAATGAGGCTTCAGGATCTAAGGCCTTTAGCCCTTGACGGTCTGTTATCGGGCTTCATCATGGTGTTTACGCGGCTTTAGCAGGAAATGCTGCAAAGTAGGGTCCCTTCTGTTATTCAGATATCGGTACCCACACCCTACAAACCCCAGTAATTGTAAACCTGGAACTAACCCTAAACCCTAGAGCCTAATTTAAACCCTGAACCCCCAGACCCTAAACCCTAAAATTCATATCTGGACCTGAACATTTTCCTCGTCTCCCTGTGAGCAGATTTCACAACGTAGAGCCAGGCTACCGTTTCGAACTCGTTTGCGCGGCCAGGCCAGTTGTCGAAGATCGTGGAACTCTTGCACCTCATGTCTTTGGGCTAGGGTTTGCGCGTACTGAAAAGTCCTCAATACGTCTAACAGGCTTTTGGGGTATGTCATAGTATGATTAATTACAACAATAAAACACAAAATGGGTTTCGGGCAGCATCAAAAACGGCCATCGAAGCGAGACGAAGATCCTAAGACCCTAAACCTGCAAAATCCGAAACCCTCAACCCAAAAAACCCTAATTAGACCTTAAACCCTCAACCCAAAAGAACTAGACCCTAAGATCCTAAACCTGCAAAACTCGAAGCACTAAAGCCTAAAAGGACTGGGACCTGACTTAGACTTCGTCGAAGGGTCCAAGCGCTGGTCCAAATCGGATAGATCCGCGCAGGAACCGCGCGGAAAGCACAGTACTTCCTCAGCTCTGCAGGGTTTAGGGTTTAGAGTTCCATAGTAGGGTTCTATGATATAGGGGTCTTAATAATTAGAATACGGTTTCGGTGCCCATTATACTATTATACTATAAATACAAAAAGGAGCGCCAAAGATGCTAGAGGTAATTATGTAGGCTCCTGTATTCGGGATTCGAGGGCGTAGGGCTTCAGGTTATCGAACACATGGATTTAAGCCATTTCATCCGATGGTCTGTGATATACTCAATTGCTATTCTAAGTATCAGGTTGGGTGGTCCTTGTACCCTAACAGCGAAATAATCTTCTGCCACACAGAGGATCAGGGGGAGAAAGACTGCCTGATAGATCCCTTGCAACCCTTATGGCCCCCTTTGAGAGGGAAGCCGACTATAGCACCCTATAGTACCCTTGAAAGGAACCCTGTTGTAAAACCCTGCAGCACCCTTCAAAGGAACCCTGTTAAAGGAACCCCACATTACCCTTCAAAGGAACCCCTAAGCAAAATCAACCTGAAGAAGGTCCTTAGTATAGAAGCCTGCTAGATCCACTATAGAATTCTAGGAGCCCATATGTCCCCCTTTACAGGAACCCTGTAGAACTGTGCCGTACCCTTTAAAGGCACCCGCTTGTACCCTTCAAAGGAACCCAAAGCCCAATCAACCAGCTCTAGGGACTCATATATTGAGGCTGTTGGGCCCAAAGACCATACTAAGGCTTTTGGGCCATTTTGATCCCTAGGGCAATGAGGAAAGTCCCAAGGCGCATTCCGTCGTCTCCCAAGGTCTTAGGATACGCCGCCTGTCCCGTGCTCCTGCCACCAAGTGCCCCAAGATTTCCGCTTAACAGAGTTTTAGAGTTTAGGGGTTTAGGCCATAGGGCTTTAAAAAAATTAGAGTTTACATGGGTTATGGGTTTAGGGTTTTGGAATCAGTGATGGTGCCTACCCTAAACCCTAAACTGTAAACCCTTATCCGGTCATACTGTACTACACCCCAAACCGTAGGACTGTAGAAGCGATGAGGCTACAGGGTTACCAGAAGCTTTTGTAGTTCTACCATAACCGCAAATAACATACCTGCTTAAGGACTCATATAAAGAAATCATAATAAAGAACCCTAAAAATGTAGGTTCCTTAGGGTCCAGGAAAAGGTTTGGCAGACGGGTTATTGTGAGGGTTGGAAACATGACGGTTACTTTAGGGGATACTTGATCAGGGTTCCGGTAGGATCCGGGTGAATGAAGAGTGATCGCCGTGAGGCTGCTGATTGAAAGCAGCAACGCTGCCTCCTCATGCCTCCGACAAGTTCATGACTAATGAGACTGTACACGCCGATCAGGCCTTGATACAATTCGCAAGAGGCGGAACCACTTAAAGATCCGGAGTCGGAGTAAATACCGACCCTGACTGCAAAAGCCACATGCGAACCCTGCTCAAAGCCCTTCTGAACACTCATATAACAATCCACCTTATCAAGCCGTACAGGGAGCCCATGAACTCATGAACCCTCCAGAAAGCTCCTGTGGAAGCAACTCGCCGCTACTGTAAGACCGCCTGATGGCCAAAATTTACGCTTTTGGCTTCAGGGCTATTGAGCACCAGATGCCCTAAACCCTGCACCCCTTAAGCCCCAAAACCTAACCCCAAAGCCCCTAACCCCTAAACCTTAAACCCCAAAAGCCCCTAAACCCCTAAGCCCCTAAACCCCTAAGCCCCTAAACCCTCAACTCGCAACTGCACACCAACCCTGGACCGAAACCCCGAAAGTCTGAAATTCTAAATCCCTAAACCGCCCGAAACTTCCAACTGCACACCAACCCTAAACCCCCAAACCCCACCCAAATCCAAATTGAACCCTAAAACCGTGAACCCCTAAACCCCTAAACCACGGAACCCCTAAACACCGAAACCCTAAACCACGGAACCCCTCAACCCCTAAACCCCTCAACCCCGAAACCTCGAAGCCGTAAACCCTTTCCGGGAGCTCCTGAACCCCCAACCCCCAAATCTTAATTAAACCCTAAACACCGAAACCCTAAACCCCCTGAACCCCTAAACCCCGAAACCCCTAAGCCGTAAACCCCCCGACCCCCCGCGGGAGCTCTATTATGGGAACCCTAATCCCTGCTATACCCCCATAGGCTGAAACCTGTCTTGGCCTCCCATGATAAACCCCCCGGGAGCTCCTCACCATTGGTGGCCTCCAGCCAGATCCTTCGCCTCGGGCGCTGGTGCTTTGAATTGAAGCTCTTGGGTTGAGGATGTAGGGCTTGAGGTTTAGGGTTTAAGGGTTTAGGGTTTAAGGTGTAGGGTTTAAGGTTCAGGGTTTAGGATTTAGGGCTTTGGATTGAAACTCTTGGGATTAGAGTTTACGACTTTGGGATATGGGAATTGAAGTTCAAGGTAAAGTTGAGCGTTTAGGATTTAGGCTTTAGGGTCCTTAAACTATATTGTGTGCTTAGTATTGGCTGCTTAGTATTGGCTGCGTTGGAAGCCAAAAAAATCCCAACCCTTACCCCCCCCCCCCACCCCAAAGACCGACTCCCCTTAATTAGGGAATACTCCTTAGATCATATTAGCCTGCTATAATTTAAGGTATATGGGAGTTTCCGAACATAGGGGCACCTTCTTTTGGGGTCCTTGTAAGAAGGATCCTACCATTTAGGGTGCCATATCTCGGAAACTCCCATATTCCTGCATTCACGGATATTGGAGTCTCTGGGCTTCGGGAAGCCCTATACGTAAAGGATCAGGGGACTTAGTAAGTAGGTTTAGGAATAAGGTAGCTATACCCTAAACCCTAAAATCCTAAACCCTAAATCGTATAGCTGTATGTACTTATAACCCTCATTAAGGTACTAATAACCCTACTTACTAAGTCCCCATGATCCTCCAAGTACAGCCTGTGCCCCGAAGCCGCAGACCTCCCGATCATTTTCGAACCCTGATGGCCGACAAGCCCTAAATCCTTCTTATTCCCCGGAACCCCAAAGCCTAAGACCCTAAAACCCTAAACTCCCAGAGCCTGAGGGTGCCTAAAGCCTAAACTTACTCCCCCAATAAGCCACAGAAACAAAAGGTTAAACTTTCCGGTTCCACAACTATAAGAACCCAAAAAGTTTAAAGGTTGGGCATTGGGGATCTAAGTAAACCCCATGAACCCGAACATCCCTACGACGAACCAGGCATCAAGGCTGTGAAACGGTTTAGGGTTTAGGGCCCCACCTCGTCGGTGCACTTCGTCAATCGGCGTGTCCTCAGCAGGATTGCTGGGCTGCTTTGTTCAAAACGGTTTAGGGATTGGGGTTTGGGTCCTGGTTTGGGGTTCGGGTCCTCTAGATTCCACACGGCTGAAAAATGGATTAATCTTGGGGGGTCTCAATCATCAGAATAGGGTTTTGTTGTCTCTTCTTGCAGAAGGATACCATTAAGCCACCCAAGGGAACAGAACTGGCGAATTTTCTGGCCCCTGTATTGCTTCGGGCCTTACAGAGGTTAGGGTTCGAGAAGGATTTCTTTCAAGGCTTCGGATTATCGGGTGTTGGAATCTTAGGGGAATGCATGCACACCCCGGATTCCTAAACCTCCGAAGAACCATGATAGGCATCCTAATCTTAAGGCCCTGAAAGAAAGGGCCTACATTACGGTTTTAAAGGCCTTCGTTCCGCTAGGTGCCATTGTGCCACCCGGAAGGATGAAACTACTTGATCTAGTGCCAGGGTCGGATTCCGAAACAGTTGCCAATAGCATTCTCTCATAGTTCCTATAGAGGCATGATATAATATACTCCGGAGCCCTTGATCTGAATCATCGCAATCGGTGCCTGCGGCACAGGCAGAGTGCAATTTCAGAGTGAAACTGAAGGGTCCTAAATATGCGGAGCATTATCCCTACATAAGGGTTCCTGAATACATCCACGGTATCATCTCACCCCGCCTTAAGCCTCTAGTCTAATTACTAAGGCCCCTATGTTGGGTTTGGGTTTGAGTTGTTGCTCAGCTGCTCGCGCTGTGAGCATGGTACAAGTAACAATCCCTGGTGCATGATAACTTTCAGGGTTTAGGGATTTAGGGTTTAGGGATTTAGGGTGTAGGGGTTTCGGGTTTAGGGATTTAGGGCTTAGGGACTTAGGGTTTAGGGTTTAGGGTCCATCAGGCGTCAGAGTTTCCATCTCACCTGGATCTCTGCGAACCTCTAGGAAAGCCTTGGCCTCACCATTTAGAATACAATTTTGTCATTTCACTATCACTATACCATAATTAGGGATCGCGTTAACTAACACCCAAATCCTAAATGCCAAAACCCTTCCAGGTATCCTGGAACCCTAAAAGAAACTCTTGAAGAACCATTACAGAAACCCGGAAATGAGCCCTTAAAGGAAACATTAAAGGATCCCCTACAGAAACTCATAAACAAAACCCTTCAAGGATCCCTGACAGAAACCCTTAGAAGGAGCCCTTTAAAGGATCCTTTCCAGAAGCCCTTAAAATGAACCCTTAAAGGATCCCTTACAGAACCCTTTACCTCAAAAGGAACCCGAAAAGGATCCTTTCCAGAAGCCCTTAAAAGGAACCCTTGAAGGAACCCAGAGAGGAACCCTGAAAGGCTAGGATACCCAGTAACCTAAGAATAAAAAGGCCTCTCTTTTTGGTATTGGGTAACTTTATAAGGAACCTAGGACTACAAAAAGGGGAATAAGGGTACTACTGGGCATCCTAGTACATGGGTGGTTGTCAAAATTATGGTCCGTTTTGGGATCCCTATAATATATAGTACGGCACCTGAAATTTAGGGTATCCAAAAAGGGACAATAATTTTGACATCCTAAACCCTAAACCCTAAACCCTAAACCCTAAACCCTAAACCCTAAACCCTAGAAGGACATCACCCTGCCAGGTTTCGGAGCAGAACGAGTCCCAGAGGTCGTCCAGGCGACGAGGGGGCAACGCTGCCCCGCAATCGGCCCAAAAGCCACCTGCTTTAGGGGCCTTGAGGGATTGAGAGGTTATGGGTTGAGGGGTTTACGGGTCAGGGATTCAGGGTCTTAGGGTTTGCGGATTCAGGGTTCAGAGGTTTTTAGGGTTTAAGGTGGTTTAAAGGAAGATTCGGAGGTTTAGGGTTTAGGGCTTTTGGAGTTTTGGGGTTTGGCAGCGTCTGGGGCAGGGTTCAAGTCGACGCCGTTCAATGAAACTAGTACGCAGATTTATGCAGTGCAGTACAATGGTATCGCAAACAACAAGAATAATGGCGCTTATGCAGTCGTATGTGATAGATAGTCAGGTGCATGTGTGTATATATAAATATGATGGACATGCTGTCATCATGCAGAGGGTGATATATACACATATATATATATACACACATATGTATATATATATATATATACATACATATATATGTAAATATAAAAACATAAAACACATAAATATTATATATATATATATATGAAAACACATATACATGCATATACATGCGCATCAAACACAAAAAAAAACGGAGAGCCCGGCCTCGGAACTTCATGTCTCCCGACTGGCTGTGACCCGTCACGATGAGGTACTCGCCTGGACTTTGGGAGTTAGGATTAGGGGGACCCTTGGGGATATAGACCCTCTGAATAAGGCCCCTTTCAAGAGAGCCAGAAGTTGGGTTCAGAAGGGGTACCCTTTAAGGGGTCTCCCTAATAATACTCGCCTGCACTTGGCGGGTCGGGGGACTTAGTAAGTAGGGGCTCCTTTAAAAGGGGATTCTAAGGGTTCCCTTAAAGGGGTCTATAAGGGTACTATAGGGTTTAGGGTTTAGGGACTTAGTAAGTAGGTAGTAAGTAGACTTATAAGTACCCTAAAAGGGACCCTAATTGGGGTTATGGTACTTATAAGTCCCCAAAAAAAACAACTTACTAAGTCCCCCGACCCTCCAAGATGGGTTTTTCGGTTGGAGGGTTCCTTTAACCCAGAGACCCGGTTTGAGTTTAGGATTTAGGGTTTCAAGGATTTAAGGGTTTAGGGCGTCTAGGGTTTAGGGTTTCTAGGATTTAAGGGTTTAGGGCGTCTAGGGTTTAGGGTTTCTAGGATTTCAGGGTTTAGGGCTGTTAGGGTTTAGGGTGTTTGAGTTTAGGGTTCGGCTATCACCCAGACCCCCGGGAGGATCTAGAAAGTAGATCCCCTAATTTGGGGCCCCATACTACTAAGGGTACTTTATAGGAACCCCCATGAAGGGATCTACTTTGCGGTTCAGGGTTCCGTAAAGGTTTAGGGTTGCAGTTTTACCCATGTAATCAACTGTTCCTAGCCGAGCCCTTAACCCGAAATCTTAAACCCTAAACCCTAAACCCCCAAACCGTAACCCTCGACCCGAATTACTAAACCCTACACCCCAAAACCCTAAAGCCCTAACCTCTAAACAGCTGAGCTTGCCTGGCTTCGCAACGACACCAAGTCGTCTAGAAGCAGACCCGCTGACGGCTTCGGCCAGCAGATCTGTGACATCGACGCCATAGAAGACCTGCCCAAAGCTTAGGGCTTTAGGCTTCCTTTACAGCGAACTCGGAGGGTTCCAGTGAAGTGAACTATAAGGGCTGCTGTAAAGGGAACTGCAAAGGTTCTACAAGGGTTTTAGGGTCTAGGATTTTAGGATTAAGGGTAGGGCTAAGGTTTAGGGTCTACGGTTTAGGGATCTATCTTTGAGCTTAATGCGACTCCAAATCCCGGTGCTCAAGGAATGTCACCGACATCAGGTGGAGGATCCTTCTATATACACTTTACTACTTCAGCAGCATACCTCACTGCGGACAAGAGGCATGGCACACTGCGGAGCTTTCTCTCGATACGACTATTGTTGCTTTTAGATTAACTGCGAATACTGTTTAGGGTTTAAGCTTTAGTAGCGTGGAACGATACTATCAAGAAATCGCAGCAAGAGTTAATAACAATGACAACCCTTTTCCTATTATTTGGTTTTAATTTAGGGAACCCATAAAGACAAAGGGCAACAAGGTACTACTGAGGAACCTAGTCCCCAAACCCTAAACCCTAAAACGCTAAACCCTAAACTCCTCAACCCTGAACCCCTAAACCCGTTAGGATCCGGGTAGGGCTTAGCGGCGTGTGAAACTGGGCTCCGGGCCGAGTCAATCTCATCGTTCAGCACCAACTCACAGTTGACGCGATCCTTAGCGAGCTTTAGGGTTTGTAGCTTACAGGGATTGGGGTTTGGGGTTCAGGGATTAGAATCTGGCTCTAAATCCCTTACGATAGGTCCCTTATAAATTATCCTAGACCTTATGTTTATGGAGTCCATGTTTGGACCTCTGCAACCGGAGCAGCGTCGCGCTGCTTGGCGAAAGTCTGGAAGCCGCAGCTCAGCGCATCGCAGGCAGGAAACTGGAGCGAAGCGCAGGCGGCCCCGCCGAATTGGAGACCTGGGTCATGAATCTGTGGGGGCTTTAAGGGTTTAGGATGGTTTAAGGTCCCTTTAAAGGGATCCTATATGGGCTCCTTTAAGGGATCCTGTAAAGGATCTATGAGGGTTTTGGGGTTTAGGGTTTTAGGGGGTGTAGGCCATGAATGTTTGGGGGTTCTAAGCTGTAGGGTTTAGAGTTTGGGGCTTTGCGGTTTTGGGTGTTGAGGAGTTGAGGAGTTTGGGGGCTGGGGGGTTCAGTGGGTTTAGGGTTTAGGGGTTTAGGGTTGTAGACCTAGGGGCTGTGGTTCTAAGGCTTACCTGGACCCTGAGAAGCCTACGTTTTCAGGGCTCCTTATTACGATTTCCTTAGTTTTTCTTGTATAATGAAGGTCCTCAAAAAAGGTTGAGGTTAAGGTGCGGTTTAGGGCGTACCTCGGGCCATGAATCAGCGGGTGTACACGTAAGTCTGGCGAGTTCCGTGGCGTCGGATCTGCTTCTCAAAGGGTTGCTGCCGATCCCCTTATCACCTGTAACGGGCTGGAGATTTGCATACTGTCCAATAAACCCTGTACAGAACTCTTTCGGAACCCTAAGCCGCAAGTCCTGAAACCTAAACCCTCTATGGAACCCTTATAGTCTTATAGCCTCATAGAACCCTTATCTAGAGCCCTTCCAGAGCTCGCCAAGCAGCAAGACAAAGTTGTTGGGTCGCCATGGCTAACATAGACGCAATCCTCGCAGGGGGCGAGCACCGGACAGAAAGCCACGGTTCAGGGTTCAGTGGGTTTGGCTGTAGGGTGCACCTGGACCATCTATCTTGGGTAGTGGTTTGATTCAGGGTCCCTTTTTAGGTCCCAAATATAGTACGGCACCCTTACTCAAAGAAGCCCCAGAAGGGACCATAATTTAGAAAACAACCCATATAGCATGCTACATTAACTGAGTTCAATTATAGTTTTGTGCATTGTTTGTTGCTTAGAAATTCCAGAACTAAGACATAATTTTCACTTCGAGTTATATATACTGTATATATTTATAAGACCAGCGCTTGGGGTTTTATACAGTAGAAACACGGACAAAAGCGGATGTGTTCACAAATCATTCAGGCCCCCGTATCAACCTCTACCCCCCCCCTGCCCAGCGTCCTCTTCTTCGGCACAGAGTTCCTGGCAGGCCTCGTTCATGGTTCCGGGATTAGGAATCAGGATTGAGGGTTTTGGATTTAGGCTTTAGGCTGTTTAAATTTTCGGGCCAAGCCGCAAACAACATGAATCCTGAACCTGCAGCCTTAAACAGACAAGCGGCCCGCAAAACCCTCAACCCGTCAACCATAGATCTTAAGCACCTAACCCCAAATCGTAGCCGCCATGGACAAGAAACTGCAGTGGCCGTAATATAAATAAAGACCTCAAAACACTGTGCCCCGGCCTACCCGAAACCCACAGAAAACACAAAGAATAACGAATAGGGTTGTCTTCTAAACTAGCTGTCGATTTCAACAGCCCCAACAAGTATTCGTAGCTAGGGTTCTATATTAAAGTGGAAGCCAGAAAATTGAAACCTTGTTGTCCCCATGCCCCTTAGGTACAGCAGAGGGAATTCCAGCATTAATCATCCTACACCCATGTACCAACTTTCTGGGTTCACTGTAAACAATCGGGAAAATTAACAGCTATCCCAAATCGGCACCTAGTAAGTAACCGGGGGCGACCTCGGCCGACTCCACACCAAGAACGGATCGCAATGGCACACCACCTGGGCTCGCCACATTTCTTGAATGTTTAAGAATTTTGGCTTGAGGTTTAGAGGTTTAGAGGTTCCGGCTTAGCGCTTTCGGCTTAGCCAGGTCCCTTAAGCTTTCAATTTGTGGTGTTTTTGAGGGTGCTTCGTAGCGGGGCTTTCTATTTAGGGTCTCTGTTATGGCCCCTTCTTTTCTCAAACTCCCATACTGCACGGCTGACAGACAACATCCGACCCTACCCCCATTCATGAAACATCCATATAATTCTCACAATCTGGGGTACGCAAGGCGTCGAGTAATGCAGGGTTTTGTACATAAGGGATTTGGGACCCAGGGGTTTCGCGCATAGTCAGCCCTACAAAACACAATCCGAAAGCCGAAGCTCTAGACTCTAGACCTATTCTACTATTTGCTTAAGAAACCACCAAAAAATAAAAATAATAATCCCTATATTATCCCCATAAGGAATATCTTTTTTTATTTGTTGGGGGTTCTTAAGCAAATAGACCTATTGAAATACCCCCCAAACAGCCGCTCTTCAGACCGAACTGACCCAACTCCTGAACCTCAGGTTTTTGTAGTTTCTCAATGAGCTTTTCTTACCCTATCATTACCCCTGCAAACCTCCTCTATGTTCGGAGGTCTGGGTCTTTCTAGTTTCCTTCGGACCCGGTCAAAGGCCCTTAAGCAGGCCCCACGAGCTCTATGCCCCAAAAAACTGCCGCCCATGGCACTGCACAGGCCATCTCCGTGGAAAGCGAAGTTCATCACATTTCGCTCACCGACCTCTGAAAAGCGGGTGTGATGCTGCATTTCCTGGGGCTTTCTGATTAATATGGGGGGCCTCACCAATTGGAATAGGGATCCCTTTAAAGGGCTCCTTTAAAGGGGTCAATAAGGGATCTATTGCAGGCTTCTATTTTACGGGCCTCAATTAGTAGTATAGGGTTTGGGCGCCCACTATACTATAGTTGTGATAAGGAACCCCAAAATCCCCCTAAGGTAAAAGCCAGAAAGTTGGAATATGATTATCCTAACCCTTCTATGGAAAATTATAAGGTATCCTACCATGAAACCATATTCCAACTTTCTAGAGTTTCCCATATGTTAGTTTACAAGGGGTGTACAGGTTTATCTGGGCTCAAAAGGAAGATCGGAGCCGGGGGGATTCTCAGGAAGTCTTGCTGCTGCTGTAGGGTTTAGGGTTTAGGGTTTAGGGTTTAGGGTTTAGAACTGGTCTTACATTCCCGGTTTCGCCCGAATACAATTCCCTGAGAGAGGGAATACTACAATAAAACTTATCGGAGAAGGGATACCTGTGTCCCCAAACCCTAGAAGAAGTAAGATCCCCGATATACATGCAATCAAAGTGCAAGATTTCTCCACTCCTAGATACTCAGGCCCCCTGCCCGGTACGCAGCATTTTTGAACCCCTAAACCCTAAACCTTCTAATCAATAAACCCTATAAGCCTAAAACCCTAAACCCTTAACCCTTAAAACCCTTAAACCTAAGGCGCCCTCACTCTGCCTGGTACGCGGCATACTTGTAGTTCTGTCGTCCTTCTCCTGGCACCGACGAGGTCCATTGCGGCTCGCTGGGCGCCTCCCGGGAAAGCTCCGATCTTGGTGGTTTCGGTTTTAGGACTTTCTTTCGGGTTTAGGGTTTAGGGCTTCGGGGGATTATGGACTTTTTTGGGGTTTAGGGTTTAGGGTTTTGGGGTTTAGGGTTTTAGGGTTTCAGGCTTAGGGTTTCGGGTTTTTTAGAATTTTAGGGTGTAGGGTTTGGGGGTTTAGGGTTTCGGGTTTGGGACTGAGGGGTTGCAACCTTTGGCCTGAATCATTAGATTAAGATTTAGGGTTTAGGGTTTAGGGTTTAGGGTTTAGGGTTTAGGGTTTAGGGTTTAGGGTTTAGGGTTTAGGGTTTAGGGTTTAGGGTTTAGGGTTTAGGGTTTGGGTGGCTTCTTTCAGTGTTCTTATATCCCGGAACCCCAAGGAATCATGCGACTAACTACTGAGGTGCCTTCATTGGGCTTACTTTGGGGGTTCAGGGTCTGAGGGTTGGGGGGTAGGTAATCTTCTGTTGAAGATTGGGTTGCCCAGTCTGCGATGAAAGAGATGAAGTTGAAGCCATCCCGGAATCCCCATCCGAAATGATTAGTGCTTTAGCATTTTCAGGTTTAGTGTTTTAAAACTCAAAACCCTGCCCCATCCAAGTAGAGATTCCTTAAAGGGCCCCTTAAAGTGATCCCCTATAGATCCCTTAAAGGATCCCTTAAAGGACCCCTTTAAAGGGAACCCTAAGTTTCAAGGCTTTGGGCTCTCCCTCTCCCACCTCGCCCGGTGCGCAGTTGCCTCAGTTATCAGTGCGACTTTTGTTGGGCAGTCGGCACTTTGAGGGCTTAGGGACTGCTATTCTTAGAAGTCCAATTACCTCGGGCTGTCGTGATCAGCTACCCGCTATCATGATTACGCAGACTATTCCCCTTGCCATAAACCGTGAACCTTTTGAACACAAAAACATAAACTCCTAAACCCTGTACCCTAAAAACCCTAAACCCTAAACCCTAAACCCTAAACCCTAAACCCTAAAAACCCTAAACCCAAAATTAAACAGTTACTTGGCGACCAAGATACCAGGGAACCCCACCTCGGTCTCGAGGCCATCACAGCGGGGCCAGGCATTGCGATCCTCCAACGCATCCTGCCACCCCCAAGACGGAAGCCTCAAAACTCAAAAGCCCTGTAGCCTAAACCCTAAACCCCTAAACCCAAAAAAACCTTAAGCCCTTAGACCTGAACCTCCTAAGCAAGCCTATACAAACCCCATATGCCAGAAAGCCCTTGAGGCAACCCTATGGAACTCGTAACGCTTGTGGGTGTTTCCGAATATTAAGCCTTGTAATAAGGATCCTACTATTTAAGTTACTATACGTAGTAGGGTCCCTTATTTTCGGAAGCCCCCTTATCAGAGAGGCCAGGAATTAACCCAAGGAGCCCCAAGACGGCCAGAGATCCCTCAACCACCATGGAGGGGGGGGGGGTTATTGTGGCGAACTAGAACTTGGCGGACTTCTGAACCCATCCTACAAGTTAAACTTTTAGCCTCCTTATTATAGTTCATATAGAAACCCAAAAAGTTAAAGTCTAAAGAGCCAACCAGAAGAACGCCAAGAGAATAGAAGGGGATCCCACAAGGGTTGTAGAAGGGCCTGTGAGGGTGCTAGAGAAGTTTGGAGATTTAAGGGGGGGGGGGGGGGGTGCCTCTCTTCTTCAACAACCAGGCCGCAAAAAGTTCAAACTTTAAAAGATAGAGCTAATATATGAGGCCAAAAAGTTTAAAGTTCCCCCGTTCACTATCTAAGGTGCAATATGATTTAGTTACACAACGAACCCTCAAGAAAATATTACGAATTACCATTCTGACTCTCTGACCCTGTATTGAACCCTTAGACCCTTAGACTCTAAATCCGAAACCCTAAACCCTCCGGGTGCTCAAAAACTGATTTTGCGCTCGCCTGCAGCGAGGAGTAGAGGTCGAAGTCTGTGTGAAGTCCTCTCTTAGGGACCCAAGAAGGCACATAAACATAAGGGTTTAGGGTCTAGGGTTTAGGGATATCCCTATCTTATTGCGCCTCATTATGGGGGGGTTATATGGGATATTCCGAACCTTGCTTTGGCTCATGTGCTTCTTGGGGCCCTACTCTCCAAGTGAAGCGGACCCCATTAAGGCGCAGAGCTCGGAATTCGTTGGGGGCTCAATATATGTTGAAGTAGCGCTAGTCTTTAGGTTCGCTGTGTTATATATCTATATATATAGAGAGAGAGAGAGAGAGAGAGAGAGAGAGAGAGAGAGAGAGAGAGAGAGAGAGAGACAGAGAGCTCATGTTTGCAGTTTAGGCGGCATGAGGCATGAGGCGCTAAACCCTAAACCTGAGACCATCTGAAATCCAAAAACACTTGGAACAAAGCCACCTTCCGTGGAATCACACAAACAGCGGTCCATTACCAAATGCAGCCCACCCCGAACCCCAAACCCACCCGAAATCCCCGGTTTAGGGTTTAGAGTTTAGGGTTTAGGGTTTCGGGTTTAGGGTCATCAACCAAACCTGAAAGCCAGGACCCAACTGAAAACGGCCAAGAAGTCATGGCCCCTACCTTTGAAACCCTGCACCCAACCTAAAGTTCAAAAGCCACAGACCACAGAGCCTGCCCCAAACCCTAAACCCTCAACCCCAAATAACCAACCGTTTTAAGGACTTATATAAAAAATTCATAATAAGGAACCCTAAAAAGGTAGGTTCTTTGGGGTCCAGGCAGAGCCTACACCTTTTTGACCTTCCAAACAACAAGCCCGATGATAAGCTTACGTAAGGTTTTGTATTCAGGCAATTAGGGTGCTGGTTTAGGGTTTAGGGTTTTAAGGTCTTAGGGGGTGCTAAAGTACCTTGGGGGGATGCCACTATTAGGCACTTGGACCCTGTGGGGTTTAGGGTTCAAGGATGTTAGGGAGTATGTAACTATTAGGTCCTTGGGCCCTTCTTGGGGCAATTAAACCCTTTAGACTTCACCGCTTAACCTAAGCCCTAAACTCTAAGCCTCAGGCCCTGAAGTCTAGACGCTGAACCCTAAAGCCTAAACCCCCTTCAGAATCTAAGGAATCTAGGGCTTGAAGCCCCGAGGGCCTTGCCAGGACCAGGCGGAGATAACCCTAAACCCTCATAGTTCCCAAAGAAGGAACCCTTAAAGTACCCTTAAAGGAGCCCACAAAGTACCCCTTAAGGCTAGGTACTTGGGACCCTTTGGGAAAGGGCCTTGCCAGGACCAGGCGGAGATAACCCCGGTGTAGGCATCCCAGGTATCCAGGCCCTTCTTCCGCCTGCCAGAAACAGCCCGAAACAAGCAACTTCCGCAAGGCGTCGGGGGCTTAGGGTTTCGAACGGCTGAAGATATAAATCCTGCATTACCCATATAAGGAATATACATAATTCCCATAGTGTAGGGTCCTAAAGGTAATGCAGGATTTATACCATCAACCGAAGGTCTCGGGTTTAGGGTATGGGTGTCAACGAACGGCGTTTTTGAAGTCTAGGGCCCGTTTTTCAAGGGTTTACCCTAAGGCTCCTGGACCCTTGTCGTGAGATCCCGAACCCTAGCCCCCAAAGCCGAAACCCTCCCCCAGAGAGCCCATGAACGTCTTAGGAGCCTTAGGGTAGACTTTGGAAATGCGGATGCTTGTTGGGGTGTGGCGTCTCGGCTCCAGGGGTCAGAGTGCACCTAGAGGCTCATACCCTACACCTTCTTTATGATACCTAGTTTCATCTAGAGAGAGAGAGAGAGAGAGAGAGAGAGAGAGAGAGAGAGAGAGAGAGAGAGAGAGAGAGAGAGAGAGAGAGAGAGAGAGAGAGAGAGATGGAATGCGCGTGCTTATGCTTGTTACTGTTGTAGCACACTGTCTACGTGCAGCATGCATACATATTCTGCACACATAAGTTTTCATCTGCGACATAAACAGATGGATAGATCGTTAGAGAGTTATGTAGCTAGGTTTTAGACGGATAGAACGATAGGTGGGTAGATGGAAGAAAAGATAGGTAGATACATAAATGGGAGTTTCCGACAATAAGGGTACCTTATTTTGGGGGTCCTTATAATAAGGATCCTACTATTGAGGGTACCATATTAGGGTGCCCTATTTTCGGAAAGTCCCAAATTTTCAAAAAAATACAGCTGGACCGCACAGCCTCACTGAAACTCTTGAGGCATGCAGTGGGGTGTAGTCTCGGGCTATGAAGGGACTCTTAGGCTCTAAATAGCATTTGGCCCTAAATCCTTAAAGCCCTAATAGGGCCCCAAAAAAGCACATAAGCAACAATGAGGATAGGGATATCCCATATAAACCCCCTTATAATGAAGCCCAATAAGGTAGGGATATCCCGGTAAAATGCTTATGCTTATGTGCTTTTTGGGTCCCTAACCTAAACCCCTGCAGAAACCGAAGGGCCTCAAGTAGATCTTCTTGTGGCTATCAACACAGTCCTGGCATTCTCGTCGAAGAATGCCTGGCGCTGGGCAGAATGAAGTGGGGGCTTGGACTTATACCCAGAGACTCCAACATCCCTTAATTAAGGAATATACCTTAAATTATAATAGGATCCCTAATATGATTTAAGGAATATTCCTTAATTAAGGGATATCGGAGTCTCTGGGTACCGGTTCCTCTTCACGAGCTCCTCAAACGGCTCCTTTAACTTAGTCCCCTAATAAGCCACAGAAATAAAGGGTTAAACTTTCCGACTCCTACTAAACTATAAGAACCCAAAAAGTTTAAAAGTTGGGTATTGGGGATCTAAGTTAAGGGCACAGACTCCTCAAAAACCCTTGCTCTGTACATCAACTCCTCATTCTTGTGCTGATGGAGTGGTTGGGCTTTTCGGGTGGTTCTCGGCATCCTCGCCCTAAGCCCTACCACCCCAAACCCTAAACCCTCTTATCCCTAAACCCCGTAAACCCTAAAACCTACCACCCCAAACCCTAAACCCTCTTATCCCTAAACCCCGTAAACCCTCAAACCTACCACCCCGAAACCTTAGAGTCTCCCCCAACTCCCTGAACTCCAAAACCGTCCCGGAGCGGCCAGACGTAAGGCCGTAAAGCCCACAACCCCCCAACCCTGGGTCCCGGTATCCTCTTTGCCAGGTTCCCGCAAACCCTAAACCGGAACCCTTAGCCCGACTTCAACCCCCAAACCCTACACCCTCACACCCCTAAACCCCTAACGCCTGCACCCCTAAACCCCAAACCCTAAAAACCCCTAAACCGTAACCCTGAACCTAAGCTCTAGTACCCTAATGGTCCAAGTACTCAACACTATTGGACTTTTGGGCCTTTTTAGGTCCAAAAACCGAAAACAAAACGACTACCTGGACCCTTAGGGAATGTTTGTAAGAACTTTCAATTGTGGGCCCGAAACCCTTAGACCCTGAACCCATAACCCTAAACCCCGAAACCCCTAAACACCTAAACAGCAAACCCTAAACCCCTAAACACTAAACCCCCAACCTTAAACACCTAAACCCTAAAACAACCGCAAAGCTCGTGTGTATCCTTTTTGCCAGGTTGCCAGTGCCCACGTCTCTAAAGCGCGTGTTGAACTCCTCCCGAGGACCCCGGTGCTAGGGAGCAGAGTTCTAAGGTTAAGAGTTGCAAGGTTTAGGGTTTACCTATAGTCTCCATTGTAGTTCCTTTTTTGGTTTAACCAATTTTTTTATTAAGGATCTTATAAGGTAGCCCAAAAAAGGAGCTACCATGAAGACTATAGGTAGGGCTTTAGGGTTTCGGGTTTAGGGGTTTAGGGTTTGGGGTTTAAGGCTTGGGGTCAGGGATCTTAAAATGCCTAGGCGGTCGAGGGGTTAGGGCTTTAGAGTTTCGCGTTTCGGGCTCAGGTGTTATCTGAGAGTTTCAGACAAGTAGCAAGATGCCACTCCAGGCGTCGAACAATATGCAATAAAATCTCAATATCAAAATTCCTACAAAATTAGGCTACTCCTGAACCCTGAACCCTAAACCCTAAACCTTCAACCCTAAACCTTAAAACCTAAACCTTAAACCCTAAACCTTGAAACATAAACCTTAAACCCTAAACCTTGAAACCTAAAGGAAGCAAGACGTATGCATTCACAAGACGCATGCAGGTCCTCAGCGCCCAACTCGATCTGACCAAAGAGGCCTGCGATGCACAGAACTTCACCCTGGGTTTAGGGGTTTAGGCTTTAGGGGTTTAGGCTTTAGGGTTTAGGGTTTAGGGGTTTAGGGTTTGGGGGTTTAGGGTTTAGGGGTTTAGAGTTTAGGGCGTCAGGGTTCCTCTACGGGCTCTTTCGAGGGTTCTGGGCTTCAGGGTTCCTTTAAGGGTTGTTTCAAGGGCTCTAGGGTTCCTCTAAGGGTTCTTTTAAGGGTTTTAGGGGTTCAAGGGCTCCGTTAAGGGTTCTTTCAAGGGTTCTAGCGTTCCTTTAAGGGTCCCTTCAAGTTTTCTGGGGTTCCTTTAAAATCTCTTTCATGGAGGTTCGAGGGTTCCTTTAAAGGTCCTCTCAAGGGTTGTAGGGTTCCTTTAACTTCTCTTTCAAGGGTTCTAGGTTCCTATGAGGGTTCTTTCAAGGGTTCCATCCAGGCTTCAGGTTCCTCTAGAATTCTGTTGAGGGTTCGAGTGCGTTCTACTTGAAGGACTCCTTCGAAGGTTCTAGGTTCTAGGGTTCCCTTTAAGGGTTCTTTCAAGGGTTTTAGGGTTCCTTTAAGGGCCGCCTGAACTTGTTTAAAGATACAGCATAATCCGCGCACTTGTCCGAGTCTCGTCGTGCAGCATGAGCGGCGTGGCGGCGAGACCAGCTGAAGGCATGGAACAGACTTTCTACTTATGCTACTGTACCTAGGTTCCTGAGCAGGCCCTTAATAAGGGTACCCTTGTTCCTAATATTCAGTTTTAATAAGCAAATCCCAAACTAAAAAAGGCAAAAGGGTACTACTCAGGAACCTAGGCACCCAAAAGGCTAGGCAGGACAAGATCGATGCCTTTGGAGTGCAGCGTCCGGAAGCTGATCGCAGGCTTGGGCAGCATACCTCGGGAACTGTTGCTGTTGGAGGCGCTACACAAAAACCTGCCTCCCGATTTGCTGCGAAGCAGGAGGGAGGCGGAGCGGTTTTTTTTTTTCCTAGGTCTGGCCCTCCCCGGCTTGCTTTCCTAAGTCTGGCCCACTGGTTGTGGTTGCCAACAGCGGCAACTGCGGTCTTTGCTGCATCAAGCTATTGGGGAACTAGAATTTGACGGCTCTGGTTTTGCTTCTGTTTTGCATGAAGCTATTGGGGAACTACAACTTGCGGAGTCTGATTTTGCTTGTGTTTAGCATGAAGCTGTTGGGGAACCACAAGTTGCAGGGTTCGGTTTTCTTTGTGTTTTGTATGAAGCTATTGGGGGGTTCGCATTTGTAGGGATCGGTGTTGCTTGTGTTTTGCATCAAGCTATTGGGGAACTACAATTCGCAGGGTCTTCTTCTGCTTGTGTTCTGCCTGAAGCTATTAGGGAACTAGAATTTGCGGTGTGTTCATCTGCTTGTCTTTTGCATGAAGCCACTAGGGAACTACAATTTGCGGTGTGTTCTTGTGCTTGTGTTTTGCATCCAGCTAATGGGGGAACGACAATTTGCGCGGTCGGCCTTGTTTGTGTTTTGCATCAAGCTATTGGGGAACTACAATTTGCAGAGTCTTTTATTGTTTGTGTTTTTCATCAAGCTAATGGGGAACTAGCATTCGCAGGGTCTGGTTTTGCTTGTGTATTGCATGAAGGTATTGGAGCACTACAATTTGCAGGGTCGTGTTTCGCGTGTGAATAGTGCGAAATGCCAATTTCAAATCTTCTGTCTTCTGGCGTTGTTTTTTGGTGTCGTTGTCGACATCTAGGTCATCGTCGTCGTCGTCCTCGTCCTCGTCCTCGTCGTTGCCGTCGTGGTAGTTGTTCTTGTTGTTGTTGTTGCTGTTGCTGGTGTTCTTGTTGTTGCTGTAGGGTTCGGTTTTCTTTGTGTTTTGCATGAAGCTATTGGGGGGTTCGCATTTGCAGGGATCGGTGTTGCTTGTGTTTTGCATCAAGCTATTGGGGAACTACAATTCGCAGGGTCTTCTTCTGCTTGTGTTCTGCTTGAAGCTATTAGGGAACTAGAATTTGCGGTGTGTTCATCTGCTTGTCTTTTGCATGAAGCCACTAGGGAACTACAATTTGCGGTGTGTTCTTGTGCTTGTGTTTTGCATCAAGCTAATGGGGGAACTACAATTTGCGGGGTCGGCCTTGTTTGTGTTTTGCATCAAGCTATTGGGGAACTACAATTTGCAGAGTCTTTTATTGTTTGTGTTTTTCATCAAGCTAATGGGGAACTAGCATTCGCAGGGTCTGGTTTTGCTTGTGTATTGCATGAAGGTATTGGAGCACTACAATTTGCAGGGTCGTGTTTCGCGTGTGAATAGTGCGAAATGCCAATTTCAAATCTTCTGTCTTCTGGCGTTGTTTTTTGGTGTCGTTGTCGACATCTAGGTCATCGTCGTCGTCGTCCTCGTCCTCGTCCTCGTCGTTGCCGTCGTGGTAGTTGTTCTTGTTGTTGTTGTTGCTGTTGCTGGTGTTCTTGTTGTTGCTGTAGGGTTCGGTTTTCTTTGTGTTTTGCATGAAGCTATTGGGGGGTTCGCATTTGCAGGGATCGGTGTTGCTTGTGTTTTGCATCAAGCTATTGGGGAACTACAATTCGCAGGGTCTTCTTCTGCTTGTGTTCTGCTTGAAGCTATTAGGGAACTAGAATTTGCGGTGTGTTCATCTGCTTGTCTTTTGCATGAAGCCACTAGGGAACTACAATTTGCGGTGTGTTCTTGTGCTTGTGTTTTGCATCAAGCTAATGGGGGAACTACAATTTGCGGGGTCGGCCTTGTTTGTGTTTTGCATCAAGCTATTGGGGAACTACAATTTGCAGAGTCTTTTATTGTTTGTGTTTTTCATCAAGCTAATGGGGAACTAGCATTCGCAGGGTCTGGTTTTGCTTGTGTATTGCATGAAGGTATTGGAGCACTACAATTTGCAGGGTCGTGTTTCGCGTGTGAATAGTGCGAAATGCCAATTTCAAATCTTCTGTCTTCTGGCGTTGTTTTTTGGTGTCGTTGTCGACATCTAGGTCATCGTCGTCGTCGTCCTCGTCCTCGTCCTCGTCGTTGCCGTCGTGGTAGTTGTTCTTGTTGTTGTTGTTGCTGCTGTTGCTGGTGTTCTTGTTGTTGCTGTTGTTGTTGTTGTGGTTGTCGCGGTGGTTGTGGTTGTGGCTGGTTGGACCCAAATCCATGGGCTTGCCGTCGGCATTGCGGATGGAAGCGAGCGCCAAGCTTTGGGTCCGGCGTTTCAGGTTTGGGGTTTAGGGTTCAAGGTTTGGCGTGTGAGGCTTGCAACTAACTCATCGGGCTCGGGGTCTGTGGCTGAGGGCATTTGGCCATCAGCTCGCGAGCGAGCATTACTTTGGAAAATGTTTCCCGACTCGTCCTTTGGTTCATCCGCGTTGGATGTAAAGCATGTCCCGTGCCGGTACAAGCAGTCTTGGATGAGTGCTTGATGCACTCACTCCTGAATGTTGAGAAGTATGAGGGAGGAAAGCTTGGCTCAAGTCTTCGCGGTTTGAGGGTTTAGGGGCACAGGACCAGGAGAGACCAGGGAACCAGGGGACCAGGGACTAGAAGACCGGAGGACCAAAGGACCAGGACCAGAGGACCAAAGGACCAGGGGACCAAGGGACCTTGGATGTAAAGCATTTCCCGTGCCGGTACAAGCAGTCTTGGACGAGTGCTTGATGCACTCACTCCTGAATGTTGAGAAGTATGAGGAAGAAAGCTTGGCTCAAGTCTTGGCGGTTTGAGGGTTTGGGGGTACAGGACCAGGAGAGACCAGGGAACCAGCGGACCAGGGACCAGGGGACCGGAGGACCAAAGGACCAGGGGACCAGGACCAGAGGACCAAAGGGCCAGGGGACCAAGGGACCATGGGACCAGACCTAGCAAGGCCCCCCAGACCAGGCCAGACCTAGGAAAAAAAAAACAGTGGACCCCAGGAGGGAGGGGTTTAATAAAGCAGTAATCCCTGGAGTACTGAAGCCCCTGTATATCACTAGACTGCTTGTATCATACCCCTAAACCCTAAACCCTAAAAGACCCCCCAAAACCCAGTTCAGTTTGGTAAGGCTCCATGATATTGGAACCCCCGAAGCTCTATAAATCTCCATACATATGGGGGTTTTCGAAAACAGAGGGTACCTTATTCTGGGGTCCTTATAATAAGGATCCTATTATTTAGGGTACTATTTTTAGGGTCCCCTATTTTCGGAAACATACATGTCCTGAAGGCGCGAGATCGGGAGGGCCGCCGAGACCAAAAAACCCTAGGCCCAACCCCAAATAGCCCACCGTTTTAAAGAAATCACAATAGGGAACCCTGACCTCCTAAGCCAACCCCAAACAACCGACATTTCTAAGGACTTGTATAAGGAGATCATAATAGGGAACCCTAAAAAGGAAGGTTTTGCAGGGTCCAAGTAGATCCTAAACCGCAACAGGTCTCTTGCACATCTCAGCAGCTGCTGTACGCTTAGGAAATCTTTTTGGTTTAGGGTTCGGCGGAGGCTTCTTACTTAGAGGCCCAGAACACTTAGTAAGTAGGTTATAAGTAGGGTTATAAGTACCCTAAATGGAGTTACCCCAACTATAACCCTACCTATAACCTACTTACTAAGTCCCCTGGGCCTCCAAGTAATTCCTGGAAGGGATACAGCCCCGGGCTCCTACAAAGCTTCATTTCAGGGCTTAGCGGTTTGGGGTTTTAGGGTTTAGGGACTGCAGGGCTTAGAAAATTGTCTGTCTTTTCGGGTTGACTGCTTATGGGGTTTACTTCTTACAGGATTTCGGATGCAGCTTTTGTCGGTGATAGTTTAAGGTTCGGCAGTGGGCTTCTGAATGACAACCAAGGATACAAGAAAGCTCGAGATGTTATAGGAGCGCAACTGCACGGAACACCCACAACTGCGGAGCCACGTGCTGCCACTACGTGCCTGGTCCTGGTTCGAGCCGCCCTGGTGGCTTTCGACGCGACCCAAAGTGGCGACGCCAGCAGCAAACCGCTGCCACACCGCACTGGTAGTGTAAACGTCGACCCGACAAGCAAAACCGTCTTGCGAAATGCACTTGCCAAACCGAAGGGATGCATCCGGTGGCCTGCTTGCACCCACACGTCACGCATGCGGCGCATGTCTGGCTGCTGCGACCAACATGCAACCAAGTCACACATGCTGACACAGCAGTCGCTGCACGTCCGCCCGCGTCCGCAAGCGCTGTTGCTCTTTGAAAGTGAACACTGAACTGCACAATCTCCTCGGCATCGGCGCCGCGTGGCTCAGATTCCTCCGCAATTTCTGCTGCGGAAGCCTCAGAAAATAGACTTGACGCAGGTCCAGCATGCGCAGGGTTTTGGCCACGGACGGCGTCCGTCACCCATGCCACAACGAAAATGTTGCGCAGCGAATCCACCTCGTCCTCTGAAGACTGCATCACCTAACCACTGCGATCCTTCTGCACGGAGACTGGCCGACCCAAGACCTTCGACACACGAGACCGACCATAAAGCCCTAAAGTATCAGGATTCGGGGATTTAGGGCAGATCCCTGCGCATGAATCCTTTCAGGATCCCAGCCCCCGCGTGTCAAGTCTGCCATGTAGGGGCGCGTAAGTGTTTAGAATAAGGTGCTGAGCAAGTTATAGGATAACTATTATCAGCAACTCTAAGGGATATATATGTAATTCTTGCACCTTATACTACAACCTCTGCCTTAAATCATCTAGGACCTCCAAAACCGGCAAAACGAACATTATAGGATCCACACAAAGTGAGACAAACTATGGAAGACGGACAGCTGCATAGAGCCCAGAGGCTACAAATCATCCAGGAGATGATATAACTCTCTTCTTCAACAACCAGGCCCCAAAAAGTTCAAACTTTAAAAGATAGAGCTAATATATGAGGCCAAAAAGTTTAAAGTTCCCCCGTTCACAATCTAAGATAATTGGAAGCCTGTGAGTTTGTATTCCGACCCCTAAGTCAGTATAAAGGAACACTGTAAGTATTCCGGCCCAAGACTCCCCCAAAACCTAAACCCTAAAACCCTAAAACCCCTAAAGCCCTGAACCCCTAAAACCCTAAAACCCTAAACCCCTAAAACCCCCAAAACCCTAAACCCTATAAGCCCTACACCCTAAACCCAAAGCCCCTGAAGTGGTCGTCCAGGCACGGAAGGAGCAGTAGCGAGCCGCTTGTGATCCGATCGATGCCTTGGGCTCCAGTAGGCGGCAACCAATGTAGACCCAGGCAAAAGGACCATGGGACATAGTAGGGTTCCTTAAAGGGCTCCTTTAAGGGATCCTTTGGGGTTTAGGGTTTAGGGAGCTATAAGGGAAAGTAGATCCCCTAAGTGGGGCACTATGCTACTAAGGGTACTTTACGTATGGGAATCCCCATTAGGGAATCAATGTAGACCCCATTTTTTAGAGTTGAGGGTTCAGGGTGTGCGCTTAGGGTTAGGGCTTAAGGCCTAAACGCTCAGCCCCAACCCTGAACCCTCAACCCTGAAAGTTGAGGTTTGAGGGTTAGGCGTGCAGGGCTTGGGGCTGATTCATGAACCCCTCTGGATTAGGGCAGGGGCTTGAACATGACTGGGTTGTAGTTTTGGGGCTCTGAACTGAAAAGTATTTATGAATAGGTACCTCTATAGGAACCATAAAGGGACATTGAAAAGTTTCCCCAAATTGCAACCTAGATGAAGATGATCGTTATTCTCATTCGTACAACGGGGAGGCATTTTTCTGGATCAGGGATCTACTACAAATGCGAAAAAGATGCCCAGAAAAAGCAGATCTGGCGGGGGCAAGGTTGCGGGGTGGCACTTCGAGGGACCTCTCCTTCGGAAATCTTACGCAGACTGTGACCTGAACCGTTGACCCCGAAACCCCAACAATGCTGATGGGAGGCCGAAGCCGTATATGGAACCCTAATCCCTACTGAACCCCCATAGGCTAAAACCCCTTTTGGCCTCCTATGAAATGCGACCCAAAAGAAAGAACGACACCAACTCCTACCGAGCCTTGTCTGCTCCGAAAATACGCTTGGCTTTCGCCTGAGGACCGAGAACGAGCAGGTTTCATACAGGGGACTTCATGAATAGAACAGGTTTCTGGGGGGATGTAGTCTACCCATAGGCTCCATAGTAGTTCCTTTTTGGGATTACCTTATAAGATTCTAAATATGAGCCCCCAAAAAAAACTGCTACGGAGCCTATGGGTAGTTACGATAGTTACAAGGAGGAATCCTGAAGAACAGCATCGGTCTCAAACCCAGCACCCTAAAGAATAGCATCAGTTTGTAGAAACTCTAAGCCCTACCGGTAGCGGAAAAGACCTACCTTTTTAAGGAACTATTTTATAGAAGCCATCATAAGGAATCACAAAAAGGTAGGTCTTTGCGGCTACAGGTAGACCCTAAACCCTAAACCCCTAAACCCTGAACCCTAAACCCTAAACCTTGAACCCGAAACCCTAAACCCCTAAACCCTAAGCCCATAAAGCCCTAAACCCTGAACCCTAAACCCATAAAGCCCTAAACCCCCAAACCCCTAAACCTTAAACCCTAAACCCTGAACCCGAAACCCTAAACCCTGAACCCTGAACCCTAAACCCTTAACCCTAAACCCTAAACCCTAAACCCCTATACCCCAAAGATTAGGATTCGTGCTAATTTCGGCTTCTGTCTTCGAGACGAGGTTGCCCCTCACTTTAGGGGATACACCTTTAAAACAAAACGATGGTAGGGCTTTACGGGTTTAGGGTTTAGGGTACTCGGATTTAGGGGTTTAGGGCTTTAAGGGTTTAGGGTTCAGGGGTTCAGAGTTTAGGGGTTGAGGGTTCAGGTTGTAGGGTCCTATGAGGTTAGGTATATTCCTCAATTAGGGTGTACTGGGCTCGCTGGGAATGAGGACGCCCTTTCTCCCGTTGTTCAATCTTGAGGGGAGGCCAAAAGGAGGGTTTAAGATGCTTGGGCTAGAGATTCCTTAATATGAACCCTACTATGGGAACGCTAATCCCTACGAAAGCCCCATGGGCTAAAACCCCTTTTGGCCTCCTGTGAAATCTTGAGGGTAGGCATCAGAGTACTGGGGAAGACCTGGGTTTGGGCTTGGGGTTTAGGGCTTTGATGGGAGCCCAAAAACATATATGGGAGTTTCCGAAAATGGGGGTACCCTATTTGTGCTTATAATAAGGAACCTACTATCTAGGGTGCTACATCAGGGTCCCCTATTTCAAATTTCGGAAACTCCCATATAATATCACAACACAAACGTCAACGCCCCTACCAGGAAGGCTGGGTTTCCATGGTTTATGTGAACCCCGAACCCTAAACCTTCAACCCCAAAACCTCCACCTCAAACCCTCGACCCTCAACCCTTAATGCTAAACTCCAAGTCTACTTTGGGGTTTGATAAAGGACTTAGGGTTTGATCATAAACCCAGGTCTTCTCTGGTGCTTACGGTTCTGATTTAGTGCTTAAGGTTGGGGCTGCGGGCTTACGGCTCTCGGGTTAGAGGTTTTCGGGTTTGGGATTTAGGGTTGGCTGCATTTTGCTGTTGGCCCTGTCGCTTTACTGGGCAGCCGTCACTGCGCGAATGCCAGGACTGCGTGCACTCTTCCGAACCAGACTTCTCAACCCTCATCCAAATCTGAGACCTCTCAACCAAATCTGAGCAACGCCGTGAATCCCGCCTTGTAGCTGTTAGGACCAGGTTTGACCCAGCCCGCTCCAGCACCCTCTCGATGAGCTACCTGTGCGGTCGACGAGTTCAATCCTTTAGGGTTCAGGATTTTCAGACCTTGGCGATTGTAAACCCCAAAAAGTTGGAAACCTAATTAAGGACAAATCGTGCAGGGATTCCCTATACTTTGCTCTTCGGGTTTGAAGCTATCGGGTTTCCAACTTTTAGGCTTCATCTGTTGTTACGCTATGAATGCCTGTGGACTGCACGGGGACAACTCCAGATTATGAAGGCCCCTCGCCTAGCAGAGTTCGGTAAGGGTCGTGTCGGCTGGTCGCGGAAAAGACAAACGACTAGCAAGATCTCTTGAGGTACGGTTGATGATATAAATCCTGCATTACCCAAAATAAGGAATATAACATAAATCCCATAGGTTAGGGTCCTGAAGGTCATGCAGGATTTATATCATCAACCGTATGTCCCTTCAATTATCGCAGGACCCCTAATATGCCTTGACGCACATACTGCTTGATTACCCAGACCCCCGGGAGGATCTAGAAAGTAGATCCCCTAACTTGGGGCCCTATACTACTAAGGGTACTTCATAGGAGCCCCCACTTTTTTTGGATCCTCCCGGGAGTCTGGGTAAAGGATTTTGGAAGATCTGGGGATGAGGAATCTACACTGAACTTAGAACCCTAGCAAAAATTGCAATTTTAGCTGTTTCTTAGGGAAATTATTTCTAAGTACCCCTAAGGAATGAGTGGGCGGCTAAGTGCAACGAGACGAGGAAAAAAGCAGGCAAGACCGTAAATGTCGACTCGGATTCATGATCCCCCTTTCTTTGAGGGCCTGAGTATTCGGATCCCGATTAACTAACATATGGAGGTTCACTCATCAGAGGTCTGCATTATCTGGACCCCCAAAAGTATGTAGAATAATAGCCTTATATACTACCCTAAACCCTAAACTACTTATACAGGTGTCGGGCCATTATATTTTACCTACTTTGGGCGGTCTGCGTTAAGGATCGGACAGGCTGGAGTTGTATCTTCTGTTTCTTTATATCTGCGCGGTCTCGGGGAGGCAGGGCAGCCAGCTTCAGGACCATGCGGTGCCGGAATTCTACGGGCATCTTACTTTGGGGGATCCCTAAAACAAGGATGCACAGATTGACGGTCGAATGCCCTGCTTCTCCAAGGGAGGAGGAGATTGATCCCCTGAGCCCTTTATCAGGGCTTATAGGGCCCAAGGAAAAGCACATAAGCAAAACTTAGGATAGGGATATCCCATATAAACCCCCTTATAATGAAGCCCAATAAGGTAGGGATATCTCCATACAAAATGCTTATGCTTATGTGCTTTTTGGGTCCCTAAGCTTAGGGTTTAGGGCTAGGGCTTTGGGTTTAGGGTTGCAACCCAAGCGACATCGATCTTGTTGTTGCTGCAGTACAGCTCCCATCGATTCTGCAACTCCCTCGGCCCGCCAAGAGGATGAAAACGGGTTTGGGTTCTTTTGGGTTTAAGGTTTGCGGTTTAGGGGGGGTTTGGTTTCCAAGCTTCCCTCGTGTAAAGGCTCCTGCAAGGGATCTACACGCCTTCTACATGGTTGCAGAGTTTAGGGATAAGTGTTTGCTGCTGCTTAGGGTTTCACTGGGGTTTAAACCTTTGATTACTCGTAAACACAGCGTTTCACTATATAAACAGGAAAGAGGAACACTGGAAAACGACAAACAACTGTGTTAGCCACAGTGCCCGCAACAAAGGAGCACTAGTTGCACATGATAAGACTAGGAATACAAATAACAGTATTAACATAGTAATAAAAGCTATTTTAACAACCATGATACACATCATGATAACAATGATACTGACAAGCATCATGAGTCATAATGATACGAATAGTGGCAGCAAGAATAACCGTCATAATACTAATCGTGATACATCATGGTACTATTCAGACCGGCAGCAATAACAACCACCATATAATCCCTAAACCCTAGAACGCCTAAACCCCCTAGCTCCCCACCCTCAATCCCTAAACCCTAAACCCTAAACCCTAAACCCTAAACCCTAAATCCCTAAACGCTAAACCCTAAATCCCTAATCCCTAAACCCTAAACCCTAAACCCTAAACCCTAAGCCCTAGCCGTGGACGATGCCCACCTACTAATCTGCCGCCCAGCGGCGATCCCGGTGCCGCGCTGCCACAATCAGCCCAGAAGCCACCCGTCTCGTGAAAGTCGCCCTAAGGGCTGGGGTTTCGGGATTTAGGGATTTAGGGTTTAGGGTTTAGGGTTTCGGGATTTCGGGATTTAGGGGTGTTGTGTTCGGGCTTACATAGGGGCTAATAGTAGGGTTGAGGGCTTTGGGTTCAAAGCTGGGGTCTGGGGTGCTTAGGGGCTAGGGGTTCTCCTTAAAAGGAAGCATAAGTTGTGCTTTAGAGGGACTCTAAGGGCTCCTTCGAGTCATGTAGGGGTTTCCGAAAATAAGGGACCGTAATATGGTACCCTAAATAGTAGGACCCTTATAAGGACCCCAAAATACGGTAACCCCAATTTTCGGAAACTCCCATGTAGGGGTTAGGGGTTTAGAGTTCAGGGGATTTCGGGTTTAGAGTTTAGGGGTTTAGGGCTCGTGCGTATTGGGTCCACTGGGTCTACCGTTTCTGCTGGGTTTTTACAACTCTATGTGTTATAGGGCTTCGTGAGTTCGTTTCGGGTTCTTCCTGATTTGGGGTTAAGGTGTTGCGGTTCACGAGTTAGGTATATGCCCCAAACCTCGAACTCAAACCCTCGCACGAACGGTAAATCCTAAACCCGACAAGGAACCCTAAACCCTAAATCCTAGAATAACTATAGGAACCCTAAACCCTAAACTCTTATAGGCAGGGGGTTCAGGGTTCCTTCAAGTTTCAACAGCCGTAGCCTCGGCATCCTCGCCAGTAATCACAAGGTAGGCTCCTGGCGAAAAGGGGGGCTTAGGGGTTTAGGGTTTTACGGCTTTGCGAGTTTAGGGTTTGTGTTTCAGGGTTTAGGGCTTTAGGGCTTTAAGGGTTTAAGGTTTTACGACTTGACGGGTTTAGGTTTTAGGGTTTTAGGGCTTCACGGCTTTACGGGTTAGGTGGTTTAGGGTTTAGGGCTTTAGGGGTTTGGGGGCTTAGCGGTTTAGGGATTTAGGGTTTAGGGGTTTGGGGTTTAGGGAGGCTTTCGAAGAGACACGACATGTGGAAGCTTCTCGACAGAGCTTTGAGATGTTGACAGGTGCTTGAGCATTCTAGTGTTCTTAGCATCAGGGGCTGCTAATTTCGATCCTAAATGACTTACATTGTGCATCCTACTGCATGGGATTCTACCTTCCCAGAAACTCCCCGAACCAAAACTGAAGAATATGCCTTGGATTGGCGGGTCCTAGTAGAAGATAACAGATATTGCGCACTTAAGGAACGGCAAGACCTGTAACCCTAGGCCCCGTAAGAACCCCAATGACACAGATCCTGCGGACCCGCACAGAACCTTTCAAGAGCCCATGTAGAATCTTTAACCGCCGAAACCCTTAACACCTAAATCTCTGATATAGGGGTCTGAGCTTAGTAGTGAGAACAGGCTCTTGGGGCAAATTGTGCCAAAGTCATAAAAGAACCCCTGAGGAATACTTTTGCTCAGAATTACTGGCACTATTGGTATCAACAGCAGTATCGGCATTGTTGGCTTTAATTGTACTATCAGCATTATTTCTACTATTAGCATCATTAATACTGTTCGTAATCGCTGTATTACTACTATCCTAAACCCTAAACCCTAAACCCCTGACCCCCGAACCCTAGTATCACCATTCCGGCTTCTAGATTGCCCGACCTGGCTTCACAGCGAAGCTGACGATGCGAATCTTTTCGGAGTCGCCTGGCAGGCTGGGTTCCTTCCCTAGACGGTTTGGGGTTCCTTAAGGGAACTATAGTAGGGTTCCTTAAAGGGCTCCTTTAAGGGATCCTTTAAGGTTTAGAGTTTAGCGTCTAGGGTTTTGGATCTAGAAAGTAGATTCCCTAATTTGGGGCCCGATACTACTAAGGGTACTTGAAAGGAACCCCCATCAAGGGATCTACTTTTTGGATCCTCCGGGGGTCTGGGTAAGGGAACTATGAAGGTTCCTTTAAAAGAAACTGTAAGGGCCCCACAAGGTTTTAGGGTTTAGGGATTGGTGGTCTAGGGTTTTGGGGTTAAGGGTTTAGGGGTATTCGGATTCGGGTTTCAGGGTTTAGGGTTTTGGATTTCGCATTTAAGGTTGGGCTAGGTACTAGCGTCCCCTTGCAGTCCTTTTCTAAAACTTATCGGGAAACGTACCCTAGAACCCTCTTCTAGCCAACAGGTCTATTCTTCAAGGCTTCAGAGCTTTAACACTTTTGGGGTTTGGGGTTGTGGAGCTGGCAAACATCTTGTCGGAGCTTGCACCGGCCTTCTCCCATCCCTGCCAGGGACATCAGATCCACACCACCATACCTGGGCTCATGAAGAGCTTGGGGCTTTAGGGTTTAGGGTTCCTTGAAGGGATCTATGGGGTTTAAGGGTTTCTGTGTTTAGGGTGTAGGGCAGTGCGGGGGTTCGGGGCTTAAGGGGAAGGGTTTAGGGTTGTGGCTTAGGGATTTCGGATTTAGGATGGATGCAAGGCATGAAAGAAGGGGCACCATTTTTGGCAACACGGCACGGTTCGGACCAGGGGCACTACAGCCCCCAACGTAGGGGCCTTAAAATTAGAATAGGGCTCCTTTAAAGGGTTCTTAGCAAGGGTTCTTAGCAAGGGTCCTATCAAGGTTACTATAAGGGGTATTATGGGGGGCTTGCTTTCGGGGCCTTTGTAATTAGAATAGGGCTTTGAGGGATAATCTACTATAATTGTAGTAAGGAGACCCTAAAAGCCTGGCCTAATTACCTACGGCCCTTACATTACATCATCCCGCAAGGTAATCCCTATCGGTTTAGGCTTTAGGGTTTGGGGGGTTGCATTCCCACCTCCACTCTGCCTTAAGCACAAACCATGCGAGAAGTCCCTACACAATCCCCACATAGTCCCTGAACGATAAACCCCTAAACCCTAAACAACCCAAAACCCTGAACCCCTAAACCCTTCAGCACCAGCAGGACGAGGAGCAGCACGGACTTGAGATGGTCATTGATCTGGAAGACGCACGTCATCGTCTGGCGAACGAGGATGAAGGTTATCTAGGGATTTTGGGTTTAGGGTTTAGGGAATTAGGGTTTAGGGGCTTAAGGGGCATAGGGTTTGAGGCTGAAGGTTTTGCTGCAAAACTCCAAAACCCTCATCCTCAAAACGCCAAAAGCCAAAATCCAAAACTCCCAGGCCTAAATTTCGCTTAACGCAGAAAATTGGCCCCGCCGAGGCTTTTCGCATCTCCCCCAGACCCTAAACCCTAAACTCTGGACGCATCTCCCGACCTTGGGTGGTGCCAAGGAAGTGTCGAGCGTGAACACGGCCGCTCCCGCACGATCCAAGTTCGGAAATGTGTTGACCTGAGAGGATTTGTTTCTTTCTGAATTTCACTTATGAGGGGGATTCTCAAGTCGCAAACCCTTCAACGCTAAACCTGTATAAAAATCCTTATGGAAGTCCTCCAACGGCAGGGTCCGTATCTGCATGCGCCCTTTTCGGGCTCGATCAGAATCCCTTATCTCCCCCAACCCTAAAAACCACCCAAAAAAAACGCCAAAACCCCTGATCCCTAAACCCCGGAACCCCTAAACCCTAAACCCTAAACCCTAAACCCTAAACCCTGAACCCCTGAACCCCCAAACTGCAAGTCCTCAGCTCGCGACGCCGTCTTTCTTCATGCTCCACGGAACCGACGCCACGGTCTTCCAGTTGCCACCGTCGAAATCACCAATCCTCGGATTGTTCATATGTACATCTGGAAACAAACTTAGACTTATATATCTATGTATACATATATATATATATATATACATATAACTATACATGTATACATGTACATATACGTACAGTAAAAGTGCACATATGTAGAATAACATATATGTATACATATCGGCTATACTTCTGGGCCCAGAGGTGGAGTGCAGAGTCTTCTGTAGGGACCCAAAAAGCACAAAAGCATAATTAAGCATTTTATGGTGATATCCCTACCTTATTGGCCTTCATTATAAGGGGGTTTACATGAGATTTCCCTATCCTTCTCTTTGCTTACGTGCCCTTTTTCTGGGGCCCTATTCTGTGAAGACCCCTAAACCCTAAACCCTATAGATCCCTTAAAGGAACCCTTATAGTACTCTTATAGTACCTTTCAAAAGAAACCCTATAGTAGTTATAGTATATGTTTCTGTTGATTAAGGCCCCCATATCATAGAACCCTACTATAGATCTAAGGCCTCTTTAAGGACCCGTTTAAAGGAACCCTACACTCAAAAACCTAACCCCAAAACCCTAAATCCTAAACCTCTGAAGCCCTAAACCCTCATAACCTAATAGGATCCCCTAAACCCTTATAGGATCCCTTTAAAGGAACCCTATATTATTCTGTTGAGCCGGAGCCTAAACCCTTAAACCCTAAACCCTTGCTTGCGTGATTTTCTGGGGCCCTATTCTCTTGAGCCGGAGCTGCTGCACTTCCAGGTTGGAGAGAGGTCGGCAGCCCACGCCGCTCTGCTTCGTTAAGGCCGGGGAGGAAGGCTCCTTTTGAACGAAGAAGTTAGGTTTAGGGTTTAGGGATGTAGGGTTCAGGGTTTAGGGTTCTAGGGTCTACGTTGATTCCCAGAATTTCGGAAGGATCCAAAAAGTGATCTCTAAACTTCTGTAAAGTACCTTTAGTAGTATAGGGCCCCAAATTAGGGGATCTACTTCCTAGATCCTTTTGGGGGTCTGGGTTTTGAACGTCGAGGTTGGGTTTAGGGTTTAGCTTTTTGGGTTGGGCCGAATAACCCTTTAGTGAAAGAAGGGTTCCAGGTTTTAGGGTTGGGGGTTCAGCGCTGAAAGAAGGTTTGCATGTTCAGGGCCTGGGATGTACGGCTTATGTAGGGGCCTTTACAATTAAAACAGGGTGTTGGGGTGTATTGTGCTATAATCATAACAAGGAACCCCAAAAATTGTATAGGCAATGATTCAAGCAAAAGTACGCAGGAACAGTCTGGTCCCTGTTCATGGACCTTAGTGAGCTCAGAAGGACAAAGCTATGGTCTCCGGCGGAACTCTGGTGCCTGAAGGCTCATTGGGGTTATGATAAGTAGGGTTACAAGTGTCCATAATTGGAGCTTATAAGCGGATAAAACTGTAGTGACCCTACTTCCAACCGTACTTGCAAAAGTCCCATGATCCTTCAAGTGCACACCAACAATCTCGACCTGAATCGGTAACTTGTCTCAGATGAACGCTGAACTCTTAAATCCCCAGACCCAAAGCCAAAGCATGGACCCTAAACCCCGGAAGCGCATCACAGAGCTATAATACAACATGATTCGGGAATACAGCTTAGAGTGCAGTATCAAGGCCCCTTCAATTCAAGGCTCATTCCTTAAGTAGGCAGCATTGGGCTCTTCCTGCCTAACAGAGATCGATGGATCCCACGAGTTAAACAACACTTGTAGAGCCGTAAAGAAGGCAAGAAGGGATTTCCCACCGTGCCCCCGTCCTGCACGAACCGGATGCAACGAACACCTCGGCAGCGTGGGCTCGCGATGCACCCAGACCTTCTAAAATCCCTTAATTAAGGAATATACCTTAAATCATATTAGGGATACTATTATAATTTAAGGTATATTCCTCAATTAAGGGATTTTGGAAGGTCTGGGCATCTACACAGCCGGATTATGTACAGGGGCCCATAGTACTTGTTGCTTGTAGCAGGCTTTGTGGGCGTTACTATTGAAGCCCATTACAGGTACTTCCTCTCCCATAGTACTCCCATAAGACCCCTTTACCTTATAGGAGTGGTATGGAAGCCTTATGGGAGACTACCCACCTTAAAACTACCCACCTGTAAATGGCTTAGATACTATCTATTTCGACCCTATGGCAGCTAAGCGGGTGTGGAATTTGGCGTCTGGGGACAACTCTGGGATAGCATTGATGGGATTGCATTTACGAGTTTTGGTTTAAGGGCTTCTAGGAGGGCTTACTATGGGCGTTCATAAAGCTTCTTCAGGGTTTAGGGTTTATACTCTGCAGAACTGTACTATGACATACTATACAATGATACACTGTAGTAGACAATACTAGTCGTTGACCTCTCTTGTCAAATTTTTCCCTAAACCCAAAACCCTAAACCGGACATCGGTGTCTGCGAGACTGCGCAGTAAGGGCCCCGCCACCAAGTTCTCGAGCACCGATCCAAACCTGCCGCATGAATTGAAGCTTGGGGTTATAGGGTTTAGGGTTTCGTATATCTCTACAGTACGTTATGTTTCATTCTAGAATAGTAGTGCATTGTAGTATAATATACTAAGGTGTAGTGTAGTAGAGTAGAGTATAGTAAAGTACACCGAAATAGAATACTACAATGCCGTACAGTATGGTATAGTAAACAGTACAGTATCTTACAGAATAGTGTAGCAGATTGCTGTGCATTACATTGTTGTGAACAAGATAATGAAACCATACAACCCTCCAAGTAAGGCTATAAAGGACTTATAGTGCGGTGCCTCGCTTGGCTCGGAGTTTGCGGCTCGGGATTTAAACTCTCAACCTTAACCCTGGCCCCAAACCTGTACCCTGAAACCGTCGAAACAGAAGCCTAGCTCAACCCCTAATCCTGAACTCTGAACCCTTAACCCTGAACCTTCAACCCTAAATCCTAAACCCTGAACCCTAGGCCCTGAACCTTAAACCTCAAATCCTAAACCCTGAACCCTTAACCCTGAACCCTAAACCCAAAATCCTAAACCCTGAACCCCTAAACCCAGAAGCCTGGCTCAACCCTTGGAGAGTCGCAGATTCGAAGTCACTAACTCGTCTCTTTGCTGCGATGCGGGAGTTCCCAGAGACTCCAATATCCCTTAACTAAGGAATATTCCTCAATCATATTAAGGATCCTATTATAATCTAAAGTATATTCCTTAATTAAGGGATATTGGAGTCTCTGACTTTCCGAAAATAGGGGACCTTATTATAGTACCCTAAAGAGTGGGAGCCATATTTAAAAGGGAGCCCCAAATAAGGTACCCCCTGGTTTCGGAAACTTCCATGCAGGAAATTGTCAGAGATGAGGCCGACACGGCTAACCACAAAGAACCGGCCACAACCCAACCCGTCCGAACTCGAAGAGAGCCGTAGAGCGCAAGCCTCAACCCTAAGCCCTTCCATAAAGACCTCAACCCTAAACCCCTCAACCCTGTCGTAAGAGCTCTAGGGACCTAAGCCCAAAACCATCAACCCTAAACCCGTACAGTACCTGTCTAGACACACTTTATAGCATCCTGGGCACAAGCCCATTTAGCACCCACCCTAAACCCTAAATAGCCCTAAACCCTAAACTTTGGCCCTCCACCCTAAGACCTAAGCCCTAAACCCGAACCCTGAGCCCGAACCCCTCAACCCTAGACCCCACTTTAGGGTTTAGGGTTTAGGGTTTAGGGTTTAGGGTTTAGGGTTTAGGGTTTAGGGTATAGTAGAAGCCAGAAAGTTGGAACATCACTATCCTCATGCCCAAAAAGTGAAGTATCGGGAATCCCAGCACTAATCACCCTGATCCCACGTTCCAACTTTCTAGGGTTCACTATAAATCCTAAGCCCCCAAATGGAATTTCCGAAAACAGGGGAGCCTAATATAGCACCATAAATAGTAGGATCCATGTTATAAGGACCCAAAACAAGGTGCCCCTAATTCCCGGTAAATCATAAGCCCCAAACCCTCGACCCTTAACCCTAAACCCCTAAGCCCCTAGATCCTGAGCCCCAAACCTAGAGACTCCAATATCCCTTAATTAAGGAATATTCCTTAAATCATATTAAGGATCCTATTATAATTTAAGGTATATTCCTTAATTAAGGGATATTGGAGTCTTTGGGAACCCTCGACCCTAAACTCGAAACCCCTAAGCCCCTAAGTCCACAGCACACCTCGCTCGATCCGAAGTCGCCATCGGCTGACCGGAGTTCCGCAGCAGTGCCCTCCTCCGGCTTTATATGGGAGTTTCCTTAGGGTTCCTTTAAAGGGCTGCTACAAGGGTTCCTTTAAAGGGCTCTATAAGGGGTTTATAGGGTTCAGGGGTTTAGGGGTTTAGGGTTATGGAAGTTTCCGAAAATTCGGTGTATCTTATTTGGGGTCCTTTAAAGGGTTACCATAAGGGTACTATAAGGGTTCCTTTAAGGGGCTTTATAGGGGTTTTGAGTTTCTGAGAATTAGGGGGTACCTTATTTGGGGGTATTTATAAGGAGGACCCTACTATTTAGGGTACGATTTTAGGGTCCCCTATTTTCGGAAGCTCCCATATACAACAGGGCTCTTGCTCAGACACCATAAACACCATAGGACTTAGGGTTCCTTTAAGGGATCTATGGGGGACCGAAAACTTTACCCCCCCAAAAAAGGAGCATAATAAAAATGTAATCTTTAATATTCTCTTGGCTTTTAAATGAACAAAAAAGACTTCCCAAGGAGACTATAGATAAGGGTTTAGGGCGTGAGAGTTGATGGTTTTTGGGGTCTGGGGTTTGGGGTTTCGGTGAATATACGGGTTTTATAAGGGTTCTTTACGGGCTTGTTGAAAAACATGTTCAACCAGTTCTTGTTAAGGAACTTGCTTACCGGAAGCTACCATAATACGCGGACGAAGCTTCCTGATTGTCGCTTTGGTAAACTTGCTTACCGAAGCTACCTTAATACGGGACTAAGCTTCCTGGGAGGTAATGGTAAATTAAATCAGCCAGAATCCAAAGGCCCTTGCCTTCGAGAACCTAAATATGACGTGCCACATCCCAAACCTTTAACCATCAAGCCCTCAATCCAAACCCTGAACTCGAACCAGGAGGCCTACCTAAAACAACATTCGAAAAACGGGCCCCCAAACCTTAAGCCACCCTACACCAACCCTAAACCCCAAACCCTTGTAGAGCCCTTATGGAAGCAGCAAACGCTCTCGAGTCCTCGCCGAAGACATGGCTCAACTCGATTCCTCCACTCAGGGTGAATCTGCAGTGTCGGGGCCCCAATAATTAGAATAAGGTTCCCCCGTAAAAGGTTCTATAACAGGGCTCGATAATGAACGTTTAGGGTTCAGTATTACAGGGGCCTTAGTAGTTTCAATCGGGTTCCATTAAGGGTTCCTTCAGAAGAGCTTTACAGGGTTACGACAAGGGGGCTTATGAGGGGATGAGTATCGGGGCCTGAAGACGTAGAATACAGCCAAATATGATATCATTCAGGCTTCTATATGACGATCTCCCAGGCGAACTTCTTCACACCCTAAACCCTAAAACCTAAACCCTAAACCCTAAACCGTAGCATCTCGCAGAATTTTTTTGGGATTCGCAGTCTCGGTATTTCACCAGACCCCACCCCAAGCCCTTCGACCCGAAACCCCCATCTCCAAGGGAAAAAGGAGGGACCCTTAATAAGGACCCCTAGGTATATACCCTTAATATAGCTATCCTATACCCTTAATATAGCTGCTATATACCCTTAATATAGCCATTATGTACCCTTAATGTAGCTATCCTATACCCATTATATAGCCCATTATAGGGTAGGGGTCCCCATTAAGGGTCCCTCCTTTTCCCCTTGGATAATCTCGAAACCCTGCCTTGCGCCAGCCCGCTTACAATCTGCTTGTCGGGCGCGATCCTGGGCCAGACTCATGATCGAGCAAAGCATGTAACCTAAACCCTAGGATGCCCAGCAACCTAGGAAGAAAAAAGGGCTCCCTTTTTGGTTTTGGGGGAACTTTATAAGGCCCTCAACCCTAAGCCCTAAACCCTAAGCCCTAAACCCTAAACCCTAAGCCCTAAACCCTAAGCACTAACGTGGCTCTTCAGGCTACGGGTTGAGGGCTTCGCATGACGGACTTAACAGCCGCTCCCCCCACACCCTCTCCTAAGCCACCAAAGACCTGAAGCCCTAAACCCTAAGACTCAAAAACCCTGAAACCCCACATCCTGCAAACCCTCCCCAAAGACCTAAGCCCTAAACCCTGAAGCTCAAAAACCCTGAAACCCTGCATCCTGCAAATCCTCCCCAAAGCCGTAAACCCTGCAAACTCTAAACCCTTAAAGCCCTAAACCCTGCAAACTCTAAAGCCTAACCCCTAAAGTAAGTCGGATGACCTTGGGTTAGTAGGGAATGGAAGAATGGTAGTAATAGTTTTTATACTTGTACCCCATTCCTCCATTCCCTACTAACCAAAGGTTATTAACCAGTGATTTTGGGGGGTCCCTTGGCTCTTTAGCTCCTTATCTAGTAGGGATTCTCATCATCGCTGGCTCCTTAGCTCCCCCAATATCATTGCTTAGGTAAGCTAAGCCCCTAAAGCTGGTCGGATGGGCTCTTCTCCGGCGAGCCGCCCAAACTCCAGGGAGCTGCAGTCCTCGCTCGCCTCAACACCCAGACCCCCTGACAGGATCCCACAAGTAGATCCGTTAATGGTGGTTCCTTTGAATTACAAAAGGGGGTATTAGGGGGGGGGTTTTGTATAGGGGCCTTAATAACTAGAATAGGGGTTCCTTTAAGGGGTTCCTATAAAGTACCCTTAGCAGTATAGGGCCCCAAATCAGGGGTCTACTTTCTAGATCCTCCCAAGGGCTCTGGGCATCGCAAGGATCGGACGATGTTCAGGGCTTAGGTTTAGGGTTCTTTTAAGGGATCTATAAGGGCTTAGGGTTTAGGGGTTTCGGGTTCCTTTAAGGGATCTATAAGGGCTTAGGGTTTAGGGGTTTCGGGTTCCTTTTTAGGGTTTAGGAGTTTCGGGGCTTTGGATGTAAGGCTCAGGGCTCTAAGGGTTTAGAGCTTAGGCTTTAGGGCCTTAGGGTTTAGGGCTTTAAGGGTTTAGGGTTTAGGCTTTAGGGCCTTGGGGTTTAAGCTTTAGGAAATCTTGGGGGGGGTCCAGGATTGTAGGGCCTTGGGGTCTATTGAGAGGGCTTTAAGGGGCTTAGGGTTTAGGTTTTGGGGGCTTTCGAAGCTGTCGGGTTTCAGAAGGGGCTGCGGGCTTAGGGTTTAGGGTTTAGGGTTTAGGGTTTAGGGTTTAGGGTTTAGGGTTTAGGGTTTAGGGTTTAGGGCCTAGGCCGGCTATGCCGAGCAAACAGGTAGTTGCATACGGGCTTCACAAAAAGACTAGGTAAGGCTTTTAGAGCCTTTGAAAAATATTAGTAAATAAGATCCTCTTAAGCCCAATAAGGGAAAATATAAAATGTCCCAAAGCTCTACCTAGAAGAGTGCGTTGGTTTTGGAGAGTCAAAGGAGCTCAGGGAGTGAAAACAATCCTTCAGTCCTACAGTTTCGGAGCTTGCGGCCGAGGATATAGGGTTTAGGGTTCTAGGATTTAGGGATAAAGTTCGGATCATTCCCCACCCCAACTTCAAAAAAGCTGTAGGGGTTGGGGGTTCAGGTTATGGGGATTCTTGCCAAGCGGGTAAAGTTCGGACCCTCGAACCGTTAATTCGGTTGGCTCTTCCAAAGCCCCCCAAATCCCGTGAGGGTGGGTGTCAAAATTGGGATCCCTGTTTGGGTGCCCTAAATATTAGGTGCCATCTTATCTTAGGGACCCAAAAAAGGACAACCACCCACATCGCAGACGAGGCGCGAAGAATTGGAGCTTAGAGATCTTCCAGCAGTTTCCTCAGCTCCAGGATACGAGTTCGGGACCAAAACCCGTAATTATAATAGGATCCCATCTAGGCTCCCGTAAAAGAAGCCTAACCCTAAACCGATTGAAGTTGGAACCTCACACTTCTCGATCACCAACTCACTGCATCCGACCACCGGAAACAATGAACCACCCAAGCCACTAAAACTCAAACACCCTATAAACTATAAACACCATGCAATAGAAAGACATCTGGACATGTGTACTTAGTTACTTTGTGTTGCGCATCTCCGTATGCGCGCAAAACGGCTCTTTCAAAGAAGTCGTGAGCCCTCAGGCTACGAGGACCCTAAACCCTAAATCCTTCTATCTCCTTTATAGGAGCCCTTGTGGGGTCCCTCAAAATGAAATAAACCCTGAACCCCTCTGAACCCCTATAGATCCCTTAAAGGAACCCTAAACCCTAAACCCCTAGAGATTCCTTGAAGGAACCCTAAACCCTAAACCCCTATAGATCCCTTAAAGGAACTCTAAAACCGACCAAGAGTCGTTCTTGCTTCGCCCCACGGCGGAAGGTGGAGGTGGTAAAGAGCCGCCAGGAAGGGGGCTTGTCGCGACCCTTGGAACTCTTCCTGGGATGCGCCGGGCTTTAGGGTTTAGGCTTTACCTTGACCCCAAATAACCTACCTTTCTAATGACTTATATAAGGAAATCATAATAGGGAGCCCTAAAATAGGGTAGGTTCTTTAGGGTCCAGGTAGGGTTTAGGATTGAAGCTTTGGAGTTTAGACTTTAGGGTATAGGCTTTCGGGTTTAGGGCTTAGGGTAGTCACGGCCCTTGGAATCGAGCTTCATAAGGGTGTTAAAGCGTTTCTTGAGGTTAGGGTTGTATAAGGGTGCACAAGGGTTTTGCAGGATTAAAGTGCTTGCGGAGACTTCTTGGGGCGCGTAACGGTTGCATGTGCTAGGAGGGTTTTGAAAAGCCTCTGTCAGCTCTTCCTAGGGCTCCAAGTGCCGAAAACCATGGGTTACTGGAGAACATACTAGAGAGCATCCCTAAACCCTAAACCGTAAACCCCGGATTTCCTAAAGAACAAGGCATCTGGGTAGCACCGGGAGCGCGCGGATCTTCGAAGTTTGGAGGTTGCAGCCGAGATTCAGGGGTCTTCATTCTTGAGATTCGGTCTAGGGTTCATGATTTATGGGTGTGGGGTGTGGGGTTTAGGGCTCAGGGGGTTATGAGTGCTTTGCTTGACTTTTGCAAGGAGGCGCGCGAAGAAGGACAATATTTTGCTGGAAAGCTTTTCAGCCCGCAGAGCAGCCAGCCCGCGCACTCCTGTTAACGCTGTATGTTAACCCATTGGCACTGAATTCCTAGTAGAGCTCGTCTGACTTCAAGATCCCAGCAAGGAACGCTGAAATCAACCCGCCCCGAACCCTAACGTCTTGCGCCAGGCATCGCGAAGGTTGCAAACATCGTGTTGCCAGGCACCACGAGCGTATCCTCCTCAACATCAAATGGCTGCGCCGGCCATGAACTTCAGGATGTTGATCTCTCTACCAAACATGTCTACCCCTGATACTACGACTTCTTATGCTTGCAGTATCCCGTAAAGAACCCCTATAAAACCCTAAACCCCACCCCTCTAGCCACTGAACCCTAATCCCGCATCTCGCCGCCAAACCCTCAACCCTACCTAAACACCCTAAACCCTAAACCCTAAACCCTAAACCCTAAACCCTAAACCCTAAACCCTAAACCCTAAACCCTAAACCCTAAACCCTAAACCAACCCTACCTAAACACCCCAGACCCGAAACCGGACACAACAGCCCTGAAGTCCTGGCACTTGTCGTAGCGGAGACATGAGCCATACTCGGAGGTGTCCGTACCTGAAGGACAGGACTGGCTCCCTCAAGGGGCTCCCTTATAAAACAGTTCGAACCCCCTCCTGAACAGAAAGCAAGAACCCAGACCCCCGGGAGGATCCAAAAAGTAGATCCTTTAATGGGGTTCCTATATAGTACCCTTAGTAGTATAGGGCCCCAAATTAGAGGATCTACTTTCTAGATCCTCCCGGGGGTCTGGGAAAAGATCCCCCAAAGGGACCAAGAGAACCAAGGGGGCCGAAGATGACTTCGGGGGTGCGGGGTTCGAGTCGTAGATCCGAAAACTGAATGCATAGACCCAGACCCTTAACCTCCCTAGCCCCCCCAAACACCGAAAAGCAAGGGTTTAGAGTTTAGATTTAGCAGGGTTTAAGGTTTAGAGTTTAGATTTAGCAGGGTTTAAGGTTTAGAGTTTAGATTTAGCAGGGTTTCGGGTGAAAGAACCCTAGAAGCTACGCTCAATCAACTTTCCATTCCCCTTCACGCCTCCTTCGTTGTAGGAGAAGTAGCGGCAGTCGGCCTCGCGCTCGCAAAGCTTCTGGCAGCCGCTGATGCCTTGGAGAGGTTGACGATCCCGTGTTTTTGGTTCAGGGGTCTCAGACAGTTGCATTGATAACGAGCATAGGGTCTTGGCGTGCATCATCGCCTGTTTCTGAGGGCAAAATTGTGACAAGGAGCCCTGAGGAATTGCATTGCTAACTGTGCAGGCTTTAAGCCTAAACCCTAAACCCTAAAGGCTTTAGGACTTGGGATAGGATTTAGGATTTGAGGTGTTTCAGAGTTTGGGAGTCGCCTAGGGCCTACAGGTTACGGGCTTCAGGGATTCAGAGAGTGAGCCTTTACAGGTTTAGGGGCCTGGGGTATTCTATAGCAAAATCATCCTAGAAATCCCTGAGGAAAAAACTGATGCTGGAAATTATTGATGCCCTTGAACCCTACATTTAACCTATATTAGTCTGTGTTACTTCTTCAAAGCCCCTAAACCCTAAACCCTCCACCCTTAAACGCTAAACCCGTAAACCTGTAAACCCTAAACCCCAAACCCTTAAACCCTAAACCCTTAAACCATAAAACCCAAAAACCCTTAAACCCTAGGCCCCTAAACCCCAAACCGTTCTTCAACGCCCCTGGTCTTGGGCCCTATCTAAGCCCTTAGGCCCTAAAGTAAAGCCTGGGCCTATATTGTTAGTTCTTCGAAGCCCCTGAACCTAAACCCTAAATCCTAAACCCTAAACCCTAAACCCTAAACCCCTAAACCCCTAAACCCTAAACCCTAAACCCTAAACCCCTAAACTCAAGGCATAGGCCGCCCACCGGGCGGCGCTTAAGCCCCTCGACCTCGATGGCGCAGAGCGACCCAAGACGGGGGACCGTAGCACCCACGTCGTACCCGGTACCGGAACACGTTCTCCTCGGGACCAGTACTGGTCCCTTAATAAAGTCATTACCCTAAACCGTGAGGTCCACGGTCTGGGGGTCGCTGGCCCTGTGGGCACCCCTCCAAAAAGGGACCCCCCAGGGGGGGCTTGGGGCTTCCAGCGAGCAGAGTTCAAGGACCTAGGTGCCTCCAGGCCGGTCCTAGGGGGGACTTTGGACAAAAACTGTTTTTTTGCCTTTCCGGTGGCCCCCCCTGGCCCCCCCTGGGCCCCCCTGGCCCCCCCGGCCCCCCCTGGCCCCCCTTGGCCCCTGGGCCTTGACACTGGAAGGGGGAGCTGCCCCTCACTGAGCCCCCTGACCCCGCCGGCCTTGGCTCTCTGGCCTCCCTGGCCCCCTCACCTACCTGGCCCTGCTTTGCACCGCCTGAGGTTGAAGAAAAAGAAAACCGTAGACTGAGTTTAGGTGCTAAACCCTAAAAGGAATAGGTTTGGGTGGTTTGGCCGCCTTAGACGGCGTGGGGTGGGAGAGTGAATAAAAAGAGCCAACCACAATCGGGCTCAAACGTTGAATCGCTTGAGGACGATGCACTCGAAGTTACACTGTCGCAGGCTACTCCCGCTTAGGCGCCATTCTACGGCAAACCCTAAACCCTAAACCCTAAACCCTAAACCCTAAACCCCTAAACCCCAAACCCTAAACCCTAAACCCCTAAACCCTAAACCCCTAAACCCCTAAACCCTAAACCCTAAACCCTAAACCCCTAAACCCTAAACCCTAAACCCTAAACCCTAAACCCTAAACCCTAAACCCCTAAACCCTAAACCCCTAAAACCCTAAACCCTAAACCCCTAAACCCTAAACCCCTAAACCCCTAAACCCCTAAACCCTAAACCCTAAACCCTAAACCCCTGAACCCCTAAGGCTCCCGGTCTCAGGCTCAGTTGCTCGGCACGGCCCTCGCTTTCCGCAGAAGCCCGTCCTTGCAGTGGCCACCTGCTCGGGGGGAGCAGAAGACCCCAAGGGTCCAAAGGACCCAATAATTAGGTACTCGGTTTTTAGATATTGGTTATGTAGGTTACTATTTTGGAGAGTATATGATTATTAGGTACTTGGACCCTTGGGGAGAGACATGTCGCCGTCGCCTTTAAACGAAGAGTCCTCAGACTGTACGGCTGTAGGGTTCAAGGCTTAGGGACATTTCGGGTTTATGGGAGTTTATGGGTTTGGGGATTAGGATTTTTCGCTGTATAGTAGGGATCCTTAATCAAGACCTCGTTGTTGTATATACGAAATTGACCGCAAAAAGAACCTGCAAAGCTCAAAAAAAAACACACCGGTCTCCCTATAAAAGCAAACGTTAAACTCAAAGCCCAGAAGGCCCCAAAACAAACCCACCCCAAAACCCCAAACCCAAGCAAAACCATAAAATCCTTACTTACCAAAACCCTAAACCCCAAAATCCTTCTGCCTCTGCCAAAAAAATCCACAACCCCGCAAACCAAGGCACACAGCAACCAAGCGAATCCTGCAAGCCTTTGGAGCCTATACACGCAGGCTTTAGGGTTTAGGGTTTGAGAACATGGAAAAAGCCCGAAGTAAAGGGATTCTCACTAGACAGCCTGATACTGGGCTTCTCAAACATGCCTGGCAAAATCCGAATGAAACACCACAGAAGAACTAGTTAATCAAAACTCTGTAAGGTTCTGATAGTGATACCGTGACAACCAGTAAAAGAAGCAATGCAACCTGCAGAAGACCCGCAATCCTATATCCCGAAACCCTAAACCCTCAAAGGGATGCAAAACCGACAAGCCTGTTATTTAAAACCCTATACAGCCCTTTGCTACGAAACGAAGAGCACCCTAAACCGAAACGAAGCGCACCCTAAACCCTAAACCCTAAGCCCTAAACCCTAAACCCTAAACCCTATGCCCTAAACCCTCAGCCCTAAACCCCAAGCCCTAAATCCTAAACCGTCTCCGCCGCCTGCGCCAAAGGCCGAGAACTCCGTCTCGCTGGGCGCCTCTTCCGTAGCTGGGCAGATCTCCTGGGAGGGGCTTCCCTTTGGTAGGGTTTAAGAGGGTCTATAAGGGTTACTATAAGGGATCTATAAGGGTAGTTTTATATGGGGGCCTTAATAATCCTATCGCTTACCTTGCTTTGTAGGGCATGGAGGAATGGGGTACAATTATAACTACTATTACTATCATTCTTCCATTCCCTACTAGCCAAAGGTAAGAGGGTTCAGGCCTTGGATTCAGGGCCTGGGGTCGAGGGTTCATGGCTCCGGTGACATCCAAGGCTTCCACAAGGGTTCACAATTTAAGGGGTTTCTAGAAGGGTTTCTACACGAAATGGTGCGAGGCTTTTGTAAGGATGTTGTAAGACTTGATTCAGGGGGTGTATACGGTTCTGCAAGGGCTCGTGAGGCTCTCTGGTAAGATTTTTCTAGGGCCCGTAAAAAGCACCTAAGCAAAAATAAGGTTCGGGATATCCCATATAAACCCCCTTTTAATGAAGCCCAATAAGGTAGGGATATCCGTATAAAATGCTTATGCTTATGTGCTTTTTGGGTCTCTAATTCTCCGTGCTTCAGAAAACTGTTTGGGGGAAGCCCTTCGCTCGCCCAGATTTCAAAGAGGAGAGTTCGGCAGTAGGGTGGGCTTCAGGGTTTAGGGTCTGGGATTTAGGGGGAAGCCCCGCTACTCCCTACTTAAGCAGGATCCAGAATTTAGGGTTGAGCGCGAATTTCAAAAGTCCTCTGTGAGGGGCGAAAAAGCCCTACACGGCCTCACACGCAAGCGGTGTGGCTGTTCTGAGGTGCAGCCCGAGGCACCATTATACACCAGCCGTGGCTCCACTGGTCCAGGTCGTAGCACGGCGAAACCTTCAGAACTTGCCCTCAGGGTCCAAAGGACCCAATAATTAGGTACGTGGGTTTAGGATAGTAGTTATCAGGTTACAACTTTGGAGAGTATAAGATAATTGAGGTACCTGGACCCTAAGGGTTGGGGGTATAGGCGGGGTAATAAGACCTTACGATGTTTCACACTGGACTCACAAAGGCTTGTATAAGCTTCGGAAGGTCTCTCCGAAGGGTCTATCGGGGCTTGGGGAATCAAGGGACGTAGTAAGTAGAATAACAGTAGGGTTGCAAGTACTACAGCCCAACTGAGGTAGTTGTAGCCCCAAGTATTACCGTACATTGGGCCATGCCGTAGATAGACTCTCGCAGGGAAAGACGATGAGAGACCCACAGGTGATGGTGATGCTGGATGCTGATGATAGCGGTGATGATGGTGATGCTGATGATGATTATGGGAGGAAAACCCCAAACCCCTAGACCCCGAAACCAGGAGGAGGACGAGGAGGAGGAGGAGGAGGAGGAGGAGGACGAGAAGGAACAAGATCAGAGGGGCGAACGCGATATTGCATACTTCATGACACAACTACTTGCACTCTTGAACCTACACAGCTCCCTAACTTCTGCTGAGGTAGAGTTTCTTATAGTACATTCTAGTATATTATAGCATATTATAGTCCAGCTCTTGATTTGGGAGTTTCCGAAAATAGGGGACCCTAATATAGTACCCTAAATAGTAGGATCCTTATTATAAGGACCCCAACATAAGGTACCCCGATTTTCGGAAACTCCCATTTCGGATTTATGTCATTCTCAAGGCGCAGACCCCCGCGCCTCAGGATGGCTGTCATAGGGTCTCCGATTCGTGCCGCGGTCGATCAGGACCTGCTCCAAGCAGAGGCTTTCGATTCGGAGCTCCCAGATTTGGGGTACACGATACTATATTTATTAAGGGTTATATTATACGATATTTAGGGTTATACTATACCATATTTAGGGGCATGTTGTACTATAGTAGGGGTCTGCTATTATACTATATTCAGGGTTGATGGTTGAGGGTTTCAGCACCCTGTGCAGGAAGCCCAACTGGCTCCCTGCAGACTGAACCCCCAAACTCTGAAACCCGAAAGTGCAAAATCCTGAACTCTGAACCCCTACACCCTGCACAGCCCAAAAAACCAAAAACCATCTCCAAGCCCCCGGCTTGAAGGGTATCCGCAAAGAAACCCTAAGAAGGAACCCCTAAAGCTACAAGCCAGGCGGTGCCCAGCGCCTGGTTGAACGAGATGCCCGGGAAGCCACAGCGGCAAATGCTCACGTCATCATCTTTTCCTGGATATGTGGGCTTAGGTCTATCAGGGATTTGGGGGGTTTGGAGTTGAGGGGTTCGGATTTGACGGTTGATAAGGTTATCAGGGGTCTTAGGAGTAACCCTAAACCCTAAACCCCCAACCCCCGACCCTATACCCTATAACCCTAGACCCCAAACCCTAAACTCAAAATCCTAAAGCCAAGGGGCTCCACTCCGTGAAGGAAGATCCTTGCCATGAGCAAGCTGCCTGGAGAGGCTTCGGGTGTCAACCATCCGAAACCGTGAGCCTCAGGGTTTAGGGTTTAGGGTTTAGGGTACAGCTGCCAGAGGAGCTACCTACCTACAGCACCTGCCTATCTGCCTACCTACTGGTATCTACATACATCCATGCATGCATCCATACACACACATACATACATACATGCCGATGCGCATTTCTAACAATCCACACAGACATACACACATACATGCAAACATAGATACATGCATACATGCACACATACATGCATGCATACATGCATGCATACATGCATGCATACATGCATGCAGTTTCGCTTCTCGCTTGTCGGGCAACGAGTTCAGTTCAGATGCAGCAGTACATGCATACGTACATACACACATACATGCCGACATGCCACGTTTTGACAAAGTTGTACTTGTATACTGCTGCTCGGGGCGCCTGTCTCCATCTGTTGCCTCATGGACCGTTCTCCGAGACACAACCCCAAACCACAAAACCTGAACCTTCAGCCCTAAACCCTAACAACCCTCAACTCTCAAACGCCTAAACCCTGCAGAACCAGAGGAACCCCTTGCGGTTCCCGTTACAGGATTCCGAAACCATCCTAAACCCGAAAACTCTCCGAAAGCTTCTAGGAACCCTTAACCGGAATCCTTAAAGGAAGCTTCAAAGGAACCCCCAAAAAATAGAGCCCTATAGTACCCCGTTATAGGAACCCTTAACGGGAATGCTTACAGGAACCTTTAAAGGACCCCCAAAAAACACAGCCCTATAGTACCCCCAAACCCTAAACCCTAAACCCTACCCTAAACCCAAACCCCAAAGTTCGGAGGCCTCAGCAGGTGGGATGAAGGTAGGTAGGATCAAGGATCCCTTATATAAGGACTCTTATTTGGGAATACCCCACCTACGTTATTACTGGAGCCTTTAATGGAACCCTCCCTAAACCCTAAACCCTATACCCTGAACCCCAAACCCTAAACCCCAAACCCTAAACCCTGAACCCCAAACCCGAAGCCCTAAACCCTAAAACCCTAAACCCTAAACCCCTAAACCCTAAACCCTAAACCCCTAAACCCCTAAACCCTAAACCCCTAAACCCCAAAGTACGGGGCCTGGCACTGGTGGCGCGTCTTCGTCCCCGGAAGCGCCGGGCTCAGAGCAGCCTCGGCCGCTGTAGCGATGGCCGTGGCACCTCGGCACCGCCGGATTTGGGGCTTCTATAGATCTGTTTATTCAAACTGCAATGTATCTTAGGGCTTAGGTAGGGTTTAGGGTTGAAGCTTTAGGGTTTTGGGGTTTATGACGGATTTGGGGCTTCGATCTTTTCTTTAAGGTGCAATGCATCATAGGGTTTAGAGTTTGGGGTCTGTTTATATTAGATTTGGGGCTCCTATAATTATTCATACTGCAATGTACCTTAGGGTCTAGGGTTTAGGGGTTGCAACCTTAGGGTCTAGGGATTTGGAGCTTAGATCTTTTTGTTTAAGGTGCAATGTACCTTAGGGTTTAGGGTTCAGGGTTTAGGTCTGTTTATTCAAGTATCAAAGTACCTTATAGGGTTTAGGGTTTAGGCTATACTTCGAGGCTTCTATAGATCTGTTTATTCAAGTTGCAATGGACCTTAGGGTCTAGGGATCAGGTTTCTTCTAAGATGCAATGTACCTTAGGGTTTGGGGTTAAGGTCTGTTTAGCCAATATTCAATGTAATTTAGGGTTTAAGGCTTAGGGTCTACTTCGGCACTGGCAGATTCAATGTAGGCGGAATATAATAAGGACCTGTATTTTTAGGGCGGCACCTGCCCACTGCCAGATTCAACTAATATACGGGCCGGAATAAGAAGCCGCATGATGAGGCCCTAAGACCTCAAACACTAAATTAAACCCTAAGCCCTGAACCTTGCGGCTCGGGGGCTTTGGGTTTAGGGTTTAGGGGTTTGGGGGTTTTGGGGTTTAGAGTTTGCCTGATGCCTAAACACCCCAAATTATCTCCAGGACCGGTCCTTTCCGACGGCCGAGCCACAGGTGAGCTTCTTCTTGTAGGTCGTGAAATCCGCGGTGGAGTTCATCCTGGAGATAGGAGTTTCCGAAAATTCGGGGTACCGTAGCAGACCTTATCTTGCGGTCCTTACAAGAAGGATCTTACTATTTAGGGTCCTATATTAGGTCCTATATTAGTGTCCCCTATTCTCAGAAACCCCCAGATGGTTTTGGCATCCTTTTGAGGCTTTCCGGGCTTGTGGCTAGGCCTTAAACCCTAAAACCTAAACCCCCAAACCCTACACCCTAAACCCCTAAACCTTAAACCCTAAACCCGAAGCGGCTTGTGGCTTAAGGGTTTAGGGCTTTCAAGGTTCCAGGGATCCTCAGGGATCTTTACGGAGTGGGCCAGGTCGTATACTGTACGGGCTTGCATAATTAGAATAGGTTTTGTTTTTTTTTTGGGGGGGGGTTCCTTTAAAGGGATCTATAAGGAGTACTATAAGGGGTCTTATGGGGGCTTAGCCCCTCATAATTAGAATAGGGCTTTGGAGCACATTATACGAAAACTACAAAAAGGAACCCCACAATAGTATTGGTAATTATTTAGGCCCCATAGCACTCCCTCATGGCGTTGATCGTGAAGGGATCGATGCTTTGAACCTTCCGATGCCCTAACATCCCGATTAGTACCTGTATCCCTCGATGCTGAACGTCACAACCCTTTAAGCTTGAAACCCCACAAACCCTCACAGCGGCAACAGCCTTACACCCTCCCGAACCACTTAACTGCCTACACAAAACGGTTCAATCAAAGGAGATCTTTGCGGATTTCCGCACTCCTGTCGAGATCGCAAGCCGGGAAGTAACGGCATTCCTGGCTTCCTGACGGACGGTTGACAATGAGTCCAGGGTTTTGGGCTTGCTTAAGGATACAAGTAGTTTTAGGGCCTGGATCTTTGGACGAGGGTTGTGGGTGGGTATCGGCGATGATGGGAGGCCAAAAGGGGGGTTTAAGATTCTTGGGGTAGGGATTCCGTAATATGAACCCTACTATGGGAACCCTAGTCCCTACTAAACCCCCATAGGCTAAAACCCCCTTTTGGCCTCCTATGATTGGTTGGTAACCCTAAACCCTAAACCCCCTAAACCCCTAAACTCCTAAACCCCTAACCCCTAAACCCCTAAACCCCTAAACCCTAAACCCCTTTTGGCCTCCTGTGAGACGAACCTCGAGGAATAGTACTCAGCGACTTTTGAACCCGAGATTCACATAGAGGGAACTCCAGAAAGTTGGAATATGGTTTCATGGTAGGATACCCTATAATTTACCATAGAAGGGTTAGGAGAATCATATTCCAACTTTCTAGCTTTTACCCTAGAGGAACCCTCACAGCACCCTGAAAGGAACCATCAAAGGACCCTCGAGGAAATCTCAAGGGATACCTTAGAAGGGGCCCCCACCCTGTAATAGTGACCATAAGGATTATATAGGATTATATTGGGGCCCTATTATATTCTTATTATACCACTATTACAGGGTGGGGGCAGCTTCGAAGGGATACCCCTTAACCCTAAATACTACCCTAAACCCTCAAGGGAACCCGAGAGACTGCCGGATCCAGCCTAGCGAGAAGGCGAAAAAGTGGCAAGTGCTCGACGCTCCGCAGTTCCTTGGTGAATGGCTTCATATAAGGGCCGTAATAATTAGAGTAAGGTTTTGGGGACCATTATGCTACATTATACTAAGGAAACCCTGAGTTCGTCTTGGAAATGATTTAGGCCCCCATATTAATTCACGGCCTTTCTAGGGCTCACAAATTTCATAGGGCCTTTGCGTGGTTCAGTAAAGTTGCATCAGGTTTAGTAGAGGTGAAATTAAGATCATGTAAATATTTCTACGGGTGTATGAGCGCTCCCTAGGGCTTCCTCGACCTTCCCAAATCCCTTAATTAAGTAAGGAATATACCATAAATTACAACAGGGTCCCTAATATGATTCAAGGTATATGCCTTAATTAAGGGATTTTGGAAGGTCTAGGTTTCTACTCCCACTTCTTAGTGGTTTGTTTCAAGAGGCGTTTCTCTTCTTTGGTCTGGTAATTGCACAGGTACTAGGGAGTACTCTTTCTAGTTCTTCAGACCTGTGTACATGGATTACTTTCGAATCCTGCACAATATCAGTTTAAGAGTTTATCATTTTAAGAGTTTCGCGCCAAAGAGTTATGCCCTGTGGTTAGATATCAAGTCATGACCCCGTATTCTTGCAGGGCTTTGGTGTCTTGGCCATCAAGCCCTTCACCATGCTCTAACTACAAGCAACGGCCTTGTGATACTGAGCTCTTGTTGAAAAGCCCAGACCTTCCAAAATCCCTTAATTAAGGAATATACCCTAAATCATATTAGGGACCCTACTATAATTTAAGGTACATTCCTTAATTAAGGGATTTTGGAAGGTCTTGGAACTTACAGGCATCATGACCCCCCATAGCACAGAACCCGAAACCCCCAAAGTCAAGTTGCAAGGCTCTCCCCTGAAGCTACACTCCAAACCTGCATCCCTAAACTCCACAGACTTGCAACGCCCCGTACTCCCGAAGCATTAACCTCTGTCTTAGGAACGGCCCCCTTACAGTAAGAGTCTATAATTGGGCTACTATTCAGGTCCTAATATATCTATATTATAAATACTATTCAACTATTACTGAGTGGGGGCCGTACCAAACCTCTATCATGTGATCTGCAAAAGAAAACCTGCCGAAAGATAATGGACCAAACTCCCCACACACAGACACGCCAACACACAACAAAAATCATCCAACGATACACCCCAAACCCTAGACCCTCGACCCTGAACATTAAACCCCAACCCCCCCCAACCCTCAACCTTTTAAGCAGCAAGCCTTCGAGATCTCTCAACCGAGTTGCGTCTCGCAGGCCGCCTTACTTGGAACCTCGGCGCCAGCGAAGGGCACAGTCAGCTTCAGGGTTCATGCGAATCTCCCCAGACCTTCCAAAATCCCTTAATTAAGGAATATACCTTAAATTATAATAGGGTCCCTAATATGATTTAAGGTATATTCCTTAATGAAAGGATTTTGGAAGGTCTGGGCTACCCCACACTGACCCCTGACGCTAAACTCCAAGATTCGTAAAGCCCTAGAGCCCAAGACCCTCAAACATTAGCACTCGACAAATCCCTAAACCTTAAATCCCTAAATGCCAAACAACGCCAACGAGAACCCCTGGCACGATTTGAAGCAAGGGCACTTTCCGTTGTACTCGCAGCACTTTGGCCGTGCAGAGGCCGGTTGCAAAGGACCTTAGCCAAAACCCCCACACCCTAAACCCTTCACCCTCAACCCTCAACTTAACCCTTAACCCCTAACCCTCAACCCCCAACCCGACACCCTCAACTGTTTAACCGTTAACCCTTAAACCTCAACCCTATACCCTAAGCTCTCACTTGGGGAAAGCTCCGGCTCGTCGGTCCCCTCGAAGGTGTTAGGGTTCGGCTGGGTTCTTGCTAGGGGATTTAACTTATGTTACCATAATAAAGAACTCATCGTATTTACCATAGATCGCTATTATCATGGTATATAAATGTATTTAAGTTCTGGACAAGAGCCTAGTTCGGGGTTCGGGGCTTAGATTTTATGATTTGGGGCTTCAGGGCTTAAGGTTCAGGGCGTACGGTAGAAGACATGTACAAATTTGTTCAGGGCCGTGGAAGTCTGATAAACAACTTTGAGCCGCAGAAATGCATTATAGAACCCTGATCTCAACCCGTTAGAATGTAAGGGGCCTCTTAAGGAACGCTTCTAAACCCCTAACCACCTGCTGTAAGAAGCCATTCAAGCGCCTTTATAGCCCACTAGCCTACAGGGGCCATAATATGTAGAATGGGGTTGTGAGATACTCTGTTATCGTTGGAGGGGGACCTTCACCGAATAAGTACGTATTCCGACCACCTATATTTTGGGTATTGCCCCCCCCCGCTCTCTACGAGTCCATATTCGGGGTCACACAAGAGGGTTGCACTCTAAGAATATTCGAAACGTTATCAAACTGTTACAGACTGGGGCAAGGACGCAACCTACAACGAACTGTGCTTCCGAAGCCCGAAACTCCTAAACCCTCAACACTAAACCGCAGGGCTACATTGCTGTGACAGACTGGGAGCAGTACCGATCCCTACATACCCTAAAGCTCCAGTTGCCGAAATAATCGGATTCTAGAGTGCAAAATTGTCTGGTTAGTATCCTACTACGTATATTAAGGGCTCCATTATTGTTAAAGAGTGGGAGCCAACCTTATAAGACCCTTAGAACCCTATAGCACCCTTAAAGGGGACTCTATTATAGAACCCTATCGTACCCTTAAAGGGGACCCTAAACTAAGTCCCCAGGGCCTTCTCAGTAGACCCTTCTAAACCCTAAACCACATAGATCCCTTTAAGGAGCCCTGTAAGAATCCTTACTAAGTCCCTTGGACCTCTAAGTAGGTTGGTATCCTACTACGTATATTTAGGGCTCCATTATTGTTAACCCTAAACCCTAAACCGTGGGAGCCAACCTACATATAGAACCCTATAGTACCCTTGAAGGGAACCCTATTATAGAACCCTACTTAAAGGGAACCCTAAACTAAGTACATGTCGCCAGGAGGCGGAAACTCGTAGCTCCAGCCGGTGGGAAGCGTGGGAGGTCGGATCTCATCGCCCGCCTTCCACCTCAGTCAAGAAGATTCAGGGTTTAGGAGTTTAGGCTGCATTTAAAGGGATCCTATACGGGCTCCTTTAAGGGATCCTACAAAGGATCTATAGTGGTTTATAAGGTTTAAGAGCTTAGCGGTTTGGGAGTTTAGGGTGTTGCAGTTTGAGATTCTTACCTTTGGTTAGTAGGGAATGGAAGAGTGGTAGTAATTACTATAAGGGGTCTATATAAGGGTACTATAATATGGGGGCCTTACTAATCCTATAAGTTACCTTTGGTTAGTAGGGAATGGAAGAATGGTAGCAATCGTAGTTATACTTGTACCCCATTCCTCCATTCCTTACTAGCCAAAGGGTAAGGATTTAGGGTTTAGGCGTTTAGGCTTTAGGAGTTTAGGGTTTAGCAGGTTCAGAGTCTAGAGTTTAGGGGTTTTGGAGGTTAGGATTTAGGAGTTTAGGGTTTAGGCTTTAGGGCAGAGGTTAGGGTTTTGGGCTTGCGATTTGGGGGTTAGGTAGCAATAATGGCTCCATTTGCGGCATCTTGGCTTCTAAGAGGTTCTCCGGGTGGTTGCATAGGGAAGGATCCCACTAACTGATGGACAAAATGTTGCAGTATCCACAACAACGAAAAGGGCAATTCCGTTTGGGGTCCTCACCGTGATGCAGGGTTCGTGTCCATCAGCAGACACCGCTTAATCAGATGCGTACCTTTTAGGATTGAGGCTTTAGTTAACGCGCTACAATTTGGTGTTTACGATTTGGGGCTCTGGTGCTTGAGCGACTTTGAAGGAAGGAGCCACAGTCTAGACAACAAGAACAAGTCCTTGGGATCCAAAAACACTACAATTAAGGAAAGCACCTTATAACTCAGAAAAGGGAATTTTAAGTCTACACTACTATGTTATGATAATTATTGCGGTGCCTAAATCCCTAGAGTTGTTTTTCGTTTTTCGTGCTGTAACCATCCATACATACATACATACATACATATAAGTATATGTATTCGTATGTATACATATATACACACACATATGTGTATATATAAATAGGGGCAGTAATATACAGAAGAGTGCTTTTAGGGTCTATAATGCTGTACAGGTGTCAGGACCTTAACTATTGAAGAATGGTTTTCGGGTCTATGACTATACGCCTACATGGGGACCCCTGTACAGGGACTTGCCGGCAAGGCACTATACTGTATTTCTGTTGACCATAAGTGCATACCATGACCCTGAGCCCGAAACCCTAAACCTCTAAAGCCTTCAAGTACTAAACCCCTAAACCCCAAACTCCAAGGGTAAAAGGAGGGACCCTTAACAAGGCCCCCTAGGTATATATGCTTAATATAGCTACTATATATCCATTATATTCCCTATTACGCGGTAAGGGTCCCCATTAAGGGTCCCTCCTGTTTCACCTTTGACAAACCCTAACCCCTAAACTTCAACCCCTAAACCTTCAATTTCCGTCTCAGATCCCCACCAGGTCATAAGCTTGTCAGCCAGGAGTTCCCTATTTGCAAGTATGGTACAACGTACCCCAAAACCCTTTTCCAATTATTAAAACAAGAAGCAAATATATTATAATTTGGGTACGGCCCCCACTCAGTAATGGTTGAAAAAATATTCTTAATATAGTTATATTAGGACCTTAATAGTAGCCCTATTATAGACTCTTACTGTATGGGGGCAGTACCTAAATTAATGCGCCCCAAAACCCTTTTCTAATTATTGAGGGCCCCTACTTTACTCGATCGGGAGCTAAACCCCAAATTTCTATTTCAGATCCCCTACAGGTCCCCTATTGTAAGTATAGTACGATGTACCCCAAAATCCTATCCTAATTGTTGACGCCCTTATTCCAACAGGGTGCAAGTATATGATAATCCACCCAAAACGATTCTCTAATTATTGCGGGCCCCTACATTACTAGGTCGGGAGCTTTTGCCAACAAGGTGCTGTCCTTCCTCGGAGTTGAAGAGGCGGTGCCCGGCCAGCGTCGTCCTCGGGGGGGGGGGGGGCGGTCTCTCGAGGGTCTGGGGTTGCGGGCCTTCCTGTTTAGGGCCTTAAAAGAGCACATAAGCAAAAATTAGGATAGGGAGGATATCACATATAAACCCCCTTGTACTGAAGTCCATTAAGGTTGGGATGTCTCTATAAAATGTTTATGCTTCTGTGCTTTTTTGCCCCCTAACTGCTGAAATTGGACACAAAATTACAAAGGGTGCTAATGTAGGAACCTGATTAAGAAACCTTGGGCCTTTATCAGGGTTCCTTGTATGAATCCTCTATTTTGGAGTTATAGGCCCAGGGTTTCTGAATCAGGTTTCTACATTAGGCCGCTTACGGGTCTAATCGCCGAACACGAACTCTAACACCAACCACCGTCATCAAAACGTATAAGGATGAGTTCCCCCCCACACACTTTCACGGGTGGCATGACACTGTATATCTTACTGAATAGGCCGTTTGTCTGACAGAGCGCCTGCAGTGGTGGGAACAGCAACAACATAAGAAGTGCTCATAACAACAGAAATTTCATTCGTAAGCCTACTGATCTTAAGATGAAGAAGGAAGCACATGACCACTGAAATCCACCACAAGCGACAACAACCCTCCGGCTAGTGGACCCGAAGCAACCTCAAGCCAATTGAAGGCCAAGTCACGGCGGCGCAGGGAAGTGGACTTGCTCGGACACGCCTTTCAGAGGCAGCTCCCGAAACCCCTCTCTGAGGCAGTAAACCCTATGACCCTACACCCCGAAATTTCAAACCTGCAATCCCAAAACCCTATAAAATTTAGGGGAGCTTAGGCTAAACTCTAAACTCAACACCCTAAAATCCAAAACCCAACACCCTCCCTCATAAGGCCCTTGTAGAGCCCTTGTATAACCTTGCCCTAAACCCTAATATAGGGTCCTTACTAAATAGAACAGGCTTTGTTTGGGAATCAGAGGAAACCCCAAACAATAGTATGGGCAACTATTAAGGCCCCTATAGCACCCTAAACCCCTGAACCCCAGACTCTAAACTCTTATCTCTAAACCCTAAACTCTAAACCCTCAACCCCTAAACCCTAAACTCCAAAACTCCTAAACCCGAAACCCTTCTACACTCCTTCGAATCGAAGCCTTCCATGCCACTCTGTCCAGGGCTGATGGACTCGGCACCATCGCCCCTCACAAATCGAAGAGCCGGTGCCTGGATCTGCGTGGGGAAATCCAGGATTTAGGGCTTAGAGGGTTTAACTGGGTTGTAGTTTTGGGGCTCTGCAACGTATTTATGAGGTACCTCTATAGGAACCACAACGGGAAATGAAAGTTTCCCGAATTGCCACCCGGTTAAGGGGTTTGGTTTAGGGGTTTAGGAGGTTAGGGGTTCGGGCTTTAGGGTTTAGGCTCAAGGGTTTGAGGCTTAGGGCTCAAAAGGTCTGAGGCTGTAGGTTTGAGGCTTAGGCTTAGGCTCAAAAACTTAGAGCTTGCGGCTTTTAGGGTTTAGGCTTCTGGGGCTCCAGGGTTGGCGAAGTCTCGGGCTTCCAGGTCTAGGGTTTGGGGATTATAACCCTAAACCCTAAACTCTAAACCCTAAATGGTTTGGGGCTTACCCGAAACCCCGGAGAAGTGCTGCCAGGCTGCGTCGTTCTTTCGACAGAAGTCCACCTTCACCGGATTGAATCTACCGTTACGGGGTCTCTCAGGGTGCTGATGCTAACATGCTTTCTCAGGCCTCAGTAGGGATATGGGCTTTATAGAGGTTGAGGCTACCGGAACAAGTCCGTTACTCTACCCTTGTAAGAAACCCTCAAGAACTCTTGAAAAGCCCTTACCTGAAGCCCTCGCAAAGCTCATCCCTGAGAGCCCAATACCTCTGACCTTGATATTGGGATTTAAGGGACACTCGTATATGATCTAAAGGTGCATTCCCAGAGACTCCCATATCCCTGAATTAAAGAATATACCTGAAATCATATTCGGGATCCTACTGTAATTTAAGGCATATTCCATAATTAAGTAAAATATTGGAGTCTTTGGGTTCCTGTACGAAGGGCCTGCAAGCGGACGATGTCGCCGTCGGCCACGATCTCCAAAAGCTCAGTCCCCGCGCTGGTGATGCCGTGGACACCTCAAAAAGGCAACAAAAACCTAAGTAGAGCCCGAAAACCTAGAGCCAAGCAAGCTTCAAAATAAGCATACAGGGATGGGAAGTATGATTTGGACCAAAGACCTTGATGTGGGTGGTTTCCGAAAATAAAGGACCCTTATATGGTAATTATCCTAAATAGTTGGACCCTGACTATAATGACCACGACATAGGGTACCCTTTTTTCGAAAGCTCCTGTATCAGTCGAGACTAGATAGGAAGCTGGCCCGCCAAGGTTTTCCAGACGAGGCGCCGATGTGCGGGTCGCGGCCCCGCTCTCCGTTCACCTGGAGCTTCAGATTAATGAGTCGGCTTATGGTTTAATGTTCAGGGTTTAGGGTTTAGGGTTCAGGGTTAAGGGTTTAGGGTTTCGGGACATTAGCCATACTTGGAGGCCCAGGGGACTTAGTAAGTAGGTTATAAGTAGGGTTACAATTGGGGTAACTCCACTTAGGGTACTTATAACCCTACTTCTAACCTACTTACTAAGTCCCCTGGGCCTCTAAGTAGGGTTTAATGTTCAGGGTTTAGGGGATCAGGCCTCAGAGTTGAGGGGAGTTTTCAGAGCTCAGCGTGTCTTTAGGGAAGTTGAGGGTTTACGCTGTCCGTGGTTCATGGGTTTCGAGACTTCGGAACGGATGCATGGCAGTTTTTATGTGCTAGGGAATGCTCTATGCATGTCGAACAGCGCCTTGCGAAGTAAGCATCATGCAACATCTACGGCACACTTTGGGTTTCCGGCGGCATGATGTCCAAAGTCTTAGCGGCCTGGTATTCTTGCACCGAGTGTCAGATATGAAATGCTAGCCACGACTCAAAAAAAGTGTTGAAGTGCTTGGTGCGCATGGGCGGTTGTCAAAATTAGGGTCCCTGTTTGGGTCCCTATTACAATACGGCACCTATTATTTAGGGTACCCAAAAGGGGCCCTATTTTTGACAACCACCCACATGACTGTAGTTGTTGTCGTTGTCGGCGCTGTTATTGCTGTTCGTTGCCCTTGTCACTGTCTAGGATACCCAGTAACCTAAGAATAAAAAGGCCTCTCTTTTTGGTATTGGGTAACTTTATAAGGAACCTAGGACTACAAAAAGGGAATAAGGGTACTACTGGGCATCCTAGGAGGGATGCTGCGACACCCCAAACGGGTGGGTAGTTATAAGGTGGGTAGTTTCCCATAAGCCTCCCATACTACTCCTAGAAGGTAAAGGGGGTCTTATGGGAGTACTATGGAAGAGGAACTACCTACCTGTAAGGGGCTTCTACTGTGGACAACGCTCAAGCTCTGACTCCGACCGCTTCGAAAGCCTACGACGACGAAGGAATGATGCTGATCGGGAACACCAATACTCCGATGGATGCCGATGGCTACGGCAAATCTACTTGGAGGCCCAGGGACGTAGTAAGTAGGTTATAAGCAGGGTTACAATCTATAATTATGATTGGGGTAACTCCATTTAGGGTACTTATAACCCTACTTCTAACCTGCTTACTAAGCCCCCTGGGCCTCCAAGTACGTATGGCTAATGCCCCGAAACCCTAAACCCTAAACCCTGAACCCTAAACCCTAAACCCTGAACCCTAAACCCTGAACCCTGAACCCTAAACCCTAAACCCTAAACCCTAAACCAACATGGCTATTTCTCGTGGAGTCTTTTGTCCGGCGTCGAGGGGCCCAGCCGCCATCCCCCAACGTCGTGTGGGAGCCGTCGGTGAGGGCCTCCATGGCCATGCCGCCTCCGAACAAACACGATAGGGGTTCCTTTAAAGGGGTCCTTAAAGGGGTCTATAAGGGATCTACAGTAGGGTTTTATGATATGGGGCCTTAATAAATACCTATACTATTTGAGGGGCTCCTTATTTTAAGTTTCATATAATGGGCCAAATACGATAGGGGCCTTAATAAATACCTATACTATTTGAGTGCTCCTTATTATAAGTATAGTACAGTGGGCCCCAAAACCTTATTCTAATGTAGGCCGCTATATTGGCCTTGGAAACTTTGAAGTCAATGGTCTGGGAACACCGAAAAAGACCGAGAGAGACCCGGAAAGATCGAGAGAGACCCGGAAAGATCGAGAGAGACCCCGAAAGATCGAGAGAGACCGAGAGAGAGAGAGAGAGAGAGAGACAGAGAGACAGAGAGACAGAGAGACAGAGAGACAGAGAGACAGAGAGACAGAGAGACAGAGAGACCAGAGAGACAGAGAGACAGAGAGAGACAGAGAGAGTGCCAGCGGAAAGAATCAGAGGAGAAGAATCATCGTCATACCAGCAGGACTAATGACAACGAAGATTGGCAGTCGAAGTCGTAGCAGCACCTGAACCGGCAGCAGTAGCAGAAGCTTTGTCGGCAGCAACATCATCAGCCGCAGCCACAGCCGCAATCCACAGTCCCAGTCGAGTCGTCGTTTTCGTAGTGGTAGTCGACGTAGTCGTAGTCGTTGTAGTCGTGGTCGAGCAAGAGCAGCGGCAGTAGCAGTAACTGGAGCAGCAGCAGCCGTAAGGGTAGTCGACATGGTGTAGTGTTAGCTGCTAGTAGCTGCTAGACGTAGAACACGACGGCAACAGCATCATCACCAGAATCACGACAGCCATCATCACCTTCAACAATAGGAACAAGTCGGGAACGAGTGCTCGGCTTCAGTACGACCATCATCGTGAAGAATGGTGCCGCGCGGCCTGTGTAGGTTCCCGAAGCAATGGCATCTGCACCATTCTTGTCCGCAAGGATGTGGAGCTCCATGATCCGCAATTGGTTACCTGTCGGCTTGGCAGGTTCAGGATGAAGGGTTGGAGTGTCCATGCATACACTGAGACAGCATGCCAATATTTTCCGTGGGCACTGCTCAAGCTCTGGAACCTAAATTCTAAGCACAAACCCCAAATCCTACGCCCAAATCCAACACCCGAAATCCTAAGCCCTAAAGCCCTAACGCCCTAGACCCTAGACGCCGAAATCCTAAGCCCAAAACCCAAAACCCTCGGCGCCTGATGCATCGAAGGCCACGATATCCATGATGATCAGGTTTTGAAGGCCAGCCTCCGGCGCCTTCTCGCCTGATCAGTAGTCACTATGCCAAAAGCAGACTTGGGTTTGGGCTTTAGGATTTATAGGGGCTTGGGTTTAGGGTTTAGGATTTAGGGGCTTGGGTTTAGGGTTTAGGATTTACGGGTTTGGGTTCAGGGTTTAGGATCCTACCTAACTACCTTCGTGCCACCTTCCCAGGTCCTTGAAGGTGCGAGGCACATAAAGCCCTAAGCCCTGCAACCCCAAGCCCCCAGAGACCCCAATATCCCCCAACTCAGGAGTATGCCTTAAATCGGTTTAGGGTTTAGGGTTTAGGGTTTAGGGTTTAGGGTTTAGGGGATCCTACTATAATTCAAGGCATATTCCCTAATTAAGGTGTATTGGAGTCTCTTGGACTTGGACCACGCGTTTCCTACTTGTCGGGTATCATGGGGAACTGAAGGTTAACCATTTTGGCTTTATAGGGATTATATAGGGACTATACTACCCAAAAAGGTGATATCTATACTACCCAAAAAAGGTTATATAAGGGTTGCCTACTCTACTACTAGGGTTTAGGTTCCGAGGCGCCCATCTTCACCTTCACAGTGTTGTACATCGGTGCTTTCGAGGAGGCCGGCGGCCGCTCGTTCAGGGCACCTCCAAAAGCAGCCCAAAACCCAAAAGCCCGGTATGTATGTAGGTTATATACAAAGACGTGCACACACACACACACACACACCAATGTGGCTACATCCCACGACTCTACAAAGTGGGACCCTCAAGAAAATGTTGGCGTCGAATGCGCTTGCACCTTCCGGCGGGTAGAAGCGCATGTAGTCGATGGTCGGGGCCTGGCATGCCAAGCGTTTCCGGGCGCCTGGGGCACCCTGCCTTCTTCAAAGAGCCTAATATAGTACCCTAAATGACAGGATCCTGATTGTAAGAACCCCAAAATAAGGTACCCATTATTTGCGGAAACTCCCAGCCGCGGGGCAATCATTAAGGAATATCCGTGAAAGTTCCTGGGCGATCCTTACCATGGTTTGGGGTATGTTCGTTATCCAGACGGTGTTGGAGTGTCTGGGCGAAACCCCAAACCCAGAACCGTGGCTATGAGAAGAGTAGACTGACCGGGGGCTCTCTGAGGCCACAGCGGAGCCATCAAAAGTCTCTTGCACGCTGATCTTCCAGAAGCGTCCTCCAGGATCTTACTATGAGGTTTAGGGTTAGGGTTTGGGATTTCAAGTGTAGTGTTTCGGGATGATCGGGATCAGATCTCTTTACTAAGGACTTTGGGTGGAAACAAGAGCGGCTTCGCACCTGAAAGAAGAATCATTCAGTACCGGACAAGGGAAGCGACATACCCCAATTAAAGGGACCCTGAACCCTGCAAACTCTAAACTCCCTGGCCCCCACACGAAACCACCAACAGTAACATCCCATGGTGGAACCATTGTAAACCCTTAACTTATACACCTTAGGAACGATACACAACCGTCGACTGGAGTCCTACGAGATACTCCCATCATCCCAAATGTTCATGGAGCCTAAAAGGTTGTTCAGCAACCGTATATAACAGAATCGGGTTTAGGCTTCTAGAGTTTTGGGATATCGGGTTGAAGGCGCAAGGGAAACCTGTGAATGAGCCAACCCTAAACCCTAAACCCTCAGGTAGATGGCGACACGTCTCAGCCTCGTGGAGCTCAAGTCGTTCTGTGCTAGTGTTGGTGAGTTTAGGGTTAAGGGGTTTAGGGCTGAGGAGTTGGGGGTTTAGGGTTTGGGGTTTAAGGTTTTTGGGGGATTCATTACCATTCTGATTCCTACCAATGCTACTGTGGCATTGTGCCAATGCAGTCGATGCATATACCCTGGTCATTTCCTCATTATAGTTAAGCCCTATAGGCCCTAGTCATACTATAAGTGTCGCTATAACTCATTTTCTGCAATGTTAATAACTGTGAGCATTGTTGCGATGGTTGCACATACGATGCTCCTGCATAGGAGCCCGGGAATGGCCAGCGCTTCACCCCGTTCCACTCAGCATGGATGCGGAAGGTGTCCACCTGCCCAGAGATCCCGATACTCCAAAGCAAAGCAATTTTCCTCAAGATGAAAGTTTTTTGTACTGATTCTCCTGCACGTTACTGGATACTGGGCTTGCTATACAACACAATTTCCGAGGCGGGACGGCAAGTTGGAGGCCCAAGAAACCTCATGTACGACCAAAACAAATCGCATCGGCATTGTGGGAACACTAAAGTCTGAAACACAAACTTTACACACGACGAAGCCAAACAACCCAAACTTTAAACCCTCAAACCTCTGCGCAAAAATGCCGAGGTTTGCGCAAAGAACCGAAATCCCCATGCAGAACCCCTAAACAACCCTAGACCCCAATCCCGAAAGCCTCAATCACTGAGATCCGAAACCCAAGACCTTGAGCCCTTTAGACCCTCGGCCCAAAACCCTAAACCTTTCAGAACCCAAAATTACTTCGAGACAAGTCACTGGCTGCCACGGGCCAGCAGTGGAGTCGTCCCCGAAGCTCACAGCAAACAGCTTCGGGCTCCCCGCCTGATGAAACAAAAACAACAGGGGTTTTGGGTTTAGGGCTTGGGGGTTAGGGTTGCAGGCTTCAGGGTTCAGGGTTTCGGGCTTTAGATCTAGCAGGAAAAAGGCCGGTTTAGGGTTTAAGGCTTATAGAGCTTAACGTTTAGCGATTGAGAAGGCTCAGGGTTTCGGCTTTGAGGACGACATACAGTTAATAGAAACCTGACATTTCGCAGACATCATCACGTAGCTTCGTTCGTCGCAGCAGTCGTGGCAGTATCTTGTACCGTTACCAAGTTATGTATACACATATACGACAATATGTATATTATATGCTAGTTGGACGAGAAAATGTTAAACTCGGTGCGAGCGTTTCCGTCCAACTCTGTCACACTAAACCCTGAACCCCCACTCTAAGCCCGAAGCCCTACACCCTGCTTCCAACTCTAAACCCTGAACCCCAGCACGCCCTAAAACCGAAACACTAAGACTACGCGTTGAACCCGAGATGCAGAATCCTGAACCTTTTAACCCACCAAACCCAAAGCCCAACAGCAGATATGGAACCCACATCAGATCCCGTAAACGAACCCTTAGAGTCATAGGGTCCTTTTAAAGGAAGCCCTAAACCCCAAAACCCCCGAACTCTGTCGAGACACGGCAGAGGCAGCTTTCATCTCGAAGCCGGCGATTTGAATCGTGCTTTGCATGTCGAACCTTGTTTCAGGGTTTAGGTTTGGGTTTAGGGTTTCAGGGTTTTAAGATTTTAAGGGTTTGCCGGGTCAGTTTAGGTTGTAGGGTAATTATGGGTCTAGGGTTTACACTGGCTTAAGTTTACCGTTTGGGGTTTAAAATTTTTGGCCTTTAGGATTTTAGGGTCTCGGGTTTCCTTTAGAGGGAAGTATAAGGGCTCTTTTAAGGGATCCTTGGGGGCTGCCATGTTTTCTGCCCACTTTTTGCAATCATGGCATTCGTAAGTCTTGGCACGGGTGTCTTTAGCCGTCGGACTTGCAACAAGACCGGGGCGGACGTAGTAATCCACGGCGTGCTTTTAATCCGCACAACCACGAAAGATTTGGCCTCGTGCCGTCGGGTCCCATCGACGCATAGGGAAGTATATAACCCTGAAGGCCGTGGATCGGGAATATGTGGTTGCGGACGTTGGGGACAGCCGACCGCGATCCATCTTGGTGGGCTCCAAGACCACGACGACTTTCGTCTCGTCGATCTGTGCTTGTTCAAAACGGCATTGAGCTAGAATAGACTATCAGAAAGACTGCGTCTGCGCAAGAGCCTGCGGAAGGCAAGGTAAAATGCGATCGGCAATGACGTCGTAGTGGCGATCCACGGCGAAGAATCACCTTCTCCCTGTTGGATAACCAGTGCTCGGTTTCCAAGCGGCCCAAGCTTGGTGCACTGAGGTCGAAGGTTGCCACGACGTCAACTGACGAAGAATTATGCAGACAGAGGGTGGTCGAATCCATAGGTCGTGCGCTCGTTTGACCAACATATTTCCAATTTAGTTCTGCATGTTTTCCCAATATTTTTTGAGGGCGATTGAAGGGCTCCCCTGGCCCACCAGACAATTCGCAGGACGGGCCAGAACAAGGGGCTGAACTCGGGTTTACAGTTTACAGGGCCTTCTGCAGGAGAGGGGCAGCCCGAGCCGGGGCAGGGTAGAGGCCAGAACCCCGCAGGATGGGAAAACGGAGTGATCAAGGCATGGGGGGGGCAGAGCAAAGAGAGACCAGGCAAGTATGCAAAAGGTAGGTACAAAACATTAGGGAATACGCAAAAACCCTGCCTGGGCTGCACACCATCTCCAATGTTTTGCAAGTGTTTGTTCTCACTATGTTCCTACCTATAGTCTCCATTGTAGTTCCTTTTTGGGGTTTCCTTTTCTGGGTCCTTAATATAAAATTGGTTAAACCAGAAAAAGGAACTACAATGCAGACTATAGGTAATGTTTGTTTTCTGAGTTTGTAGTGGCCCCCCGGCCCGAGCCAACATCTGCAATACTCGTTGATGGCACAACCCGAACCGGTGGAAAGGCCTCAGCTGCCGACACCAAGATGCTGTGGACGTCTTCCGACAAAGCATCGTCATGCAAGACTTGCATCGCGGTACATGGTGTGTACTGTTTCGGAACTGTGTATAACGCAGAGTTCTGCGCTTACCTCTATGAGTCTTATGAGCCACTACTGTTCTTCGGGTCTGTGAAGCTTGCGAGTAACGCAGGGGCCTCTAAAGCGCATCCGCAAGCAGCTTAGAGGGAGAAGGTTATCACACGACACGAGAAGCGTTCTAAGAACCGCTGGAATCGGTCTTCCTCGGCCACAGCATCTATGGAAATGCCTTCAAGTGCGCAAGCCCGTCTTTTTCTCAACGCCGGTGCCGCTGCCCCCTCGGCACGGCGGAGGGGATGTCGTCAACTGCCTCGTAAGCGGAGCTCGGGAGTCAGCCTTCGTTTTTGGGCCTTCGAAAGCTGTCTCTCGTGAGCCGGATCAGCTCCGTCCCTGTCTTCGGCCGTGATGCCTTTGCTGTGTTCTACCACGAAAATTGAACTCAAGCTCCTGAAACCGGAGATCTGCCAGAGCAAGCTGATGCGACATGCTCAAACATCCGGCAACGACAGTCGACAGTCCCAGGGCCCAGGCATCATCGAGCTCGCAAAGCCTTGCTTGAACGACCCCGCCCCAGGGAAACCAACACAGTGGGGATGGGATGAAGACATCTTGTAAAGATATGAGCGCAACCCACAGAGATGGTAAAATATGCAAGCCAACACTGGGAAACTAGAATATACATGACGGGCAAAAACACACATTGGGAAAATCCGCACCGTTTGGCCCCAACAAGGGCGTGCCTATGTGCGGGGTTGCCGCCCTTGACCATCTTGGGACGACCTTGCAAGGTCTCCCGGTGCCGCTTCAAGAAAAGGGCATCACCAACCCCGTCTAGGATGACCCCACAATGGATTCGGCGGTCGAATTCCGCCAAATCCATCTGTTCGGAGTCCCCCACGCTGATTTCTAACAAGTCAGCCAGGTTCAGCTGTTCACCGATCCTGCGCAAGACATGTCTTGCGAAAACAGATTTTTCTCAATCGTGTGGCCCCCACGATGGCCAAGATGGGCCGCCGAAATTTGGGTTGGCCATCATGATGCCGGGTAAACTCTTCCACTTGGGGGTGCACCTTCATGGGCAGCATGGCTGGTTCCAGCGCATGCTGTTAAGCCGAAACGTCAGCACGTAACGACTCTTGCAGGTAGCGCTCAGCTGCCCTGCAGTCCGCCCGCTTCTGGCATGCGAGCAGCCACAATGGAGGTATGTTGCACGCGGAGAAGAGCTCAGGAGCAGGCCCACGGATTTTGCGCAATCTGTCTTGCCAATGGGTTCAAAGCACTTGAGGAGGGCAAAGGCAATGTCGGCGCTCCTGCAATGCAAAGGCATGTCGAACGGGAAATCACGGCTGCAATCTTACGAGGTGTCGCTTTGCTGTGCGTTTGCACCGCAATTAAACGTTGTGCAGTTCTGCCTCACGAAGCAAGTAGGGCTTGCGCAAAGGCTGCGCCACAAGGAATGACATACACGCACGCAAGGCTCCACCCAACCGGACGCCAATGGGACTCCTGAGGACTTTCTGGGTGATTCTCGCACCAACCTGGAGCATTGCTTACTCCGCGCTTGGGTTGCCTGCCTGGTCTCAGGCAGTGCTCCAGCCGCTGCGCGGCACAGAAGTCCTGACACTCGAACATCCTAGGTGCCTTACCCTTGGGGATCTAAGGACTCATATATTAGGGCTTTCGGGCCCAAAGAGGCTTTTGGGCTATTTTGATCGCCAGGCTTAATGACGCTTAACCTAAACCCCAAACCCTAAACCCTAAACTTTGATCCCTAGGGTTACAGAGGCTTAAGGGCTGCGGCGTTTGAGATTTTGGGCGCTGAAAACACCCGGGCTTAGAGCCAGCGAAGGAGTCCCCCTAGTCGGTTTAGGCTGTGGGGCTTATGGTTTCTAGTTCATGGTTGGGATAGGATTAAAGATTTAAATTTCTATTCCTTATTGGGTTTAAGTAACCATAAAAATGTAAAATGTTGCCCAACTATGACAAAGGTTTAGGCTATATTTAGGGTTTAGGGGTTTAGCGGTTTAGGGGTTTAGGGGTTTAGCGGGATATGGGGTTTAGGGGTTTTGAGGTTTATGGGGTTATGGGGTTTAGGGGTTTAGGGTTTCGGGGTTTACTGTAGGGGTTTTGAGGTTTATGGGGTTTAGGGTTTTAGGGTCAACCAAGAGGCACGACCCAGGTGGGAAAGGTCCAATCCGTACCTGCAGCACTGCAATAGCTCATAGTTGGGACCGTAATAAAACTATTCAGTTGTATTCCTTAGTGGGTTTAAGTACCCATAAACATGCAACATGCTACCCAACTATGACAAAGTCTGCAGAGTTCTGCTGGAGAGTGGCGCGAGTCCAGGGATTTGTTGGAGGGTTTTTCGAGGTTAAGGTCCAGGTTTTCAAGTAGGGTTGACGGCTTTAGTTGGAGGTTTACGTCTTGCAACTTCCAGGTTCGAGATAGTGGAGGTCGATAAAAGCAAAGGGCAGTCCCTAAACCCTAAACCCTAAACCCTGAACCCTAAACCCAACAATGGCTCTCAAAAACCTAAACCTTCAGACCCCAAAACCCACACAGCCGTGAACCCTAGACCCTATGAACCCTAAGCCCAACCTCAAGCCGAGGACTCCCATAGAACAGGGTTTAGGGTTTAGGGTTTAGGGTTTAGGGTTTAGGGTTTAGGGTTTAGGGTTTAGGGTTTAGGGTTTAGGGTTTAGGGTTTAGGGTTTAGGGTTTAGGGTTTAGGGGGCCCTTGTAACTGAATCCCAAACCCCAAAAGCCCTACAAGGCAAAGTGCCAATCGAGACTTCGTATATACCAGAGATCCCTATAATTCCCTCTATCAAAAACCCTGAAAAGCACCCTGTAAAAAATTGCGGCCCTTGATGGACCTCCTTCGTCTGTCAATGACCTCCTCAACTAGGATACCCAGCAACCTAAGAATAAAAAGGCCTCTCTTTTTGGTATTGGGTGACTTTATAAGGAACCTAGGACTACAAAAAAGGAATAAGGGTACTACTGGGCATCCTAGCTAAACACTAAAATACAAAAAGGGTGCCCTTTTTGGTTTAAAGGGGGTGAAAAGGGAACCTATACCCTAAAAAAGGGAATACGGGCCTACTCTGGGTCCTAGTCCTCAAAAGGAACCCAAAAGTCTGCCTCCGAAGTCTGCGTAGTTGTTGTTGCTCGCATCCAAGATATTTTGGATCCTTGGGAGAAGGGCCTACTTGGAGGCCCAGGGGAGGTTATAAGTAGGGTTATCATTGGGGTAACTACTTCCATTTAGGGTACTTATAACCTGTTATAAGTACCCTAAATGAAATAGTTGCGCCGATTATCACCCTACTTATAACCTACTTACCAAGTTTCCTGGTTCGGATGTCGGGTTCAGGGTTTGGTTGGGTTTTGGGGCTTCCGATGGAAGGTTTGGGATTGGGGGCTTCGGATTTTACGCTTCGGGGACTTCGGGTTCATGGATCCCTGGGAACACCTTCGGAGGGTGTCTGGGTTGAGGCTTTCAATACCCCAGGGGTCCAAGTACCTGGTTATCATATACTCTTCAAAATAGCAACCTACATAACTACTATCCTTCAACCGAGTACCTAATTCTTGGGTCCTTTGGACCCTTAGGGATGTAGAAAGGTTCTTTGAGAGTTCCGATACAGGCGCCTCACTGGTTCTAATAGGGTTTTGCAGTGATCAAAATTCCCCATACGCACATGCCCTTTTCTATTACTCAGCCTTCCTGAATACCCCCCCCCCCCCCAAAAAAAAAAGACGTAAGGTGAAGGAAAAGAACAGAGTGTCACATGGAGTGATGCCTAAATGGGCGGTTGTCAGAATTATGGTCCCTTTTTGGGTACCCTACATACTAGGTGCCGTACTATAATAAGGACCCAAGAAGGGACCAGAATTTTGAAAACTGCCCAAATCAAGGTTAGGGTCCCCTTGATTGATTGGAGCGCAGCCGTCTGCTGGGAACCATCTTAAGGACCCTAATTCAGGGAACAACCCACATCTCCGAATAGCTGCAAACCCTAAACCCCTCCAGAGCTAAGCCGTCAACCGCAACCCCTAGAGTCGACAGTCAGCACCATGAGCCCTAATTCCTAAACTCCTGACGGAAACTCTGATCACCTAACGACTGGCCAAAATCCTAAGGCCCAGGGCATACACACAAAGAAGAAATCGCAACAGGCTGAAGCATTCTAATGTTTTCAATGCTATGTGAAGAGTGAAACCGGCGTAAAACAAACTTACTCAAAAAAACATGCAGACCGAAAAACTGCTTCAACCTAAAACCTAAACCCTAAACCGTCAAAACCCTAAACCCTAAAACCCAAACCCTAAACCCTAAAACCCTAACCCCTGCGTCCGAAGTGCGGGCCCTCGGAGTGCATCGGGCTGCTCAGTGCTGTCATCACGGAGACCAGTGGCTTGGACCAATCCTTATAATAATTAGAATAGGGCTTTGGGGTATAATATACTAGAAATAGAATAAGGAACCCCAAAATAGTGTAGGTGATTCCTCAGCTTCTTCGGGTCTTTCGTGAAAACGCTCCTTGAGAGGGGTCTGTGTAAGGTTTCCTGTAAGGGGTTCTATAAGGGCTACAAGGGATCTATTGTAGGGTCGTATATTAGATGCCTTAATAATTAGAATAGGGCGGGTTTCGGGGGTAGTATGCACTACTATTATTATCATAAAAAACCCCAAAATAGTTTTTGTAATCATTTAGGCCCCTGTAGTAGCTTCTTCGGCTGTGGTTTTGTAAGGGGCTTCAGTATCCAGGATTAGCGGTTTGGGGTTTCCGGTTTTCGGGGTTTAGGATTTCAAGGTTTCTGGGTTAAGAGCACTGGAAAGGGGTTTATGGTCCAGAACCCCAAACGCGAAGGAAAGCTCTCCTGCCCAGGCCTGTAACCGAAACCCTTACAGTAAACCTTATGGAAAGACCTTATCATAGTTCGCAACCGAAGCCATTAGATGGGTGGTTGTCAAAACTATCGTCCCGTTTTGGGTACCCCAAATAATAGGTGCCGTACTATATAAGGGACCCAAAAAGGTACCCTAATTTTGACAACCACCCATATTGGACTTCATGCAGAGACCTTATCATAGTCCGTAACCATTTATCTAGTTCATGGTTGGGATAGGATTACAAATTCAAATTTTCACTCCTTATTGGGTTTAAGTACCCATAAACATGGTGCCGGCGCCTGTACGGGGCCGTGCGCTGGGAGACATTTTTTTGTTGGCGGCAGACAGCGGCGAGGCCAAAACTCGAGCGAAACGCGCGTTTTGTTGAGATCAAGAGCTTTCGCAGGTGCCGAAAACACTAGAAGCTGAAAGGAACTTTTTGCGAAAATGCAATTTTCCCATGCGTTTGTGTGCATTTTCAAGGCTTTTTTTTCGCAGGGTCTTCAATATTCAAAGTTTCGGTATTTTTTTTGCTGCAAAATCGTGCTCTCGCCACAGCGCGGGCGCGTTTTGGACTGTGAGCATCTTGGGTTTTCAAGTTCTCTTTTTGCAGCTACTGCTATTTGTCAGGGATCGCCGCGAAGACTTTTGGTTTCAACATCGTGCTCTCTCCACAGCGGGGGCGCGTTTTTCGCTGTAAGCATCTTTAGTTTTGGGAGGCCTGCTGTGGGTTTTCATGGCTGGGGATTTCAGTCTTGGAGTTATTTCTTCAGAACTTTATTGGAGAACGATCTTTAGGGCATTGTGTAGGCTTCAGGGATAGTCACAGAAGTCCTAAATCTTGAAACCCTAACCTTGTGTGAATGGGAGGCCCAAAGAAGAAGGATAACAGAGCTGGATGATCTTTTCAGGCAGCCTTTGCGAGAGCCCCCAAGTGCTGCAGCAGACTTGCAGTGCCGATATGTCGGCGCCACAATGCACAGCAGTAGTACTAGTAGCACTTTGTTGTCCTTGTTGTTACCTTGTTGTTGTCGTTGTTGTTGTCGCACAAGAACGTCATTACACCCCACCCCGCCCCCCCACCCCCCCACCCCACCCCCCCACCCCACCCCCCCCACCCCACCCCCTCACCCCCCCGCAAGAGATTTGGGACCCTACTGCCTACTTGGATTTCTGCTTTCGGGGCCTGAGCACAACAAGCGCAATTTCGAGGCCTGAGCACAACGCAGCAGTAGTACTAGTAGTACTTTGTTGTTGTTGTTGTCGCACCAGAACGTCATTACACCCCACCCCACCCCCCCACCCCACCCCCCCACCCCACCCCCCCACCCCCCCCACCCCCCCCACCCCACCCCCACCCCAGCCCAGTACAAAATGTGCTCCACCGCACGGCCCCGTGCAGGCGCCGCCTCCATAAACATGTAAAATGCTACCCAACTATGACGAAGTTATGCAAGCAGTAGCTGATCGTCTTGCGGCAAGGCGGCCGGCTTCACGTTGGCCACCGTCGGAAGCGTCACCTGCTTCATGGGACCTGCAACCACACGAGCGAAGGGTTTAGGGTTTAGGGTTTTAGGGTGGTTAGCTTTTAGGATAACCGGGCCATGTGAGTGTACATAGGATGTAGATTCTACTTTGGATTGCAGTATGGTGCTGCTATTAGCAAAAAACGGTGTCACCATGTCCTTTGGGCTTCCTAGCAAGATACAACAGCTGCTTAAAGTCTCTTCGACTGATGCAGGTCGACTACCGGGCCCTCTGAAATACAGGGCCCTCGAACCCAGGCAAGAGTTTTGCTGAGAACCCTCCCTACCCTAAGCCCTAAACCCAAACCTCTAGCGCAGTCAATTTTGAATCCTTGTCCTCCCTGTTTGCCCGTGGGAGTTTCAAGTATGATCTCCTTAGCCGAAGGATTCTTTGGGAACCTTCGGAAGCACTGAGGAGAACCCTAAACCCTGGACCCTAAACCCTTCAACCGCAAACGGCAACTTCCTAGCCCCACACTCACCGACCTCTAAATCGCTAAAGCCTAGCCCACGACCCTGTAGAGTCCTTTAAGTTTAGGGTTCGAAGTTCAGCGGTTCCTCAAAGGAACCCTATAAGGTATCATATAAAGGATCTATAAGGGTCTAGGGTTTAGGCGTTTGGGAGTTTAGGGTGTAGGGCTTTAGTATTTAGGGTTCAGGTTAGTGTAGGGTTCGATGCTTGCCCATCGCACAAGCACAAACCCTAAACCCTACTGCAGGGGCCTCAATAACTGGAATGGTTTTTTTGGTGGTCTATTCTCCTATCGTCATAACAAGGAGAGAAGTATTGGCAATTAATTATGAAAGTCCTATGCTATCATGGACCCCTACTATAGATCCCTCCAAGGAACCCTTCGAAGAACCCTTACAGGAACCCTTAGAGGAACACAGGAAGGCTCCTCTATTCAGAAGCCCCAAACCCTAAGCCTCAACCCTAAATCCTAAACCCCTTAAAGGCCCTTTTGTTAAGAAACCACAAAAGATAAGCCTCAACCCTAAACCCTTAAAGGTCACCTTTTTATGAGCCACGGCGACCGAGCGACATATTAGGACCTTTATAGTAGCCCTAGTATAAACTCTTATTGTATTTTTTACTACCTTAGCTTGCAGCAAAAGCAAACCTACTTCCTGCTAATTTACTACTCTTACCGTATGGGGGCAGTATCTAACCCCAACCCTAATTCAAACACACGGCGACCGAGCCGTAGTTTTTGCACTAACCAGAACCCCAGGAACCCGAGCCCTAAACCCTAAACCCTGAGCCCTGAGCCCTGTGAGCCGAGCCACAGTTTTTGCTGAAGCGGAAGTTGCTGACTTCTGCGGCTGGGCCATTGTTGTCCTCAGCCATGCCACAGATTTCTATGATAGGGGCCTCCATACTCTTTTTCAAGGGATCTATGGGGGCTCCTTTACAGGGGTCTTTAAGGGGCTGCTATAAGGGATCATTCTGGGTACGATATATAGGGGCCTCAACAATTAGAATAGGGTTTTGGGGCCCATTATGCTGTACATACACTAAGGAACCCCCCAACATAGTGAAGGTAATACTGAAGCCTCTATACAAGGGCTCAGGATTTTCGATTCTTGTTTCTTTAATGGCGTAGAATTTAGGTTAGGGTTTAGGGTTAAGATCGTTGGGCGTGTCACCCCCAAGCGAATCGGACCCTGCAAACTTTGAAACCAAGGATCCACCAGCACCAGACTCTGCGATTGATCGTTCGCATCGATAAAGTTGAGACTTGCATCGCCTCACTCCGGAACTTTGAGCGAAGTTAAAGTCAACGTCCAGCGCTGGGACTTGGGATTATGAGTTGGGGGTTGGGAGTGTCAGATTTGGGAAAACCTAAACCCTAAACCCCTAAACCCTTAAACCCGAAAACCCTAAACCCCTAAACCCTAAACCCTAAACCCTCCAAACCCTGTTTCAGTCTTAGAGTTATGTGGCGTTTGAGGGTTGAGGGTTTCGCCCACTCGGAATTCGGAAAATGCTTGCTTCAGGATGCTTTGAAGCTCCCCCCAAACGGTCTAGGCTGCTCCTGCTGCTATTCATGTGTGTGTGTGTATGCATATATATATATATATATATATACATATACATATACATATGTGCATATATATATATATACACACATACATATATATATATATATATATATATAGATATAGGTGACATTGGTGTTCTGCAGATTCAGAGATGTGCCTGCACATGTAGATAAAGATTCGATATAGAACTACAGACGCAAGACAACCGCGGCACGGAAGGTTCCACCGCATCCGTCCGTATTGGTGCCACCTGCGCTCGTTGGACATGCTTCGATAGATACCGTTTAAGGTGGGTTCTCTAAAGTGGGTTCACCTCCTAACGCGCCAAGGCTTCGGAAAGACTGCAGGGATCAGGGTTTAGGGCCTTTTTTGGCACCTTGCTCCAGGAATTAGGGCTTTGGGATTCCTGCAGTATGGAGAGCTTACTGACATTGGGAAGAGTTCCCGATTGAGGTCCGTGAGACAGAAGTCACGGTTTTAAGGCTCCGTGTTCAAGCGCCTGCACGCTGAATTTCGAACCCGAAACCCTACTTGATCCAGTGTCCGGCCCCTAAACCCAAAAACTTGTACCTTAAACCCGAAATGGGCAGTGGTCAAAATTAGGGTCCCTTTTTGGGTACCCTAAATAATAGGTGCCGTACTATAACAGGGACCCCCAAAAGGAACTCTAATTTTGACAACCATCCAAATCGTACTTGATCCACAGGCCTCCGTTGCTGTATTCAAGGCTGTAGCCCAGCATCTCTTCCATGAAGTAGGCCGAAAAGCTCACCTCACCCAGCTGAGTGGAGTGGGTTTCTTTTTCATCAACTCAGGTGGGCAACCCTCAACCCTAAACCCTAAACCCTGAAACCTAAACCCTTATAAACCCTGAAACCCTGAAACGTAGAACCCAAACTGGGGGCCTAAAACCGAAACCCTCCCCGTGTCGGCCAAGCTGGCTTGCTTAATCCCACAAGGCCCCATACAGCAACATCATAACCCTCCCCTCCCTTTCATGCCCCCCACGACCGTGAAAACATCTGAAGACCAGCCACTGTTCGATCTTCATTTTTGGCGCTGCTGCCACAGTCCCTGCAAAGGGTGTTGGGGCTTGGGGGTCAAGCCTTAAAGCTTAGGGTTTAGGGCTTAGGGCTTAAGATTCCGGTTTTAGCGTGTGCTTGCTTCATTGCATTCGGACTTCGGGGTTTAGAGGCTTTGCTGGGTTCTTGTTAAGGAATTTGGCTTAGGTTGCCATAACAAGGATCTCCAAGGGCTCCTTTTAGGATTTAGGGCTGAAGGTTCACGTTACCACAGTAGGGATCTAATTATAGTAAACAGCTTGGCTTCTTTATTATGGCTATTTAATTTACATCCTTTTCACAAGAGTTCAGGTGTCTGTGGTTATAGCTATTTAATTTAAATACTTTTCACAAGAGTTCAGTTTGGGGCCTCACCCTGTACCTTGGGTGGTCTTGGGCGCTTGGGGCTTAGCCAGTGACGATTCGAACCCTGGGGCCCTGCAGCGTAGCTGAATCATTTAAACTCACTATAGTCTAGACCCAAGAGTAACCTAGGAAGAAAAAGGGTGCCCTTTTTGGTTTAAAGGGGGTTATAAGGGAACCTAAACCCTTAAAAAGGGAATAAGGGCCTACTCTGGGTCCTAGTAGTAGAGCACCTCAGCCCGAACCCTAGATTTTAAACCCTAAGACCCAGTAGGTTAGTATCTTGAGAAGGGTATCTGGACCTAAGAGTAACCTAGGAACAAAAAAGGTGCCCTTTGAGGCTTAAAGGGGTGTTATAAAAGGGAAGAAGGGCCTACTCTGGGTCCTAGGCAAAGAGCAACTAGACCAGGGTGTACGGCTTCAGGATTACATTTTGGGTGTCAAAACAACAGCAGCTAAGCTGGGGTTTACGGTCAAGGGGAAAAGCAACTGAACTACCAGTGGTATTCAACTAGGGGTGGAGAGGGCTTCAGGACTTATTAGGCTTTCTGGTACAGTTTTGATATGCCATGCCCTTAAAGAAAATACTAGGCCTACTAGGCATGCCCCTATGCCCGAAAACAAGCATTCCTAAGAAGCCGAACCCCTAAACCCCAAACACTAAACTCCTAAACAAAAACCTAGAGGGCCTTTCTTTCTCGAACCCTCCTAGGAACCCTCAAAGGAACCCTGAAAAACAAACCGCCTGTAGAAGAAGGTCACGCTGCAAGACTCCTTGACCGGAGCCTTCTTCATCGGACCTGGGGCTTCGGAGGGCCCTCAGGGTTTGGGGGCTTTCCAGGTTGAGGGCTTCGGTGTTTAGGGTTCAGGGGCTCAGGGTTTTGGGCTTCGGGGTTTCGGGTTTGGGGGTTCAAGGTTTAGGGCTTCTAGGGTTTGGGGGCTTTCCAGGTTGAGGGCTTCGGTGTTTAGGGTTCAGGGGCTCAGGGTTTTGGGCTTCGGGGTTTCGGGTTTGGGAGGTTTCAAGGTTTAGGGCTTCTAGGGTTTGGGGGCTTTCCAGGTTGAGGGCTTCGGTGTTTAGGGTTCAGGGGCTCAGGGTTTTGGGCTTCGGGGTTTCGGGTTTGGGGGTTCAAGGTTCGGGGCTTCGGATTCTAAAGTTTGGGGGGTTCAAGGATTAAGGCTTCGGGGTTTCGGGTTTGGGGGGTTCTAGGTTTAGGGCTTCTGCGCTTAGGGTTTAGGGGTTCAGTGTTTAGTGCCTTCGGGCCTTCGGGGTTTAGGGCTTGGGGTAATGGTTTATGGACGTCGGGCTTGGGTGTGGGGCTGACCGGAATTGTGTGTACTCCTCTTGGGATGTGCTGCCACGTCACGAACGCTGTGATGCTGCCGATGATGCTCATGATGAATAACCACATGATGATGACGACAACTACGATGATGATGAAGATGATGGTAAAGTATAGTAAAGGTGATAGTGATAACGACTCTGATTCAGACTCTGATCCTACAGGTTGCTTCTGAGCTGTCTGGGGCTCCACGCAGTTATTGCTGAAGCGCACATTGGTGACTTCCGCGGCTGCCAACTCGTTGTCCTGATCCCAGAAACAGAGGAGGGCATAGGGCTAGAGGTAGGGTTGGGCTGATACTTATGCTTGCCCGAAGCTACGAAGAAGTCCCACTTATGCACGGGGAGTCGGGCGGACATACGGGATTCAAGCAGCTGAACTGGGTGTCTTGCTGGCTGTAGTAACTCTTGCTGCTGGGTTTAGGATTTAGGATACAGGGTTTACCATAAGTGGCCTAAATAATTCCCTATTCTATATGGGGGTTTGTTGAAGCCTAGGCTGGCCAATCTTCTTGCAAAGCCGTGATGGCTCTCGCGGAGCTGAGCTCCGCCATGATCGGCAGAAGCCAGCAGACATGTGTCGATAGAGCTTACGCAAGTAGGCTTAGGCCTAGTCCAGAGGACAGTGCGCTTTCGACAGTCGTTTGTTTCGGCGTGAAAAGAGTTAGCGTGAGCCCAAGGTTATCCACCCTCGCCTCGGAAGCCCGAAGCTGGAAGCGAGACGAGAAGATCGACATGGCAGCTAACGATCCGCTGAATCCCAGTTCGCATGATGAAACAGACTATCAACAGGGTTGCTTATTATGCAGTTATAGTATAGTGGGACGCAAAACCCTATTCTACTTATTCAATCCCCCATATTATAGAGCCCTTGTAGCATCCCTTACAGTAACCCTTTAAAAGGATCCCTAGGGTACGGGGTTTAGGGAGCTTCTCACTTTCTGCCCAGCGTCCACCAGCGTCACGACCTTGTTGTCGCCGTTCGCATCCATGAACTGAAGATCGGCATCACCTGGGGCACGAGCCAAACTCTAACCTTTGGTTGCTAGGGAATGGAAGGGGTCTTATAAAGGGGTCGTCTATAAGGGTTACTATAAGGGATCTATAAGGGTACTATAATATAGGGGCCTTAATAATCCTATAGCTTACCTTTGGTTAGTAGGGAATGGAGGAATGGTAGTAATAGTAGTTATAATTGTACCCCGTTCCTCCATTCCCTACTAACCAACGGTAAGTTTTAGTACAACACCTGCCCGGAGACTCCAATATCCCTTAATTACGGAATATACCTTAAATCCTAGTAGGATCCTTAATAAGATTTAAGGAATTACCTGGGTACTTTTCTTACCGTCGGTTAGTAGGGAATGGAAGAATGGTAGTAATAGTAGTTATAATTGTACCCCATTCCTCCATTCCCTACTAACCAACGGTAAGTTTTCGTATAATTGATATTCGCAACACGGTTTTTATCATTGCTATTTTTAGTATAGCTCATATTGGCAACATTGTTATTCTTGTTAATGAACGGTAGAGTGATGGCTTCCTGCGGACGGCGCAGGCTTCGAACGTTTGACACCCACACAGACACCTCGCAGATACTACAGAACCAGAGACGGAAACTCAGTGATGCCAGTCTCAACCCCGTACCAGATCCCACGCCACAAAACCCTAAACTAAACCTAAACCCTCAGACCCTGGACCCCTAAACCCTAAATCGCCAAGCCCTAAACTTCACCCTGCAGACCGAATTGCGGAAGCTTCCATGACATCCGAGAGAGTTGTCGCCCCCTTCTGCACCATACCTGGGCCCAGCTTTTCTGCTTTACGATGTTACAGGTATGGGGCTTTAGGGGCACGGGAAGGATGGGGTTCTCTACAACCCCACGCTAATCACAGGGGTTTTGTCAAAGATCTTCGGTCTTGCGCAAACAGCCACAAGTTCGAGGCCCGGAACCTTGCTGGACTGCAAAAACCTAAGATCCTTTACTAAATGCTGCTTCCAACAAAGTAACATCATCACCGTCATCAACCCTCATACTCATACTCATCCTAACTATAACACATTCATAACCATCATCAACATCAACAACCTCAACATGGTCACAGGGATACTAAACTATGCAGACATCAATTCCAAACGGTGAAAAGACAAATGTGTGCTTCCATATCTATATCCATATACACCCGTATGCATGTGTATATATATATATAGATATATGTATTTATATTTATACAGACACATAAGTATTTATATTTATACAGACACATATGTACATAGATGTACACATGGGACGCTTTTGCCAGCAAGCATGCATGCATAGATGCACAGATGCATAAATATGTAGATGCGTAGATGCGTAGATGCATACATACATATGTACATACATACATGCATGCATACCTACATACATACATACATACATACATACATACATACATACATGCACGCATACCTACAAACCTTCCTACATAGAACTACAACATATATATATATATACATGCATGCATATGCAGAGTTACTGGATATCACTATCAAGCTGCTCGATCGCATGTAGGTCAAAAGGATAGCCCTCGAAGGCTGCACTGAAACCAATGGTGATGTCTCGATCGTCCTGGCCGTCCTCCGGCATCAAAGCCTTTACAGTTTAGGGCCTAGGTTTAGGGTTTAGGGCATTTTGAAAAGATTTATGGTAGTCCTCCGGAATCAAAGCCTTTACAGTTTAGGGTTCAGGGCATTTTGAGAAGATTTATGGTATGGGGTTTACGGCTTCTTTAAAGCATCTCGGGCTTTGGGGTTAGGGTTTAGGGCTTCTTTAAAGGATTAAGGGCTTTGGGGTTGGGGTTTAGAGGCCTAGAGTACCACAAACCGTACAGCCCAAATACAATCTTTTGGAAGCCGGCGCAAACTCATGAAGGCTTCTGCAGCTCGCTGAGGGCTACGGGTTTGTCAGAGGGGCTTAGATGCGCAAAAATCATACAAAATGTTCCTTAACACCCTAAACCCTAAAGCCTTAACCCTTAACACCCTAAACCCTTAACCCTTAACACCCTAAGCCCTAAACCCGTAGCAACAACCACGTCATCCTCCTGCCCTGGCTTTCTTCCTTCGCCGAGTTTGGGGCCACAGCAACTAGGATACCCAGTAAGCTAAGAATAAAAAGGCCTCTCTTTTTGGTATTGGGTAACTTTATCTACAAAAAGAGAATAAGGGTACTACTGGGGATCCTAGGTAACTAGAACAGGATGATCTTGCGGATATATGGCAGTTTCCGAAATTAGGGGACCCTAATATAGTAGGCCTAAATAGTAGGATCCGTATTATAAGCACCCCAAAGTCGATATACTGTTGAAGGACAAAATCCTGCATTACCCATTATAAGGAATATACCATAATTCCCATAGTTTAGGGTCTTTAAGGTACTGCAGGATTTTGACCATCAGCCGTCTTATACCATAAAACTGTAAAAGGAACCCCCTAAACCCTAAACCCTAAACCGAACTCTAAGGCCATCGGAGGCGGTCCTTGCAGTTCTTGTAGGTGAAGGTTGCCTCGGTAGGGGGGAGCCCAACTCCACAAAGATTCCTTTTTGGAGTTTAGGGTTGAGGGTTTAGGGTTTAGGGTTTAGGAGCCCAAATCCACAGAGATCCCTTTTTGGAGTTTAGGCTTTGGGTTTTTGTTGTTTTAAGGGCTCCTTTTCGATCTGCAGAGAGGGTTTGGGTTTTTTTAAGTGCAATGGCTCTTTACCCGAAACGAGGTCTGGGCTTTAGGGTTCAGGGTTGGGGGTTTAGGGCTTAGGGCGTAGTAGCTAGAGCTTAGGGTTTAAGGTTTAGGTTCTCGGGTTTAGAGTGATCCCTTTGCCGGCAACTGAATCAACCCTAAACCCTGAAACTCGCAAGCACTTGAACCGTAAGTGCTTAGACCCTGAACCTAAACCCTGCTCCCTTAACCCTGGACCCTAAGCCGTGCTGCCTTGACAAGAACCCAAAACATGCCGAAGCTCACCTGCCTGTTCTCTATGGTTCTCAGTATACTGTATACCCCTCGGTTCAACCCTGAACCCTAAAAACCCAACCCTTTCCGTCATTGAGGCGTTTCGGAGCTTACGAGATGCATGCGCGGTGCGGTGCACTCCTCCTTCCTCATTCCCTGCGCGGGCATTGTAAGGTATGTGCTTTTTTTCGTTCATAAGCCCTTCGGTTAATCGGGGTTAGAGCTCTGGTTCTATTCCCAAACCACTATGGGCTATTAGACCCTAAAGATCCCTATTAGGACCCTATTAAGGGTAGATTAAGGTACCCATAAGGTCTAATAGCCCATAGTGGAAGTTGGCGGAGAGACATTCCGGGATTTCTGGCTTAGAGGGCTTGGGCTTCGGAGTTCGGGGCTTGAGATTTCAAGGCTCGGAGCTTGGGCGTGGGGTCTGTCATTAGGGTTTAGGGTTTAGGGTTCAGGGTTTAGGGTTTAGGGTTTAAGGTTCAGGGTTTAGGGTTTAGGGTTTAGGGTTTAGGGTTTAGGGTTTAGGGTTCAGGGTTTAGGGTTTAGGGTTTAGGGTTTAGGGTTCAGCAGCTCTGACTTTGAACATTTCATGTCAGGCTATTTCTAGTCAAGCTATCTTCTAGAAGAAACCCCACCCGCCCACAGAATCCCATTACATTAGATTTAAGAGTTTTATTTCTTTTGGCTTGAATCTTTAAAAGATCACTTACATACAACTATTACAGATCGTAACTTTCCACTCCTTCGATCAAGCAAGTGCTGTTTCTTTACAGTCGTTCTTGCAACACGCTTCACTTTAAGAGTTAATGCTGCCGACCAGCTTTCTAAGAGAGCTAGTTAAGAAACGCAACATCGCCCTAACCCGCCGAAGCTGCGGTCACGCCATCGCTTTACGATAGCAACCATAGCTGTCAAGTGTCATGACTTGAATCTCCTCAACTAGCAACCACAGCTATCCAGCTTTCTAAGAGAGCTAGTTAAGAAACACAAGAAGGCACAGCAAGAGTACCCTCGCCGGTTGGGCGTTTGAGGTCGATGCGAATCTTTCGGCCTCGGAGTGCGCATGGAGGCACTGAGACTGGGGCCTTGTATCGGCCACGTCAGTTTTTTTTTCCACCCGCGCCGCTCGGGCGGCTCCCGCCCTTAACCAGCTCCGCCTTTTAGGGTTTAGTTTTCTAAACTCTTTTTTTTCTTTTGGTCGTTACACGCCGCGATTCTGCAGCAATATATTCGGCCGTCGAACAAGCAGGTTCTGCAGCAGTGCCCGCCTCTCAGTCTGAACATTTCGAGATTCTGTCTGTGCACCAAGGAATGGAGTTCCAGCGAAGGTTTGAGTAAATTGATAAGCTCCCGCGAGGATTACGCGACTCCGAGTATGGAGTCTACTGCCAGGGTTTAAGTAAATTAAGGTTTTGCGCAGTGCTCTCTGAAGTAGACTAGCAACATCATAGGTAGATGTGGCTTTGCAGAGACGCTAAACCCTAAATTTCCTATGGTGTCAACACATCCGTCTCAGATAACTGTCCTGGGATTTTTGTTATGGGAAGACTATGGGTCATCCGTCTCAGATAACTGTCCTAGGATTTTTGTCTTGGGAAGACTATGGGTCATCTGTCTCAGATAACTGTCCTGGGATTTTTGTTTTGGAAAGACTATGGGTCATCCGTCTCAGATAACTGTCCTGGATTTTTGTTTTTGGAAGACTATGGGTCATTCGTCTCAGATAACTGTCCTGGGATTTTTGTCTTGGGAAGACTATGGGTCATCCGTCTCAGATAACTGTCCTGGGATTTTTGTTTTGGGAAGACTATGGGTCATCCGTCTCAGATAACTGTCCTGGGATTTTTGTTTTTGGAAGACTATGGGTCATCCGTCTCAGATAACTGTCCTGGGATTTTTGACTTGGGAAGACTATGGGTCATCCGTCTCAGATAACTGTCCTGGGATTTTTGTTTTGGGGAAGACTATGGGTCATCCGTCTCAAATAACTGTCCTGGATTTTTGTTTTGGGAAGACTATGGGTCATCCGTCTCAGATAACTGTCCTAGGATTTTTGTCTTGGGAAGACTATGGGTCATCCGTCTCAGATAACTGTCCTCGGATTTTTAACTTGGGAAGACTATGGGTCATCCGTCTCAGATAACTGTCCTGGGATTTTTGTTTTGGGAAGACTATGGGTCATTCGTCTCAGATAACTGTCCTGGGATTTTTGGCTTTGCTTGCATGCATGTCTTGCCCTGCTTGTGCTTCAGTGCATGTCTTGGCCAGCTTGCACGCAGCTTGTCTCGCAACCTGTTCGCAGCTGTGCATCCTCCAGCCTATCCCCACCCCACCCTTGTACAACTTTCTCATGCTACAGGTATTGACAATCCCCACCCCACCCTTGTACAACTTGATCATGCAACACGCAATGAATCACGCCACCGTCGACCAACGTTCCAGCCTCAACCTTAGGCTACCCTAGGCCCTAACCCCTAATGCCCACATCGGCCCAAGCCCAAACCCTAGGCCTAGGCCCTAAACCCTAGTGCCCAAACCCTAGTGCCCAAACCCTAGGCCCTAAACCCTAGTGCCCAAAGTCTACGCCCTAAACCCGAGAGCCCAAACCCTAGGCCCTAAACCCTAGTGCCCAAACCCTAGGCCCTAAACCCTAGTGCCCAAACCCTAGCCCTAAACCCTAGGGCCCAAACCCTAGGCCCTAAACCCTAGTGCGAAACCCTAGGCCTTAAACCCTAGTGCCCAAACCCCAGGCCCTAAACCCTAGTGCCCAAACCCTAGCCCTAAACCCTAGAGCCCCCCTAAACCCTAAACCCTAAACCCTAAACCCAGTGGCCAAACCCTAGGCCCTAAACCCTAGTGCCCAAACCCCTAGTGCCCAAACCCTGGCCCTAGTGCCCAAACCCTAGCCCTAAACCCTAGGCCCTAGGCCCTAAACCCTAGTGCCAAACCCTAGGCCCTAGACCCTCGTGCCCAAACCCTAGGCCCTAAACCCTAGTGCCCAAACCCTAGCCCTAAACCCTAGGGCCCAAACCCTAGGCCCTAAACCCTAGTGCCCAAACCCTAGGCCCTAAACCCTAGGGCCCAAACCCTAGGCCCTAAACCCTAGGGGGATGACCAAGAGCCACGAGTTATGACCAAGAGCCACGAGTTATGACCAAGAGCCACGAGTTATGACCAAGAGCCACGAGTTATGACCAAGAGCCACGAGTTATGACCAAGAGCCACGAGTTATGACCAAGAGCCACGAGTTATGACCAAGAGCCACGAGTTATGACCAAGAGCCACGAGTTATGACCAAGAGCCACGAGTTATGACCAAGAGCCACGAGTTATGACCAAGAGCCACGAGTTATGACCAAGAGCCACGAGTTATGACCAAGAGCCACGAGTTATGACCAAGAGCCACGAGTTATGACTATAGGTAGAGAGGTTTAGGGTTTAGGGTTTAGGGTTTAGGGTTTAGGGTTTAGGGTTTAGGGTTTAGGGTTCAGGGTTTAGGGTTTAGGGTTTAGGGTTTAGGGTTTAGGGTTTAGGGTTTAGGGTTTAGGGTTTAGGGTCGAGTATGAGTAGCCATGAGGATCCAAGATATGGACAAAGCTTGAACCTCCTGAAACTCCTACCCCCCGAAACCCCTAAACCCTTGAAATCTTAAACCCTCAAACCCTAAAGCCCTAAAATCCTCAGAACCCTAAACCCTAAACCCCCCAAACCCTAAAGCCCAATCAACCCCCCCCCCTCCCCAACCAGCCCTTCAGTTCCAGACCCTAGCCTGAAAACCTGCATGGCGGGACAACTCCCTACCATGTTTAGGATCTAGGGTTTAGGGCTTAGGGCTTAAGTCATATGCCCCAGAGCGCCATTCAAAATGTCAAGGCCCTTATCTGAGATCCCCGGTCAAACCCTACTTACAAACGGAAAGAAGCATAGCTGGTCTCGCTCTTCTTCTCTGGCGGACCCTCTGAAACACAAAAATGCAGTCCCCCAGTCTCCCTAAGCCCTAAACCTAAACCCTGAACCCGAACAAACCCAAACAGCCCTGAACCCCTGATGCTATACAACCCTTAGACTCCTTCATGTTCTATTAAATGTTCCTCCCACAGGCCTTCTTCTTCTCTGGTGGGAGAATCTTCTTGTACGCCGAGATCTGGCCCGTGCAGTTACTGGCCTTCTGGTACTCCATCGAACCTCGGAACCCTAAACCCTAAACCCTAAACCTTAACCACTTCAAGGGTGCAGGGCCTAGTGTGCCACATGCACGCCTCGAATTTTGGGGTTTCGGGTTTAGTAAGGGTCTGGACATCACTGTGGGGGCACCTTATGGTGGCTAAGGGGTTGGTGCCCTTCCCCTCTTATGCTCAAAAGCATCGAGAGTATAGGCTGTAGGGTTCAGGGTTTCCTAGTCCATGGTTGGGATAGTACTAAAAAATTTCAACCCATAAGAGTGTAAGCGGCCCCAAACCCTTAACCCTAAACCCTACACAATCTATGACAAAGCTGACGGTGGAAAGGAGCAGTCGTTATCCGTGAAGGCGAGGCAGCTGTCGCACGGGCTGTCTTCCTGGGTCATGGCATTCGCGGTTCCTATAGGTTGGGGGTCGCGGGGTTTAGGGTTTAGGGGTCTAGGGGTTTAGGGTTTAAGGGTTTAGGGGTTTAGGGGTTCGGAGTCAGTTAGGAGTGTGTCGGGATTACAGGTTCCTATAGGGGGGTTCCATCAAGGGGTTCCTTCAAGGGATGCCTTTAAGGGGTTCCTTGAAGGGTTTCCAACAAGTCTTCTCCCATAGGCATTCCCATTAGGCTCCTTTAAGGGCTCCTTTCAGGGATTAAGATTCAGGGCTTAGAAGTGTTTCTAAAGGCGTTTATCAGCGCTGTATGAGGACTGTATAACCCTAAACCACCCTGAACCGAGTTTAGGGTTTAGGGTTAATATGGGAGTTTCCGAAATTGAGGGGTACCTTATTCTGGGGTCCTTATAATAAGGATCCTACTATTTAGGGTACTATATTAGGGTCCCTTATTTTCGGAAACTCCCATATATGCACTGCAACCGGATGTTCGAGCTACAAGAGGGCCCCCAGGTCTTGTCCCATCTGGGTGGCGGTCGAATTTTTTGTCCCCTTTTGGGGTCCCTAAAAGGGGTCCCTACCTATAGTCTCCATTGTAGTTCTTTTTTTGGTTTAACCAATTTTATATAAAGGATCCCAAGAGGTAACCCCAAAAAGGAACTACAATGGAGACTATAGGTACTATCACACGGCACCTCATATTTTGGGTGCCCAAACAGGTACTTGTTCTTTTGGGACTTCTTCTTTTGACAACTACCCATCTGCAGCCCTGGGGCAAAGGTCACGAAGGCCTTGCAGTCCTCGTTCCTCAGCTGCATTCCAAGCGCAAAAGGAGGGACCCTTAATGGGGACCCCTACCCTATAATGAACCATATAATGGGTATATAATAGCTATATTAAGGTTCTAGGAGGGACCGACCCTTGATGGACCATAATTAAAACAACACGAAACCCCCGAACACCACGCACTCCCCTATCAAGACGATCCTCTTGCCGAGTTTCTGAGTGCACCACTACGAAACAATGCTAAAGCAGAACTCCACGCAAACCCTCAACCCTCAACCCCTACTTATGAAACCCTCATTCTGCCGAGTTTCTGAGTGCACCACTCCTGGCACTGCTCCGGGGAGTCCGCGCTGCGATAGGCTTCCTCGCCGCAGGAGACGCCTCGGCTAGGGTACGCAGTCTTTTTTCTTCTGTGTGTTTGGAGTTTGAAGTTTTTCGTTTTGAACGCCTTTTTGCAACTGCAAGAAGGGAATCCCGATTGGGAAAGGGTTTAGGGGTGAAAACTTCGGGTTGAGGATGTTATGAAGGTTGTTCTGGTGGTTTCATGTTTAGGGTTTGGGGTTTAGGGTTTAGGGTTTAGGGTTTAGGGTTTAAGGTTTGAGAAAGGTTTTGAGCTTTGCAAGGATGTGTAGAAGTGCTCAGGGTTGTCCTAGCTTTGCGATCAGGGTTTCGGATTTTTTCATGTTCGTGAAGAGCGTGTGGGGCTACGAAACCTTCCACACATGGGTGGTTCTCAACATTATGGTCCTTTTTTGGGTAGCCTAAATATTAGGTGCCGTCTTATAATAAGGACCCAAAGCGGGACCCTAATATTGACAACTACCCACATAATGTTCGGCCTCGGATTCAGGGTTCTAGCTTTACGGTCTAGTTTAGGGCTGAAGGTGTCGAACACCGGGCTGATGCATCTTCAACTAGCCCTTTCGTGGCTAGGAATATCTTAAAGTCTGAAGTTCCGCATAGAGAGCGAGCGAGCAAGAGAGAGAGAGAGAGAGACAGAGAGACAGAGAGACAGAGAGACAGAGAGACAGAGAGACCCAGAGCCCCAAAAGACCCCAAAAGACCCCACAAAAGACCCCGAAAGACCCCAAAAGACCCCCGAAAGACCCCACAAAAGACCCCGAAAGATCCCAAAAGACCCCAAAAGACTCTTACCGTCTCCGACTCAAAGGTGCCTGCACCCACCTTGCTGTACGTCACCTGGGCCACTTCGTCCTCCCCGGCTGCTTTCGACTCCTGGCTTCGGGGGAGCCGGAGCTCAGTGCCCTTTTTCATTGTTTACAGTAGAAGCCAGAAAGTTGGAATATCATTATAATACTCCCTTTAAGGTCAATTATAGGGGATCCTGCCATTATGCCAGATTCCAACTTTCTGGAGTTCCTTTTAAAAGGGTTCCCAGAGACTCTAATGTCCCTTGATTAAGGAATACACCTTAGATCATATTAGGGATCCTGCTATAATTTGAGGTATCTTCCTTAATCAAGGGATATTGGAGTCTCTGGGTTTAGGGTTTAGGTCCCTGGGGTTGAGAGGGTCTTGGGGTTTTAGGGCTTAGTTTAGGGTTTAGGGTTTGGGGCGTTAAGGCTCTAGGGCTTTAGGGTTTTGGGTCTTAGGGCTTCAAGGTCTTAGGGGGTCTTAGGGCTTTAGGTTTTTCAAGGGTCTTAGGGTTTTATAGGGCTTTAGGGCTCTAGCGTTTAGAAATAGAGGCTTCGGAGCTTGCTGCCACCCTTTCTCCCAGCATCCGGTCCGCCCCTTTGGGGTTTCTCAGAGACTCCAAAACCAAAACCCTTGACCAACTTAGGGGTTTAGGGTTATGCTTTGAACACCTTTCTTCCTCCTAGCAGCTAAGGTTTAGGGTTTAGGGCCCGAGATGTAGTAGGAATCCTTCTGACATTGCAACAGACATGTACTCCTCATAAAATTTCGGGGGGCTTGGGAGTCTTCAGCTTCCCTCGCAGCGCAGTGTCCCAAAGCCACCTCCTCGAAGCAGGCATCGTTGCAGTGTCCCCACTTCCCGCTGATATAGTGACCTCGTCTTGTTGGGAGGGCAACAAGTTCCTTAAATAAAAAGCCCAAAGACCTCACCCTAAAGCCAAGTATAGGGCTTGGATACTGCCCCCATACACTAACAGTCTATAATAGGGCTACTATTAAGGGCCTAATGTATCTATAATAAAGATCTTATCCAACTGTTACTGAGTGGGGGCAGTATCCAATATAGGGCCCTCAATAATTAGAATGGGGTTTGGGGGCCCATTCTACCGTAACTATAATATGGAACCCTCACAGTTCGAAAGCCTAATATAGGGCCCTTAAGAAGGTGGGGCCCTCGGCTCCTCTGAAGGGATCTATAAGGACTATACTATAAGGGGTATTATGGAGGATTAGTATAGAGCCCTTGATGATTCGAATGGTGTTTCGGAGCCCATTTATACCATAATTAATGATAATAAGGAACCCTCAAAATAGTATAGGTAACTGTTAAAACGCCTATATTGAACGCGTAACCCTCAAGCCTAAACCCAAAAAGCAAGGCCCAGACCGTTTGCATCCGTCTCTGTGGCACACCACTTTGCCGAAGCCTCACAAGACACTCTGTGAGAGTCTGGCACCAGACCTAATATAGGGAGATTAACTCGAAAACCTAAACCGCGAAACCCTAAACAAACTACTCGTTGTTTAGGGTTTAGGGTTTAGGGTTTAGGGGGCTTTTGGGGTAGGGATTGGGGGGCCTATGACGCGGAGTTTTTACCGCCACGCTCTCTCTTGCCAGGTCGCTGGGTACAGGAAGCATGCCCCAGACCCTAAACCCTAAACCCTGGACCCTGAAGCCTAAACTCCAACCCCTAAACCCTAAACGCTAACCCCAAAGCCAACTACATCCGGCCTTGACCATCGTGCACTCCGTGTACTGCACACCATCCTCGGCCGGCACTGGTTTAGGGTAGAAGGTCCAGCCATTTTACGGACCTTAGGGCCTTACTTGGGCTTAGGGTCTAGAGTTCAGGGTTTAGGGGTCAGGGTAGGGTTTAGGGTAGAAGGTTCAGCATCTAGTAAGGTTGTGAGGAGCTTGAAGTTGATTGTGTGGGGTTTGTAGCGGTTTAAAGGGCTTTGCTAACAAGTGTCGAATGCACTACTTAGAGGCCCAGGGGACTTAGTAAGTAGGTTAGAAGTAGGGTTATAAGTACCCTAAATGGAGTTACCCCAATTATAACCCTACTTATAACCTACTTGCTAAGTCCCCTGGGCCTCCAAGTAGGGGTAGCGCTTTGAGGTCCAGGGCGCAGGGTGTCAGGCTTCGGGCTTTTGGGCTTATCACGCCTGGCATTTCGGCATTCGTGCTACAGTAGAAGCCAGAAAGTTGGAATATCATTATCGTAACCCCTTTAAGGTAAATTATAGGGGATCCTACCATTAATCCATATTCCAACTTTCTGGAGTTCCCTGTAAATGGAAAAAGCCATCAACTTCTAAACCCAAAAGCCCAAACCCCAGCACTCTACAACCCCTAAAACAATCCAGGCTCATCCCTTGGACGAGCAAGACCGAAACGAACAAAGAAGCGGAAAACGAAATGAGAACCCCCAAAAAAACGGAATGACACACAAAAAGGCAATAAAACCCACCCAAAAAAAATCGAACACGGAATGAACTACAAAATGAAAACAGGACAGGGCACGTAGCGGAAGGGAAAGACGCAGGCCCTGCCAGGCCCCTTCGTGTCATACCCGAGGCCTTTGGTTCCACAGCCGTCCTGGAAAATTGCGAGCGAGTCCCTACTGTCGATGGTATAAATCCTGCATTACCTTAAGGACCCTACACTACGGGAATTATGGTATATTCCTTATTATGGGCAATGCAGGATTTATATCATCGACCGTAGGTTCCTTTGAAGGGATCTATAAGGATTACTATAAGGGGTATGATGGCGGCTTAGCATAGGGGCCTTAATAATTTGACTAGGGTTTTGGTGTATATTCTACTATAACTGTATTAAGCAGCCCCAAAAATAGTATTGGTAATTTCTTAGGGCCCTGTAGTAATCCCTATCTGTAGCCAAAAAAACCTAGCTTTTTGGGGTTCCTTACTATGGTTTGCATCTATACATAAAAAAATATGTGTGTGTATATATATATATATATACATATATATATATATATACATATATATAGATCCTGAATAAGGTAGGCCTTTTTGGGCCGCAGGTAAACCCTGAGGACTTTGGGTTTCGGGCTTCTCGAGGCTTCTATGATAGGGTTTCATGGGCGTACAAGGGTACTACTTAAGGGCTTAGTCTAGGGTTTAGGGTTTAGGGCTTAGGGTTTAGGGTTTGGGGTTTGGGGTTTAGGGTTTAGGGTTTAGGGTTTGGGGTTTAGGTCTGAAACAGTCGAGACAGCTTTGTAAAGTAGCAGCAAAAGCCTTGACAGCTCGTGACGGCCTTGATGCTGCAGTCCGACATGAGCTGCACCACGCCCAGGAAGGTTACGTTCCTCTCTTCCCTGGCCAGGGTCCGCTCATGAACCCCCCCCGCAATAAGAGCACGGAACATCCTGACAAACCTCGTTAAAACTGAAAACTCAAGAAAGCATTGAGACGATTTTTACAAACCTTAGATCCTATTTCTAAAGTATTCCCAACAAACGAACCCAGGGCCTTGCACGACCATTGTAGAGACGAAGCTCGTAGCGCCCGGGCGGGAAGAAGTCGAAGCTGACCTGACATTCCGGGCTTTGCTCCTTTCAGGGTTCCCAAAAGGGATCCCATACGAGTCCCGAAAAGGGCTCCCATAAGAGTTCCTACATAAGGCCTCTCTCTGAGGGATTTTGGGTTTTGGTGTTTGGGGTCCAGGATTTCGGGTTCAGGCTCATGGTTCAGGGTTGAGAGGCTTTGTTGTGTAGGACCCGTTTTCAGGGTGGCATAAGGGAGAGTTGGGCATTCAAGCTGCTCCAAGGGGGAGGGAGGCCCACAACCCTCAGTGCCTACCCAACTACGCATGCACAGGGCATGGGCGGACACGTTTTGGCTGCAAACTGCTGACACCGTTGCAGGGGAAGGAGGGCACCCTCCTTCCCAAATGTCTGAAATCACCGGGCCGATGGGCCGAAAGCAAAGCTGAAGCCGCCGCGGCCCACTTCCCCCATCTGGGGCGGGCGGGCGGCGGGAGTCTCGAAATTGAGATGTCAATAAGTATCAATCTGACCTGACACAAGCGAGGGCCTGAAGCAACAAAAGGCAAGAAGCAGGGTGCATGCTACGTGGACTAGGGTTGAGGGTTTGCTGTATGCGCTGGCCATTGTCCCAACCTACCCCAGCGCAGACAGACCAAGTGAACGTTCGTGAATACCACAACCACGACTTCTACGATCGCTCGACCTCCGACTACTGCTACTATGTACGGTCGTGCTGCCCGTGCTGCTGCAAAAACGTTTGGAACCTTTACCGAAACCATATTGGTATGAGCACTTATGCAATGTGAACAAAGTTGCTTTTTCACTGCTATGGTTATAAGTGTTGACATGATAGTGGATTCAACTGTTCGTGCTGACACAAGTACAAGCGGCGGCTGCCAACATGACTACAAGTCTGTAAAAGCTGGATATGCCCTAAACCCTAAACCCTAAACCTTACACCCTAAACCCTAAACCCTAAACCTTACACCCTAAACCCTAAACCCTAAACCTTAAACCCTAAACCCTAAACCCTAAACTCTATACCCTATGATCTTGTTGTTAGCATACTCGTCCTTACTGCGCTCAGTCTCAGGGCTTTCTGCCATGACCATGACGACCGCAAAAAAAAACTACTACTACTACTACTACTACTACTACTACTACTACTACTACTACTACTACTACTACTACTACTACTACTACTACTACTACTACTACTACTACTACTACTACTACTACTACTACTACTACTACTACTACTACTACTACTACTAACTACTACTACTACTACTACTACTACTACTACTACTACTACTACTACTACTACTACTACTACTACTACTGCTACTGCTACTGCTACTGCTACTACTACTACTACTACTACTACTACTACTACTACTACTACTACTACTACTACTACTACTACTACTACTATTGCTACACCTATATAGCCCCTAAAACCCTCAACATCCCAAGAACCGAAAGACCCAAAACCTGAAACATCCCCTCAGCATCCTAAACAATGAAGTTGAAGCTAGCAAGTCGTAACATCGTTGACGTCATACAGTACCCTTATTGCAAAATGTTGGGAATCCCAGTGCTAATCATCCTAAACCCATGTTCCAGCTTTCTGTAGTTCACTGAAAACCCTTAGAACCCTTTTATGGTCACGCCTCTTCCGAGATGTCCTCGTCGGCATCCTTGCACTGCCTCTGTAAGCTTCGTGTAGGACATTCTATAGAGGTTTAACGACTAGGGTGTAGGGTTTCAGATTTAGAGACTTATAAGTACAAAGGCTACAGGATTTCTGTGAATAGTGCTCCTTTGAAGGTCTAATAACGGATTAGGAAGACTATTTGGAGCTGGAGGTGTTTTGAAGTAAACACAGGGGCAAAACCTTCAGAAGGGGAAAAAGCCTCCTCAGTTTTCCATAGCACTTAAGATTCTAACAAGGGACGCGTCCACCTTACCAATCCAAGCGCAAGAACTAATCCTGCTCATAGCAACGATGGTGAAAATGCCAGTAGCTGCAGGGAGAGCTGACCTACCGTAGCACCTGAAGCCAACACAAACCAATTATGCACGCCCCTTGACTAAGCTCCAGACCAGGGGCCCTTCCTTCAGGGGCCCTAGAAGGATAAGGTAGGAAGAGTATGGGCCTGCGCATGTTGCCCCGCCTCTTGGTGCCGGGCTTCCCGATCACCCGGTAGTCCTCAGGCAGCGTCAAGTAACGCGATCAATACAGGGGCCTTTTTGGTCGTAGCCAGAGACTCCAATATCCCTTAATTAAGGAAGATGCCTGAAAATACAGTAGGATCCCTAATATGATTTAAGGAATATTCCTTAATTAAGGGATATTGGAGTCTCTGGGTAGAGTAAAGGCTGTATAGCTCGGGGTTTGGGGCTTGGCGTAGCGACCGTACTACACAAATGGGATGGGCTTTGGGTCATTTATACTGTAATATACAGTGAATAACCCTAAACCCTAAACCCTAAACCCTAAACCGTTCGACTATAAGGAAACACTGGCCAAAATACGACCCCGGCGGAGCCTAAAGGCTATGACCCCTTGCATCCAAGATGTGACCTTTGTGATTCCTAAGCCTCTAAACCCTGAACCTCTCACCCTGAAGACCCGAAACCCCAAACCCTGAACCCCTTTACCCTTGGCACCTCTACCACCCTCAACCATGAACCCTAAGACTTATCAATCCCCCAAACCATGAAATCCTCCACCCCTCTGAACCCTAAAGCCCTTAACAAAACATCCAAATCCTCAAGCAGCTGAGGCACGAAAAGGTTCTTCCGGTAGGCTCTCCACCCTGGCACCTTCCCGCTGATGAACTTCCCAAGCTGCCCCACCTCGACTCGGGTGGTGCTAGACTTCCGCGAAAGGGGCCCGACGGAACCCCCACTACAGTGGGCATCAAAGGAACCCTTAAAGCAGCCCTTATCGGAACGCCTAAGGATTCCCTTCAAGACTTTCTCTTCTAAGGCTTCCTTTGACCTAACGGGATCCCTGAGGATTTTTAGAATTCCTCTGATGGTTTTCCTGCAAGGGCTCATTTAAGGTTGCTTTGCGGGTTCCAAAGGTTTCTTTGAGGGGTTTAGGGTTTAGGTTTTAGGGTTTAGGGTATGATCTAGGGTTTACGGCTCGATGACTTATGTGATCTTCGGGCTCTGTGCTTTAGGGTTTCGGGCTCTATGTGTTGGGGTGTATGGCTTTAGTGCGCGTGTCTGGCTTCAAGAATTCATACGAGGTTCAGGTTGAGACTGTACCCGGAGGCTCAGGGGTATTTGCGGGTAGGTCAACTTGTCTTCAGGATAACCCCAGCCCGAACACTTCAAACCTGACATGACCTACGTACTAAGCCCCTTGATCTTAACACCCTTTCAAAACTCTCTATGTGCGTGTATGTATATATATATATGTGTATATACAAATTTACATATATGTATATACACGTATGTACGTGTATATATGTATATACACATACATATACATGCACATATACATATGCTTATACATACATAATAACCCTTCTATAGACCATGCTGCATCGACACCTACACGCTTTTGAGGGACCTCAATCGACTTGTGTTTTGTAAAGGCTTCCCATCTTGCAGGCTTTCAGAGGTAGGAACTTGGGAGATTGGAATATCACATATGCTTCAGACCTCGATGCTACATCTACCTACTTTTCAACGAACCTTGCCCAAAATCTCCTGCCTTGCGAAGCGCACTGACGCTGACCTGCAACGCTTCACGTTGTGACCCACTCTGCGGAATGACCGAGAAGCCAAAAGGTGACACTCTGGCGACTACGAAGTCGACGACGAAGACTACGATCACCACCACCACCACCACCACCAACAACAAGACCGGGAATAATTACTCCTGTTCCTACTCCTACTATTTACTTCTACTATTACTACTACTACTACTACTACTACTACTACTACTACTACTACTACTACTACTACTACTACTACTACTACTACTACTACTACTACTTCTACTACTACTACTACTACTACTCCTCCTCCTCCTCCTCCTCCTGCTGCTGCTGCTGCTGCTGCCACTACTGCTACGCACTACCACAGCTACTACAACTACTGCTACTTCAGCTTCGGTACATGTTCATCATACCTGTGTGCTCGACATACGCTGCTGGTCTTGCAATGCTTTAAAGACTCTTGCCCAGAGGCTCCAATATCCTTCGGTTAAGGAACATGCCTTAAATCATATTATGGATCCCACTTTAAATTGAAGGCATATTCCTCAGTTAAGGCATATTGGAGTCTCTGGGTGTGCGGCAACAGTGGCCTTTTGGAGCCTCAACAGACTTTGGGACCCGGATCTATTGCCTACTAGGATTCTCATGATCAGCAGGTTTTCAGATGGGGTAGTCTTACATGGAACCTAAGACCGCAAAGAGGAAAACGGTTTAGGGTTTAGGGTTTAGGGTTTAGGGGTTTAGGGTTTAGGGGATTCTCATGATAACCAGCAGCTACACTAGGCTCCCCAGTAACCTGGGAATGAAGCAGGGCTCCGTTTTGGAGTTGGGTAGTTTTGCATCAGCAAAGCGGACAAGGGCCCACACTGGGATACCTACGGTTAATGATATAAACCCAGCATTAACCTTAAGGACCCTAAACTATGGAAATTATGGTATATTCCTTATTATGGGCAATGCAGGATCTACATCATCAACAGGAGTACCATCATCGACCCATCAGCAACAGCACCATGAGCATCGTCCATAAATCCCTGGACCCTCTTGACCTTAAACCCTCAACCCCGGACCCTCTGAATTTCAAGCCCCTAAACCCCTAAACCCTCTTAATCCTAAGCCTTAAAAGCCCTAAACCCCTTAAAAGCCCTAAACCCCTAAACCCTCTTAATCCTAAGCCTTAAAAGCCCTAAACCCCTAAACCCTCTTAATCCTAAGCCTTAAAAGCCTTAAAAGCTTTAAACCCCCTAAACCCTCTTAATCTTCTTAAAACCCCTAAACCCTCTTAATTAATCTTCTTAAACCCCTAAACCCTCTTAATCCTAAGCCTTAAAAGCCTTAAACCCCCTAAACCCTCTTAATCTTCTTAAAATCCCTAAACCCTCTTAATTAATCTTCTTAAACCCCTAAACCCTCTTAATCCTAAGCCTTAAGTCATCATAGCAAGGATGGCCAAGGCTTTTCCCCCTTTGCCTCAGATCCGGCGGAGGCGAGGACCATGGTGTGACCTGCAGAGCGCACGAGCCAAGGAGTTTAGGGTGCCTTTAAAGGGATCCTATAAGGGCATAAGGGCTCCTTTAAGGGATCCTACAAAGGATCTATAAGGGTTTATAAGGTTAAGGAGTTTAGGGGTTTGGGAGTTTAGGGTTTAGCAGATTGAAATTCTTACCTTTGGTTCGTAGGGAATGCAAGAAGGGTAGTAATAGTAGCTGTAACTGTACCCCATTCCTGCATTCCCTACTAACCAAAGGTAAGCAAGTTAAACTAGAAAGCATACGTCTGTAATACTATTCCTTAGGGTTTCCAACTATAGCTGCGGGATATCATATGCCTTCGAACCCCCATCATCCCCGCTCTGATGTTTAAGGACCCTCCGTTAAACCCTATAAACATCTCCAAATTAGGATCCCCTGTTTGAGTCCCCTGAATAGTAAACTGTCCATGTAAACCCTAAACCCCTAAACCCCTAAACCCCTAAACCCTAAACCCTAAACCCTAAACCCTAAACCCTAAACCCCTAAACCCCTAAACCCCTAAACCCCTAAACCCCTAAACCCCTAAACCCCTAAACCCCTAAACCCCTAACCCCTAAACCCCTAAACCCCTAAACCCCTAAACCCTTCCATCTTGCTGCCAGGCTGCACTTCCGCCGCCCCGGCAGCGTCTGGGCGATTTTCGGCACGGAGAAGGTGACGCTGCACTCAAAGGGAGCCTTCGGGCTTTGGGCCTTTAGGGTTTAGGGTTTTAGGGTTTAGGGTTTAGGGTTTAGGGTTTCCTTTGAAAGGAGGCAGAGGGGGATCCTTTAGGCTCGGGCATAGGTTTTTGGTAGGGCCTTCGGGTTTTGGGACTTTAGGGTCTAGGGTTTAGGGTTTTAGGGTTTAGGGTTTTAGGGGTTTAGGGGTTAGGGGTTAGGGTTTAGGGGTTTAGGGGTTTAGGGGTTTAGGGGTTTAGGGTTTAGGGTTTAGGGTTTTAGGGTTTTAGGGTTTAGGGTTTTAGGGTTTAGGGTTTAGGGTTTAGGGTTTTAGGGTTTTAGGGTTTAGGGTTTTAGGGTTTAGGGTTTTAGGGTTTAAGGTTTAGGGGTTTAGGGTTTAGGATTTAGGGTTTAGGGGTTTAGGGTTAAGGGTTAAGGGACGCATAGGGGCTTAAGGGATCCTTTAGTCTTAGGGCCTTGGTTTTTGTCAGGGCTTTGGTGTTTTGGGGGCTTAGGGTTTCCGAATTTTTTAGGGCTTTGGGGTTAAGGGTTGGGGTTTAGGGCTTTAGGGGTTTAGGGCTTTAGGCTTAAGGGCTTTAGGGGCTTAGAGGTTTTGGAAAGGCTTTCTGGCATTTTACAAGGGTCTTTGGGCCTTAAGTAATTAGTTAGTAGAATCGCGGCATATGAGTAGAGAACACATATATGGGCGCTGTTTAACCATGAGGGGCACCATTGCTAGTTACACAAATCCCTGTATCAAGCAACTGAAAAATTCCGGCTACAGGCCATGCAAATCATCGCGCTATCTAATCAGCCATTGAGGAAGAAGAGCTTCACAGGACGAAATGCTTATGAGAATAGGGCTTCGGAGCATATTCTACTACAACTTTACCTGTATGAAGGAACCCTCAGAAATGACGTTAGTAGACTGTCTTCTCGGAGCCTTGGTGCGTCGCGCCTTCGCCGGCGCCTTGGCCGCAGAGACAGGATCTTTCGCGGCTTTGGGGCTTCAGGGCTCAGGGTTGAGGGCTGGGGGAGCTTTATGGCCTTAAGTTGGGTACTGCCCCCATACAGTCACAGGCCATAATCGGGCTACTGTTTAGAACCTAGTATATCTATGTTATGAATGTTGGGGGGCAGTACCCAAGATCGAGGCTTCTAGCGTTTCAATTTTGTTCAGGTTTTGCTTACCTACGATAGCGGAGTTTTTCGAGCCTGCGGACTTTAGATTTTAGTCCTGAGAGTTCAGGGTTTAGGCAAAACTCGCATTGCTTCATAGCAATCAAGCACACACACGCGAATCCACCGCCACATCTACGAACCTTGCACCAGCTGAAGCTCTCCAAAACCCTAGTCCCCAAACCCTGAAAGGGTTTTAGGTTTGAGGTTTAGGATTTTGGGGTTTAGGGGGCGGTTGGTAGGCACAGGCCTCAATGCGAAAGGAACGGAGTTGCAAAGCCACATTGCAGGGCCCTGGAATGCATTTCTACAACACATTACACGCCTGATAGTGACTATAAGGCAACACCCTTACTAATTATTCAAGCTCCTTACTATTATGGCATTAAGGGAACAGCAGATCCAAATTTGTGAAGACATCAGGACAGGCAAACGGGTTTTCTTGTTGGTTGTTGTGGACGGCTCCCCTTGAGGCACCTATCTTCCGAATACCCATTGGTGCAAAACCCAAAAGAAACGACACTCCCAATCCGTAATCATTGACCCTAACCCCTAGTCCCTGCGACCCAAAAACCAACAAAAACAACAAAAGCCCTAAACCCCAAACCCAGAATCAAGCCCACCAAAAAACATCTCGTGGCCTTGGTGGTAGTTAGCGTCGGCGTGGTGCTGGACGGTGAGGGGACGGCGGCCTTTGAAAGCGGAGGGATGTGGGTGTTCGCAAGGTTTGCTCCAAGGTTCAGCAGGTTGTGCAGGACTTTGAAGGATTTATAGAGCCCCATGAGTTTTTGAAGCTTTTCGACTGGATTGGCAAAAACTGGAAGAAATGGGGCAGCAGCAGCGATCACAACAGTACCTGTGACTGTAGTCGGAATACGTAGGGTCTGTCAACAGTACGAACAAGAATGACATTGGTAAATGCAAAGATACCCACGAAACCTAGACATGTCAATCACACATGGCCTCTACAGCAAAGGTGTCAATTGCGAGCGAGGCTTTAGACAACACCTCTGTATCTAATGATATCAGGGCTGCCAGGGATGAAGGTGAAATTGATGAACCAATGGCAGCACGGTCAACGATAGCAGTGACTAACAATCATACTGATATGCTTCGCCATGCTGACCTAAAGCATAAACCGCAAACGCGAAACCTGAACCCTACTGGGTTTGTTTGGGAATGCAATGACAAGGGGAACCCGAAACCCCAAACCTAGACACGAACTTTTTGTGGTTGGTAGTCGCACCCGCGGTTCCCATGTAAGTCTACTAATTCCACTACACCCAAAACCCAAGTCGAGTCACTAAGGCCACATGTTACAGAACCCTATTATAGATCCCTTATATAATGATCCCTTTAGAGGAACCCTATTCAAATCATTGATGCCCTTGATTTAATCTGAGCTTTAGTGCTGCTCCCTTAGAGGCTGAGCCGTAAACCCCTGAGACCCAAAACCCTGAGCCCCCGATCGGCTGAGGTTTGCATTTTTAGGGGTTCAGGGTTTAGGGTTTAGGGTTTTAGGGTTCCTTTAGATCTCTTACACGAATCATTCTTGAGCCCTTTTGAAACCCTTGAAACTCGAATCCGGAACGCTCGGAACCTCTACTTGGAGGGTCGGGGGACTTGGTAACTGGTTATTTTAGGGACTTATAAGTATCATAACCCCCATTAAGGTCCCTTTTAGGGTACTTATAAGTCTACTTACTAACTACTTACAAAGTCCCCCGACCCCCCAAGTATAGATCCCTTAAAGGAGCCCTTTGAAACCCTAAACCCTGAACCCCGCCCCCTCAAAAACAAGCACACAACTGATAGCTGTCATAGGGTTCAGGGTTTAGGTTTGAGGGGTCCAGGGTTCAGCGTGAAGGGTTCAGGAGGGTTTAGGGCTTTTACTAGACCCAAGAGTAACCCAGGAATAAAAAGGGTGCCCTTTTGGTTTTAAGGGGCTCATCAGGTAACCTGAATCCTTGAAAAAGGGAATCAGGGCGTCAAAGATTTGGGGTTGCGGAGGGTGTAAGGTTTAGGAATTAAGATTGAGGCCGTAGGGTTTAGGGTTTCTGGCTCAGGAGGTTAGGAGTTTGTTCAGGGTACCCCAAACCCGGTCCAAATTTTTACGGCTTCTCCCTAAACCCTAAACGTTCCGAAACCCTAAACCCCTAAACCCCAAACCCTAAACTCTAAACCCTAAACTCCTGAGAGAATCTGAGGCCCCGTCTCCGGGCAAGGTGATCTTCACGGATCCAGCCCAGACCTGAGAATAGATCCAAGGGTTTGAAGGGTTTAGGGATTAGGGTTTAGGGTTTAGGGTTTCGGGGGTTTAGGGAGCCTGGATCTAAGGGCTTTAGGGGTTTAGGGTTTAGGGTGGAATTTGGAAGGCCTTGTAGTGGTTTCCATATGGGTTTGCAAGGCTTTGTAGGGTTTCGCGAGGGCTTTGAATGTGTAGGGACGTCGCGGTTCAGGATTGTGCAAACCCCTAAACACACCCCAAGCCCTAAGCCCTAAACCCTGAACCTAAAACCCTATAAGCCCTCTAATCCTGAAGCCCTAAAAGCTCTATACTGCAACAGCAAAGGTTTAGTTACGGTTGGTGATATAAACCCTGCATTACCTTAAGGACCCTAACCTATGGGAATTATGGCATATTCCTTATTATGGGTAATGCAGTATTTATATCATCAACCGTAAGATTATCCAAGTCGTGGTTCTTTTGACCGTGAGGTCTGGAGGGCTTCGGGATTTCATCTCTTGGGGCAACGAATCATGGGTGTTTTTGAGCTCCTTCTTATGTCTGCCCTCATCCAGGCGTACATAAGGCCTTAAGCCAGGAGTTTTGCCAGGGACTTACGCCCCGACTTTGAAAAACCCTCGAATCATGGGGTTTAGGGCCGAAGGTTTACAGTTCAGGGTGTAGGGCTTCGGGTGCTTATGGGGATTTCTGAGCGTTATGAACACGACTTCAGAGTTTTCTATGTTAGCTGAGGCTGTTAGTCCTGGTTCTGATAACGATAGACCAAAAATGAAATCAGAGATTAATAAAATAGTGAAAATGATGGAAATGTTAGGTTTTCGCGAGCATTCACGTCCGGGCTTTCGTGTCTTGGGTTCAAGGGCTGGGCCTGCTTGAGGGCTTGAGGAGTCGAGTTCGTTTCGGGTGTTAGGGTTTCGGGTTTAGGGTTTACGGCTTAGGGCTAGGGTTTAGGGTTACGGGTTTACGGTTTCGGGTGTGGGGTTTAGGGTTTGGGGTTTAGGGTTTAGGGCTCGTTTCGGGTTTTGGGGGGGTGCTAATTCTCTTTCTCCCCGTACACTTTCAGATCACTACTCAACCATAACCCTCAACCCTAAACACCCAAATGTCCAAGGGTCGGGCATCGTAACCCATCACCCTAAACCCCTAAACCCGTCAACCCCTATATAAACCCCTATTCCTTATAGAACCCTTTAAGGCGCCCTAAGCCTTAAAATGGGAAGCTAGGGTTGCAAAAATTAACGCGTAACCAACAAAGCAGATTCGCGCACCAAAAGGCACAGAATGCGAGCTTTGGTACGCAGCTCAACTGGTCGGAAAACAAACTGATCCGAACTGAACTAATCTGAACAAACTGATCCGAAGTGAAATAATCTGAACTGAAAAGAGCGCACGGATACGGGCCAAGACATATGATAGGTGCATGAAGGAAGAACTGATTTTAAATGAACTGATGTTCTCGGGGCAGCCACACCGCGAAAAACAAACTGATCTGTACTGCACGCATCCCATCTGGACTGATCTGTGCTGAACGCATCCCATCTGGACTAGCATGACACGAGCGGCTGCCGTCTTTGCTTCTGCGCACGGTTGCCGGCTTCTCAGGTTTGGCCTGCACACATGCAGTGCACATGCAGCGTGTCTCGCGATTTGGATTCAGGATTCACCTGCCTTCGGCGGAAGTGTGGACTGGGAAGTCTCAGGCGTGCTTCCAGGCTTCGTCTGGGTAGCTTGCCTGCTTTCCTGATTATGCCACTTTGTGGGGCGAGCTTTTGCATAGGAGGTGCGCAAGCCTGCAAAAGAAACGAAGGAAACTAAGGCCGGAATCATCGATCTCTGCACTGACCTGCAGGCTGCTTGATCCAAGCCGCTCGTACCGTAAGGACCGTAAGCAGTCCTGGTAGCGGCAGCTCTGAAGGAAGGAAGGTTTTCCCTGCAGAAAGCTCCTGCGGACACACCATCTCTGTGCAAGAGCCCTGCTGGTGGGCTTCCCCTGAGCACAACATCTCGCTGCTTGAAGGTCGAGCAAGGCTTACGACACAAGGGCCCTGTCCACCTGGCCTCGGGATCAGCGCCAGTTCGGTCAGTCCGTCCGTCTGCGAGTGACATGAAATGCGGACAGACCCAGGAACAACACAGTTTTGGAGTCAGAGCTTGCGGCCAGAACTTGCAAGCCGAGTCGCAGCAGAGGCGCAACCATAGGGAATGCTTTCGCGCGGGCCCGGAGCCCCCTTTTGAGAATCTCGCCAACGCTGAGACGCTGAGCCAACGTCATATTCCGAACCTCGACATTCGCAGGAAGATCAAGTCCAGAGCTCAACTCAAATCAAGCCACAGCTGCGCGAACAGCCGCATTTGGCCCAGGCGTTCCCCCACGTGGCCGGTTGCCCCGGAAGGCCGTTGAATTCGATCTTACTGACACGGATTTTCTGAACAGCCGTTTCTTGCTTCTCTTGCACAAAGCTCTGCAAGCTATTTTTCAGCTCGTCGTTGGAGACCCAGAGCTCAACTCAAATAAAACCCTTGCTTGCTGGTGCTGTTTGCGGTCGAGCAGCGCAAAAACCATTGCGCTTGGTCCCTGTCCAGCGCCGCAGGTCGCGCAGCGCCACAGATGGCTGTCATCTCCAACACGCTCGACATTCTGATGTTTCTTGAGGCCTTTGCACCAACTGACAATGGCCGGCTTGTCAACGTCAGGCTCGTCCGCGTCAGTGCCGGCTTGTCAACGTCAGGCTCGTCCGCGTCGAGGTCGATGACCATCTGGCTGCGTCTCAAACTTGCGAAGACGCCCGGCCGGACTGCCAGCGCGAGGTGCAAGTCCTGGTTTCTCGCTGGACCGTTGTCCTGCGTCGCAATCTGTTTGGAACTGCCAGCTGAGACAAAAAACAGAATCTCAGATCCGATCTGATCTGCTCTGAGCTGAAACAAAAACAGTATCTTTATGATCTGCGCTGAGCAATGCTCTGATAGTTGTGCTGCAGTGGACAACAAGGAATGTGAAAGCTCTCCTCGCTTGCGAGTTGCAACCGCAAGTCCACGTCTGAGGGTTGCACCTGCTCCTGCGTCACAGTTTTGACGGCGCACAATGGGGAACGTGAATAGTTCCCCTCGCTTGCTTTCCGAGCAGTCTTTTCATGCAGCACAATGAAATGACAAGAAAATTCTGTTCATGGTCAAGCGAAAAGCGCGTGCGATCCTTGTCACGCTTGTTGGCTTTCTTGTCCTGCAACATCAGTACTATAATCTGATCTGAACCAAACTGAGGATTTCCAAAAACCAGCTCTTCGCCTTGTCACGCATCTTAGCTCTCTTGTCCTGAACCGCAGCTCAGCCAATCTGATCTAATCCAACAAAGTGGTGGTGTTCGTTCATGGTGTCTCCTTCTTGTCGTGCTTCTGAGCTTTCTTTTCCTGCAACTCGATGCAACCACGCTCGATAGCATTGACCCTCCTAGCAATCCAGGGCTGAGGCCAAGCCTTGCTCTTTTTCTTATCCTGCAGCAAATACACGCTTTGAACGGCCCAAACAAGCCAATCTGATCTAATCCAAGAAACTGGTTTGGTTTGCTGTGCTCATGGTGTCTCCTTCTTCTTCTCCTGCTTCTTTGCTTTCTTTTCCTGCAACTGGAAGCGACCACGCTTGATGGCTTGTCCCTCCGAGCAATGCAGGGCTGAGGCCAAGGCTTGCTCTTTTTCTTATCCTGCAGCAAATACACGCTTTGAACGGCCCAAACAAGCCAATCTGATCTAATCCAACAAACTGGTGTGGTTTGCTCATGGCTTTCTTTTCCTGCAACTGGAAGCGACCACGCTTGATGGCTTGTCCCTCCTAGCTACGCAGCGCTGCGGCCAAGCCTTGCTCTTTTTCTTATCCTGCAGCGAATGAAAACCCTCGCCGTCGCATCTACTGCAATCATCCGTCCAGCCTGTGAGTAATCCTCCCAAACCTTCTCGAAGTCCTGTTCGTCCTGAAAACAATCTCCAAGCGAGAATTGCTCACATCCGCACTGCTCATTTTAAAGTATTGGTACTAGTGATTACTAGTGTGCATGCAATCCAACGGTGCGTCTAAGCAGACTCAGAAGTGCTCTCAGAACTTGCCTAACCCAAAAAGCACGAGCAGGCACCGCTCCGTTCCTGCAAAACGAGATACACGTATTCATCCAAGATGTCACTAAGCTGTCATCTTCTGGAGGGACATTTGAGTGAGAGTCTGAACTGAACTGAGCTGATGCATTGGCGCTTATACTGCGCTAAGGTCTGGAAAAAAGTTGCAGGATAGGACGTTCACTGGCATCGTCTAAAGCTACTGACCTCACCAATAATAATGTGTGGATTCCTTGAAGGTTTGAGTGATGCCTTTGAACGTGTTGCTTAAGCTCAAGTGAGATGGTTCTCGCATGTACTGACGCATGAAGCATCTAGACAATCGTCAGCATGTAAAGAAGCTGAACATACAGAGTTGATTGTCTCTGATCGCGGAAAATAAGCCTTGCTGTGCGATGGAACCCGTCCTTTAGTCCCTCTGGACCTCTCGTGAAGAATCCCGGCAAGCACTCCGCTGTCTTTTGTTATTCACAGGTTATGAGCGTCCAAGCTTCTATCAATGAGTCCAGGGGACAAACTCTTGAAGGAGAGACGGCTGGACCTGACTATGACGCAAGGAGGGTTGGAACAACAGCCCCGCAGATGGTCAACGGCACGGCTCCAAGTCACGATGTTCAAGGAAGTGCAGGTTTTAGCCAAGGGAGTGCGGCGACAGTGAGGAACGTTCAGTCTCGTGTTGCAGAGTCTTCCGGACATGGAGCGTCGACGTATGACTTTGTAGGATCGGTGACCGAAGGGGTCGGATCTAGTGGTTTGAGTATAGGTGGTGGTCAGCAACAACAGACCGTGCAGCAGCCGCAAACCACGCAGCAGCCGCAAACCACGCAGCAGCCGCAAACCACGCAGCAGCCGCAAACCACGCAGCAGCCGCAGACTACTCAGCAGCCAGAGATCGCTCAGCAACCACGGACTAGTCAGCAACAACATACTGAGCCGCAACAACCGCCTTCACAACAGCCGCAAGAAGCAGCTCGGGATCTACCTCATGTACCATATGCAGCAGCGACAGGACAGCATGAGACTACTATGCCAACTGCTACTTCGAGTCAAGCAAGACCTGCATTACGACTATCAGGCCCTAGGCAGCTACGTCCAGCGAATCCTTTGGCTGCGGCGCAGCATGTCCCTGACCCTGGCAATGAACAACAAACTCCGGACCCACCAATGCAGGCTCCTCCTACTTTGAACCTCGAGGATCTTCAGAGAGCACGACGTGAGGAGTTTCAAGATGCAGGTGCACCTGGAAGTTTTGTGTCAGCCAGGAGCCAAGAGAGTGCAACGGGTACAGTTCGGAGTGCGTGGATGTCCTTCGGCCAGATGTTTCAACGTCGAGTGGTTGATCCTGTATGGGGAAGGGCTGCAACAACGACGAACCCCGAACAGGGTCTCATTCCACCTGACATCCAGTATGCCATGGCTGCCCACCAAACGAGGCAGTCCCTGATCAGCCCACAACGTCGTGGGCGAACTGAGGAGGACGGCTCATCAAGCAGTTTGAACCAAGACATGGTGATGGAAGAAGTCAGACGTCAGGTTCAGTTGGCTATGCAAGGCCGCGATCAAGAAGTTCACTCCTTGAAGAAGAGGAACGAGGACCTAGAAAGGGCCCTGGTGGAAGCGAACACAGCCATCAGGACGTATGGGACTGGAGGGGCATCCACAGCTCTGCCGCGAGACCGAGTTGAAATTCTGGGACCTGCGGTTCAACCAGGACAAGATCTTCTCGGGGGCGGAGGCGGTGAAAAAGTATGCCCAGGGGCTCCAGACCGTCGAGGATTCGATCCTAAGGTACCTGGCAGGGAACCTCCAAGCAGAGCGCGAAGTGAACTTCATGCATCCGAGAGCTTGGGGGCCCAGTCAGGGGCCATGCGCTACGGTGATGGAACCACGAGACCGGGGGCCTACATGGGCCCTGCAAGCAAGTCGGCGAGGCCATCGACTACCACGCATGGGAATGCAGATCCAGCAGTGAGCGTGGACTCACTAAGTTTGTTGGTCCAAGGTATGCGGCAGCTCCAAGAGATCTACATGGGGCGGTCGGATGCAAAGGACTCTGAGGTGAAGGTCGGCACGATTGATTTGCCGATGATGCCCGATTTCGGGCCTGAGTCAGCCGTTGCTTACAGTGATTGGCTGTATGAGATAGAGCAAGGTGTTGGGAGCCTCAGCGACAAGGCCAGCGAGTGGTTTGGTTTGTGCATGAAGGCTGCCCAGGAGGCGTATGAGATCTACCAGACCAGCGATCCCTTGATGAGACTGAGTCTGGAGCCGGTTCGTGGACCGGAACTTCAGGACCCTAAATGGTCCCGATTGGAGAGGAGAGTCTTGACGATGATGCTGGCGACCCTCCAGAAGACGGCCAAGGACGATGCGGTGACACATCGTATAGGGACGGTTCCAGGACTTCTCTTTCGGTTACATGTGCTGTATG